TCAAAGTTAATAAAGAAGCCTTGCTGACATTTGCTGAGCACGTCTTCCATACAAACATCTGCAATTCTAAAATCCTCTTTCTTGCCAGTTCTTAAAAAAAAGGTTGCAAATTATGACTCGAATGAAGAATTCTCCAAATGTCTCAAATGATCAAATTGTCAAGATTAGCCTTGAAGCTGAGGCTATGGGGATTTCACGTGGCTGTCCGTTCACTGTGTGTAATTTTGTGTAGGGATTGCAGGCATGCAGGTGATTTTTTCCTCCTTCCATAGAATTTCTATGGGGCATTGAGTAAATGAATGAAACAATGAATGAGTGAATGAATAAATGAAAGGGAAAGAATGGCATGGCATGGCTTGTCCTGTGTCCCTTGGCACAGGACAAGGGCGCTCGGGAGAATTGGCCCGCGAGCCATCCCATTAATGACAATTTGTTTGATCTGCGAAGTAAAATAACACACGTTGCTTTCTCAAATAGCTAAAGGTCTAAAAATACACTCGAGTCTATATTACAATGCCGCTGGTCTTTTGTAGAGCAGAATCTGAACAACTGGATGGATGGATCAAAGCGAGGAATACTATAACCATGCGAATAATGGCTGGCTCAGTGCCAAACCAATGGATCTAGTTAATCAAGAATTCAGATTTAACAGAATTGATCAAACAGAGGCTAATGGGGTAGCCGAGGGTCATTGCAAGGCAGTAAGCTTGTCAGGATTCAGGTGACGCAACCAACTCCAAAATAAATCTCAAATGGCTCAGAGCAGATATTCAAACCCAGAGATAAAGTTACCATCTTGAAACCACTCAGGGGCATCCACACTATGTTATTGCTAACAGCAGCTGCCATGGGCAGGTGTTTATGGCCTGGGCACTCCACCACTGATGGGCGGTGAGCTTTATGCGCGCTACCTTCACAAAAGGGCACTGAGGCACTGGAGCAAGTTCAGGGAAGAGCAGCGGGATGTTTCCTGACATTCTGTAGGTCCTCGTATCAGAAATGAACTTGTTTGCTTTGGCGAAGACGATTAAGGAAAACTTGTCTAGTTCCGTGTTCAGCTCGGAATGGCAAGGATAGAATCACACAATGCTAGTTGCTTTAAAATTGGAGAGCTTATAGCTTATATTCAGAGTAGTGGATGTATGGAAAACATCCCACCAACCCACCCCCCCCCCCACCCCTCCAGAAAAATGTGTCTCATGTCACCTTTAAAAACTCTTTCAACAAGGGGTTGGATGAATATGTGTTTAGAAATGAACCTGGAGAATATAGGAGCAGACAGAGGAACAGGCACCCCGGGGGAGCTGGGTGGAGACTGTGCAGCTGAAGGAACCAGACACCTGTGGTTGAGGGGTGGAGAGGGATGGCTGACCTGATGTTTCGGCTTGGTTGCCTTAGGGAATCGGGATCATCAGAACATCCGGAGAGGAAGTGACCCATGATAAGGTGGATGTCTACTGAGCAGGGAGTGGGCTTTGATGGGTCACACACACAGTTGTCTCAGTTCAAGCTCCCTTAGGTTCATTATTTATTAAGCCTTTCCTTTAAGTAATTTGAAGACAGATAAGGTTATTAAAATATGTGGGGTTTGGCTCCTGTTCCACACGATTGGTAAACAGAAGAACATTCCAGTCTCAAACGTGACCAACAAAATTGAATAAGTCGGTGAATCAGCTTCTCATGTGGTAAATGGTTAACATGCGTGTTCTCTCTCTCTCTCTTTGCAGTCTCTGGCACACATCAAAATCCAAATGCTAGTATTTACATGTTCAAATACCTCAAAAACAGTAGAATATTCTTTGTTTTTCTCCCTGGAACTGCAGTAATTTGTGAGTGCAAGTTCAGTATTTATCATGATTACTTGTGTCTGTTTTGATCAGTCGCTTGCTCTTAAGCATTTCCTTGTGTTAAGTGACCATCTACAAAGAGAGTTCAAACGCTGAAATATGCACATAATAAAGATAAAAACTATCGAGCTATGTGATGTCCAACAAATCAAACGCAAGCACCGACTACAGCTGGAGTAAAACAACTATCTGCTGTATTTAAAAATTACACCAACATCACAGGCAGGAAGCAGCAAAACCACGTTAAGCTCTCATTAGATAACATTTCAAAGGAAATCTCTCCAGACAGTTCTGTGGCTGTCAGGTAACGAGAGAGATTTCACTCGGAAATTTGCCGTTTTTTTGCACTTCAAAATGATTAAATGAAGCGATGGCAGCAGTTAGGAGAGTCATTCTCCGCACATCAAATCCAATAAAGTGGTATTATAACGCTCTCCATCAGATCATCATAGTCACAACTCAGTACTTCTCTGGTGAGTGCTCTTCAGACACTTGTCTTGAACACCACAAGAGCTTCCAGAGCTGGTACAACACTGCGGATTTACTAGATATCGCAGCATGTGTACTTTCACCCATCGCTCCCTGCCTGGCCAGCTCCTGATGTTAACCTCACCCCCATGAGGAAGTGCTAAGTGAAGGTGAAGCCATTCTACATTGGAAGGCAGAATCTGCAACATGCTCTCTCACTTGCTCTCGTTGCACACTGCATCAATCTGGGGAGCAGGCCATAAAGATCCATCTTCTGTCTATCACCTTTCGCCCACAAAATAAGTCAATCCACTTTACAGTATATCCCACAAAGTGCTTTTGAAACATCTCAACGATGTGACAAGACGTTGTATCAAATGCAAGCTTTATTATTATTATAACCTGGCAAGATAAGACAGTGAAAATAGGGGAATAAAAACATGTGATAAAACACTTGGTACATCAAACTTCCACCTCAGACAGTAACCGCACAAAGGGTTTATTCATGCAATTGAAACCTGTCAAGTGAATGCTGGTATTTAGTGTTCAAGTTGTTTGGTGAACTGTAGAAGCTTCAATTCCTAACAGTAACAGGACATCCACACAGCACAATCCTGCCATTAGATGTTTGCAGATTGGAACTGATCACTGAAAAAATTTAAATGTTGGTATCACCAACTCTGAATACTAACTCACAGGAGCACAAGAAACAATCAGCTACAGATAGCACAGAGAACGATTCCATTCATCAAATTGGAAAATTGGATGGCGCAGGACATAATTCAGCACAGGAGGAGGCCATTCAGCCCACCGAGTCTGTTCCATGAGCTTTTGATCTTTGCAATCAGGTAATCAGTCACCTCTGCTATAATGAGCCATGTCACCCTGGTTAAGGAATGCAGCCAATGAAGGCAAAATATTGTAAGAAGATCTTAAAAATCAAGTGTACTGTATAAAAGTTTCGTTGTTAATTTGCAATCGAGCTGGGTTAATATCTTACCGTAAATTTTACATTTTGACATTGAAAAGTCAAAGGACAAAAGAGACTAGGATGCAGAAGCCCCTTCGCTAATTTGATCTCATCTCTTCGTAGTGCTAACCCTAATGTGTTTCCATTACAGCACAAGGCCAGTGTCTTAGCCTTCAACCACCTTTCCTCATAACCTCGTCCCAGCTGTCGATTACCCTCTGTGCCACGTTCCACCGATTGAAATCTAAAGCATTGGTTACAATCGACTTCAATAGCATTCAAAGCTCAATGATACAGAGGAATACGGCAGCTCATGCTAAACAAGTGAAAATGAAAATTGTTGCCCCACTAACAATTCTGTACTTGCTGCTCATTCCTTACAACAGTAGCAGTAGCAGAATAAAACTGCATCAATCTAAACATAAAAGTAGCGTGGGTTTGCTGTGATCTTCAGAATTGAACATAGGGCAAGATATCTGAAATGTAGACAATATAAAGAAAGCATGCCTGACATCACAATCCTTTTGATGTGGCTAGCCTCAAACAGCAATTGGGTGGAGGCAAAAAATCTGAAACCCTGGTACATGACAGATGATGCTGCAGGGTGGATCTAAAAGTCAGTGGTAATTAACACACACCTTTGGAAAATGAAGAACCTATACTTTATTGTGAACACTGCACTATTATCTGGCCCATCGGTATGAAAGCTTGTATAAAATCACCCCATCCACAGATAACCATTATCTCACAGAAAAATACACAATCCCACAAAGGGTCAATCACTTCTACCCCACTCACGCTTCAACATGAGAGGGTAGTCAAAGCCAAGAAGGCTGACTGTGAGGGTGAATGGGTGCATCTCACTTCCAGTCAGTTGACTAAGTTGCTGTCTGTGGGTTATTACTAACTGATCTGGCCAGACTTACCACTGCTTTTGAGCTGATTCCAAAATAAAATGTTTTTTTTTCATACTTTTGGGGGAGTTTAAAGGGAGGCTGGGGAAAAGGTCCTTTTATAGAAATGTCAATAAGCCCTTGTGGAAAATGAGAACAAGGTGCTCAGAAAATGGTTGAAACTGCACAGGGTCTTGAATATTTTCCATGAGGGCTTCCGAAAAGCATGAGCAACATCGAAGCTTTCACAATTGCTCTCTGCCACATTACCGTTCATGAACACCGCCAAGCTAAAGCACCCAAGACACCGTTCAAAAACAATGTACAGGTACAGCAGATAGCTTGATCTGGGCACTTCATAGTTGCTACCAAAAGATTACATTTTTAAGAGTTACATTCTGAAATATTTCTGCCTTTTACTCGGGAGGCTAGAGGAAATTTCTGCTCCCCTTGGGTTTATTATAGGGAATAATTTTGCTCACAAGAGTGCTCCACCTGGTGCATCAAAGACACAAACATTTTCTTGCTATGGTGGCAGTGCATTAAAGATGAGATATAATTACAGAAATCGGTAATTATACATAATTGCAAAAGCTCTTTAGTCCTTTAAATGCTTCCTCAAATGTCTTCGTTTGGGCCCGAAAATGTTTCTGTGGCTGGTTGTTTGGTAGAAAGTTGGCATGAGCTGATGCCAGCTCTCACTCGCCCTATTCTGTCTTGCAACGAAACGTACTTTTCAAAATGAAGGATTCTAGAATTTTTTGTGCCCATGAATAGATTTTAAAAGAGAAATAAAAGCAAACCTTTACAATATGTTCTTACCTGGAATAGTGTCTCAGTTAAGTCATCAAGAAGTACTTTAGGTGGTGCCATAACTGGAAAGAGAGAGACCATTATGAGAGAAAAACAGAAACAGTATCCCAATAGGTTCACTGACTTGTGCAGAGAAACAGGATAACAGGTATTGTTGACCCAATAGAAGCTACTGCAATATCTTAAGGCTGTATCAGTGACAGGGCTCCACCACGATTCATACCCGCTCAATGCAGAAAATAGACATGATAAGGCGCTATATCAAATGCAAAGATTATTATTATTACTGCATTTGGGTGAAGGATCCCAAGAAAACTTGGAACAGGAAAAGTGCAGAACAAAACTGTACATATGGGGGAAAGTAGATATTGCACTTAGTCTTTTGGTATCGGAGAAAGTATTGAGGCAGTGTAAAGGAACCTCATTCACCATGAGCACAAGTGACCAGGCTTTATGTTATCGGTAACTTTGTTTGCTGTTTTATAGGCTGCACTGCAATCCACTGGCTACTTTCAAACAGCATTTCTATTCTTATCACTGACACTGCAGACCAGACACTGCGTGGGATACTTTGGGTAGTAGCATCTTGGAACATTGTGCGCGTGTGTTTTTTTTAAAAAATAAGCTCCCCAGAAATGCAATAAAAATAAAATTAAAACAAAAAACTCTTCAAGCACAGAGAGTTCTTTAATACTTGCCATTGTGCCCGGTGAGCTGCCTCTCATCTTTCTCCAGATTCCACTAACCTGGCTACACTCCCAGCTCGGCCCTGCTCCCAGCCCCATATAACGGCAAGGTTATCAGAAGTTTTTTTTGCAGTAAGTTTAAATGCGCCTCGATTCTAACCTGCCGGTGAAAATGTCCCGTTTTGCAGCATTAAGCGGCTGGGAAAAGGAGAAACACTGCAGTGTACATAGGTGTTTTTCCAACCGAAAAATCTCTACGTTCACAAAGAGATTCAGCAAAGTGGCTGGATAACTCAAAAACAAGTTCTAATGGTAATTTCTCACACGCCTTTATGCCTTGCCATCACTCTGATAGCTATACAAGGAGATCACTCATTCACTGATTCCGCTTTCCAGGCTCCGGAACCGCAAGGCAAAGCAATGCAAGTTGGAAGCTTCAGGAATCCACTTCACCCATCAAGTTGCCCCACAATGGTGAGCAAAGTTTACACAGTGCACTAAGTAGCTGGCAACACAGGCTTGAAGGGGGCTTTGAAGCTAACATCTGCATCCTGCCTTAGATTCCCTATCTTGGGAACCAGATTGTAATCTTCCTGGGTAGATTTCCCAATCAAATTCTAGACGTGTGCACAGGATCGAGTTACTCCCCCCAGGGAGGGCAAACAAACAGGATGAAACGTTACAGATCTTTCTGGCAGTTGTTCATGGAATCTCACTCATTCCAGGACGGATACTGAAGCACGGCCTCAAACCTGGCATTAACTCGATCACACAAAGTTATACAAACAATAATAAATCCTTACAATTGATATAGTGCCTTTCATGTTAGGGGAAACGTCTTAAAAGTGCTTTGCATGATACATTGTAAAGTGTATTGATGGTGGATTTTTTGTAGGCAAACGTGGCAGCCCATTTGAACAAGGCAAGCCGTGAAGTCAATGATCAATTTTATCCGGGGGATTGCTGACATCGGGAGAAACCCTGTCTTCTTTTTGAATAGAGCCATGAGTTTTTTAACGTCCACCTGAATAGGCAGAGGAAGAAGCACTTAACCTCACATCTGAAGGATGGCAATGCTGGGAAACACCCAGCATTGTAGTGGAGTGTCAGCCTAGACTACACGAGTTCAAAGTCCTGACATGGCACTTGAATTCACAACCTTCTGACTCGGAGACAACAGTGCTACCAACTGAGCCAGGTAAGTTCTCGATGGACCCGGGTCAAATCTCCCCCACCCCCTGCCCACCCCACTTCACTGACTGATATTGTTTCCCTATCCTCAAAACTGCCTATGTGAACAATTTACGCTCCACAGCAGAGACCTACAGTTCTAATTTGAAGCTCAGCAGCTGTCTCCTCTCCACTGCAGAGAACCAAGGCAATCTCACTTCAAAACAAGCCTTTTGGTATCCACAGACCAATTCAAATTTCCACATGTGTTGCACAAATGGCACTTTTCAAATGAAATATTTACATTCTGAGTTTTGCCGAGAGATTAAATTAAATGACTTGGTATAGACATCGCTATCTGCAGCATATTTGTTCAACAGATTTACATTGTTTGTGGCGTGGGAAGAGAAAGAGGGTGAAAGGGGAGGGGGGGTGGGGGAGAGAGGGAGATGAGGGAAGGAAAAGCGATATTACGCATTTCAAACATGATCTACCATTGAAATGAATACGAATTTTAAACTTCGTTTCACCTCTTGAAACTTTCCTCAGAGCTATTCCCCCGGCACATATAATGGTGTGAGCACTTGACAGAAGGATAGCCCATTAAATTCTCATCAGTGGATTCTTTTAACCAAGTGGGTACCAATAGGACAGTATACAAGGAATAGCCATTGTGCTCTTGTAAAAGAGCTCCCATTATATATATGTATATAATATAGATATATATATAATAGATAGGGACACAAAACAGGGGGAACTCTAAAAAGTATTAATAATCAGATGTAATGGTTCAGAAAAGAATAGGCTCAGTATGAATTAATCAGAATGCAACCCAAATATGAAGGAATTTACATTAGGATCCCATTATGTCAGTGGCCTGATATCACGAAAAAGTTTACTAACTAAAGAAAAATGAAAATGCACCCCACCCCATGCAAAAAGCACAACATATTTTACATTTACGATTACTATCATTTTGATACGAACGCCAGTGGCAGCCTCAATGGGGAGGTTTTATCAGATGTGAGTGGATTGTCTGGGCTGAAGCGAGGAAACCTTTCCAACGTGGTGCCTCGTGGTGTCCCAACCAAGAAGTTGGACTGATATTTCTGAAGATGTATCAACCCTCTTCTTCCCCCAACACAGAAAGGCAAATAAATATGTCTTATTGAACTACCAAAACCATTGTACTTACATAAATAAAAGGGAACCTCTGGGTGCTTGAGGTGCATCTTCACAAACTGTTTCAATGCTGCAACTGTTAAAAAAAAATAAACTTTCATTATTTATAAACTGTTTCGGCCACAAGATATACAGTCACTCCACTTTACAATATATTCTGTGAAGCGCTTTGGCATGTCTCAATAACGTGATAAGGCGCTATATCAAATGCAGGGATTATTATTATAATAAACCTGTAAAGCTTGGGCGGGGGCTGGAAAAAGTGCGTTTGCATTACTTCAGCAGAAAGACTGGATTTTGAAGTCCTGATAAGAACTACTTTGGCGATTCCCATAACTATGCAATTGAGGTTCTACACTGGATGCCCATTATGTGCATCATTGGACGTAAAAAAACATCAGTGCACAGAAGGCGTTTGGATTTTAAGAGAAGTCACAAAATAGTTTTTTTTAAACACACTACAGGAATGGTTTTGAGCACAGACAGCGCTAATCTGCTTCTTATTTCACTTGTAAGAAAGAGCCAAGCAAGTTGATTAGCACCAGGTCTTTCTCCCTCATAATACTGTCTGACAAAGGTTACAAAAAGTTTGCTATAATCAAACAAGCAGATTCTGAAACAAGGTTTATTTAGGCAAAGCATTTAATTCCCCCCAAAAAATGAAATTTATTTTGGATACTGGAATCAAGACTTGCAACTCGAGGGATAGTTTTGCCGCTTGTGTCTGATCTGAATGTGGAAACTCAGCTGGTACTCTCACCTTCTAAAATCCTAAGAGCTAAACATGCGAAGGAATTAAGTGTTGTGCTGTTACAGATAGGCCCAAATGGAAAAATTTTACTCAAGATGATAGCACATAGCCTGATGTAGATGCAGACTGCCCGAATCGGATGTAAGGTGCAATTGTGTAAGTTGTCTTGTGCTGATATGAGAGTACAACTAGTTGGAGTCTGAGATTAGGACTTGGTTCTAAGAATGAGAGCGAATGCAACTGTATACTCCTACAGAACCAATTTATGGCGGGGAAAAACCCCAAAATAGATTGACAGTGAACAACAGGCCCCACATTACATTTCTGTGAGTTACACACATCCATACTAACTCTCAGTCTCAGGAACACAAGCATCGCACTTCTTTCACAATGCACAGTTTCATACTTAACGCTTCCAACAAATAATGCCTCGTGAATTTTCCTCTCTAATTTAGGGAAAAAAAACAATTTGGTCAAAAGAAAAAAAATCCTAATTTCTATTTTATCAAACAACTTATGTATTGGCTAATTAAACTCTCTAACACAGTGGCTCCACTTGATTTGTTCTTGTATTAGACCGAAGGAAATGTAACGGGAGGAGACAAACATTTCAGGAATGTTCAACTACTTTTTACTGGAAGTCTCTAATAAAATCAAACCAAACCAAGACTAAAAAGGATTGACTTCAAAGGCAAGTGGAAGTTCACTAAATGTCTGATGCCTATTTAACCCTTTGAAGGCTCGCACAGCTTATTTCGCATAGCATCTGCAACAAACGCTCAATATTCTTGTGGTCGTTCTTATGACAATTCACTGACAGAAAAGTGCAGAACATTTTAATTCATAAGATTTCTGGACAAATGGAGCCTGGTTAGTCTGTGCATTGCTGCATAAGTGTTGCTGCAGAGGCCAAAGGGTTAACAACACTTCCTTTTTTAAAAAAACACGTTACATCCCAGTGATTCATTCACAAAAGTTTTCTTCATTGCACTGTCATCCTATTGCACAACTCTGGCAACACATCTACTAACGTTCAGAAAAGCTGCTTATCCAGGGACAGACGGAAACTACTTTATAAAGTTGTATAAATGTAATGCGGGATTCAAATTTCCTTACAAAATGGCTAATTTGTAGTCTAAGGGGGAAAATATTCTTACTCAAATAATCCTTGCTTTTGATGCAACGCCTTTCAAGTTAGGAGGACGTCTCAAAACGTTTAACAGAACTTATTGCAAAGTGTAGTGACTGTATTTTGCAGGCAACTGTGGCAGACAGTCTACTGCTGTGTCCCACCAAAAAACTGTGAAGCGAATGACAAATTTTATTTGGGGGATTGTTGGCCAGAACACAGGCAGAGAAACTCCCTTCTCTTTTTGAACAACTTAACTTAATGGCAGAGCAACAATCCTGACGAGTACTTAACTTGGCTGCCATCGATAAGATTTGATTTAACTGCACCTTAGAAATAATGAAGATTTTCCCGTTTACATTACCTGGTTTGAAACCAATGTAGCAAAGTTATTGATCACTCCCTGAAGCACATTCATTCCTTTCTGATATTCAATCAGAACTGCATTTTCTCAAAATCACAATCATCTTAATAACTTGAGAAACAAAGCAAAGGATCTAAAGTTAAAGTCCTTCAAATGACATGAAATGGATATTTATTTTAAGGAGGAGAAGCAAGACTTGAAAAGCTCTGGCCTGGCACATGGACAAGTCTCTTTCAATCCTTTTGTTCAGATCCCAGTGTTTTGTTATGAAACATGAGAGTTACCTGATGGCACGAGGTAGGGAGCAAAGGTGGGCATATGATGAACTCAAAACAGAAATCTTCCATTTATTTCCCATTTATGAAAGCTTGCTGTGCACAGGTTGGCCTGCAGCACTTCCCTACAGAAAACTAGTCACTCACTACCTTTGACAGTAAATTCTTGTGAAGCGCTTTGTGATGTTTCGATGCGATAAATCACCATATCAAATGCAAGGATTATTAGTGAAGGAGAGGTGGCTCAATTACTTACAGCCAAAACATGTTACGTATGCCTTCACTCTTTCCCACCCCCCCAGCTAAATTTATATTTCACTTTCTCCCTCTTCAGGCTCCTTGTTCCTAACTTATAAACGTGTGCTAGGAGGTGCACAGAAATACTCTCTCCCCGAACAAGAACTCAATGTGCGGCAAATGACAGGTTAAACCTTGAATGCGAAAGTAGAATTTACCCAATTTTTATAAATACGATTTCAATGCAATTTACCTTGCGCCTTTCACAGCAAAGAGGAGGTCTCAAAGCACTCGTTAACTCTTTCGCTGGCATCTGTTTGAACTTCAGCTACTTCAGGTAGGATTAGCCTTTCACAACAGTGTCAGGACAATGGACACTGTGTAAAGTGATCAGGTTTCTGATGGGTCCAGAGATGAAAATTATGCCACTCTTCCTTTTGTCTGCCTTTCTAACCACAACTGAGAACAGAACCAGTCTCTTCTTTGAGTAATGAATACTCTGCCTGTGTTTTTTTTCCCTGAACATCTTCCCTAATTATTTCCTCTGATCTTGGAATGACAAATTGAATTTGAGAGACAAAGATTCAAACAAAGATCATTCCTTAATTGACAATATTCTCACGTTATATCTATTATGTTGAATTTCTGTTTTGTTGCCCAAATCCCCTGAGTCACTTTGAGATTTAAGAGCTAAATGTTTTCTCAGTATCTACTGTATCAATCGCACTCAGGAAAGACACTGCTACAAGCAAAATGAAAGGCAAAACACAAGACACACAATTCTACAGATTAAGGAAGGAAAAAAAAAGCATCTTTATAGCCTTCGTTATCGAAACATCTCGAAGCACTTCACAAGCAATTACCGTGAAGCGCAGTGACTGTTTTTCTACCAGTGATTTGAGAAGCATGAAGTGAACAGAGAATTAATTTGGGCGAGTATTGGCCAGAACAATGTGAAGCAACTCCCTTCTCTTTTTGAATAGCATCACTTTAATCTTTAACGTCCACCTGAAGAGGTAGATGGAATCTAAATGTCGTCTCTCGGTAGAAAGACAATAACTCAGACAGCACTGCACCGCACAAGATCCCTATGTACTGCACGAAGATTTGCACTTCTTAAGATAACTGGAAAAATAAGCACAACTAAATACTTCACCTGTTTCCAGAGGTCGGAAGAAACCTTGCAAGACGGATCCATCAGGAAATTGCACTCGTATTGTAACCTGTTTGGCCACAAAGGAGAAATAAGGTCAAAACTGAATGCAATTCCTTGCAAATCCACCAAAATCCTGAAGCTTGATCGAATTTACTGTGTACAAACAACAACTTTTGATTTTGACGTATAAGAGTTTTGTTTGTTAAATATTAATTTAAAAAGTGCTATGTTTGTTCTTGGTTTTGCCGAGTTTGGCCCGTGTCGTCACCGAGCATGTGACTGCAGGCTCGCGCTAATTCCGATTAGTTAAGTCTGCCGCAAATTGGCAAAAAGCACGAAACCAACATTCAATTACATCTATGCAGGGGAATAAAACGGATTGTTTCTTCTAAGGGAAGGATCAAACGCATTTTATAAATAGAATTAGCTGTTGTGGTTTTATAAACTGCCAGCAATGCCTGACTTGTACCCTCTACGGGACAGAATGCATGTTGAAATGGATTCTTCAGAGCAGCCTCAATGTGCTGGAAGGAAAAAATAGCCTTCAAATTCAGAGCTGCTCAAAGCCTTACAAGGATCCAATGCAATAGTGAAAGTTCGCCATTCGAATTGGCTACTGACTTAAGGGGAACCAACATCTAGAGGGAGTGCTTTTTTCCTTGAGTTATTCCCACTGGAAGTAAAGAAAAATATCTTCCTCAAAAGTAGGAATCCTCACTTCTGGATTGTGTTCACCAGTCTGCTCTGGTGATGTATGCTCCTGGGAGGGGCAGGCTTGAATATACAAACTTGACAGTCAACTGAGACGAACCCAGCCCAGCCCCGAGAGAGTTCCTTGCTGTGCAAAACCCCCAACAAAAACAGGCTCAATGTTGCCAAACAATTCTTGGAATTGAAGCCTCCTGAGTCCTGGAATAAATTCTGTTGTTGATCTTCGAAGATTCTTCATGTCATCTTTCAGGCAGTGGGCCAAAACCCAAAAAGGTCTTCACCATAAAGATGCAGTTATAGTATTTGGTGGCTGCACCTTATTTTGATGCTGAAGTGTAGCTTTGAGATGTTATTGGGCACTGGGAATAGTACACTCGCTAACCTTGGGGTATCGCTGTGTTTTTTCTTTCATCTGAGCTTCCCGCATGGCTTTGGTTATGAGTGGCGCCTCCTCCAAACGACGTCTGAGCACAAACAGAACCATTAAATGGACGGTGAAAAACCAGTAAAAGAAATTCCTTCCAACTCTGCATATAGACTGGATTAAAATATAACATTAAACTGACATTTGTGTGTTAATTAACTAGAACCACACGAGGATGACCTATGAGGAATGACTACGGCTTCAGCCTTGAAAAGAGGGTATCTCGGGGAGCTATGTACAGAGGTAAGGTGCTAAATGGAATTGAGAAAACAAACTGAAAATAATACTTTCAGGTATTCTGAGACAACTGGACATGAGGACAGTGGCTCAGATTTGAGAAGAACAGACATCAGGAAACATTTCCTTTCAAAGCTGGAATAGGTTTCTAGGAAATATGCTGGATACCAGGGACTGGACTCATTTAACAAACAGCTTAAAAATTGAGAAACCTGTGTCACTCCTGGAGATGCCAAAAAGACTCCCCCAAGGGGTTTGGATGAAGAAGGTTCTTTGTCCTATTTGACGTCATCTGTCCAACAATACCCACTCCACCCACTTCCTATTACAGCGCCAAGACATTTCGGTACAAGGTGCAATTTAAAAACAAAACTGGAATTTTACCGCTCGCTCTTTAGTTCTGCAAAACGTTTTCTGACGTCGTCCATAGTAATCTCGAAGAAATCATCTGCTGGTTCCTCAAAAGCCCTCGACGCATCTCCCCCAGAGCTATGCTGCTTCAAATCCGGATGGTAAATGAGTGCCTCTCGGTCAACAGTCTTCAAAACAATCAAGAAATTGTCAGTATAATTCAGTGTTATCCAGTCAAACTCTGCCCGTTAATTACAAAAGCATTTTTAAGCTCTTTTTTCCAACCATAAAAAATAAAGATGACCATTAGCAAAACTGTACAAAACATTTCAAAGCAACTAGAAATGACATTACAGGCTTCAATGCTGAAGATAATATGTTGTTAAATATCTAAGATTTTCAATAGAAAGATGTGGGAAGCTTGAAGGGACAGACAGCTGCAGATTACTTTTGTGAAGCTCCAAACAAGGTCTGGGCGATTAAGACAAGCACGTGGAATAGAATGTAATCAGGAAATTTACTCTACAGGATGTGGTATTCCGCCCCATTAAGTACAGTCTAGCTCTTTAAAAGAGCCATTCAATTCTGATACCTTTCTTTCCCCAAATATTCATCCAATTCCCTGATGAAACCCAAAATTAATTCTGCTTCAAGCTGTTTTTGGTAGGGTGTCCTAGATCCTGACAATGCTCTAGGTGGTAAAAAAAAATTGCTTTTCACCGCTATTATTTGTTTTTTGTTGGCATATCAGAAAAACATTCCACAATAAGTGGGATCCCATCCCACGGAGGGGGATTTCAAGGAAATGTATTACAAGAAGTTCAATAGAATTCATCGGGAAGGCTTTGTAAATACCCAATTGTTCCCTTCCAGCAGCGACTCCATTTTCTTTTATTGAAGTGTGGTTTATAGAGACTGCTGGTGGCCCAGTTTACACTGCACTACAGGCTCACAGCAGGATGTCTGTACTCGTTAAACCAATTCTCAAAACAAGCAGAAAAAAAACACAGGTCGGTAAATAAGAATAATGACGTCTAAATTGGGAATGAAAGTGAAGCGATTCCAGGAACATTTCCAATTGCGGCAGACTGGCTTTCAGCAACCGCAGAAAATACGGGGCAGAAGATTTGAAACTAACGACTGCAGTTTATAGCGAATGCATCAGATCACCATGCTGGCTGGAGAGGCAGACTTTAATGCTGCTTTGAAAGCAATGTCGCTAATTTGCGGACAATTATACTGGCCAACACAGCCTAATAGCAACCCTCCTTCGGCTATAAACTTTACTTGTATTGTGTTAGGAAAAAAACTGTGCTGAGCCAAATGACAACTCGCCCCATCTTGTGGGAAAAATAATGTTTAAGGTATGCAAACTGCTTTTACTGCACGACTGTAATTTAACCCAGTGTCTTTTTGCAGTCTAAAGAAAGGAAAATAACAATGCTCTGGAGGGAAACAAAGTAGGTGGGTCAGAATTTATACTCTGAGCTTCATCACACTTCGATGAAGCCAAACATCAGATTCTTTCACCAAACTTCCAAGGGATTGAGCCAGACAAAATCAAAGGTAACATCGCAATCAATCCAAAAAAGGCCGAACTTCACAGCTCATCCTTGCTGATCAGCCATTACAGCTCATACACTGCAGACCAACGCTTCAGACAGGAATGACAAAGCTTTACACGAAAGGATGATATAAAAGGGGCTGCAGCAGAAGCAGGCAAAATGGAAATCGACCAACACGTACCTTCAAATGCTCTTGCGTGGGTGACGTCTCTGGCAAGGCGAATGCTTTACGTTGCGCATTTTCTGGGCACTACAGAAAAAAAACAGGCGTCGAATAATTTTCAGCATCACCGATATTAACCGCAATTATCATCTGTGCGTGCGTCAAAAGTGAAATTTGGAACACGACAAGCAGACTTGGGTGGTGCACTGTCCAGGGAAAGTATAGCACAGTGGATTCTAAGTGCAGGGTAAAAGCAGTGTAATTATAGTATTTTCTCAAAAACTGGCGAAGGTGTGTCTGCCTGCAATCCTTAAAAATATTCTTTTTATGAAACGCTAGCATTACCTCAAAAACAAACTAGTGGGATTCTGAGCAGAACATCGGAAAGCCCTACAATAAACAGAACTGCAAAACTCAATTTGTATAGAAAGCCAATGGGCTACAGTAGGAGGCTACAGGTTAGCTGTCCTAATAGCAATAATACCACTGTGCACTGGGATTTGTTTATAATAATCATTGCATTTGATATAGCATCTTATCATGTCTTTGAGATGTCTCAAAGCACTTCACAGAATATATCGTCAAGTGGAGTGACTGTGCATTTTGTGGGCGAAATTTTATTCCAACTGTAGGATAAAATTCTAAATAAATGAGCGGGAAGTGCACAGTGACAATGATTCACACTGGAGCTTGGCTGCTTTGGTTATTCTGTGGATTTGCCAAAGAATTGATTCGCATCACTGCAGTACAAGTGCAGGCAGCGTGAATCCATATGGCCTCTGTTCAAAACTGGTCCCTTAGAAGTACTTGGGTGGTCCTACGGACCATTGCAAGAACTTTGAAGGAAATGTTTTTAATCTTATTAAGGAAGCGGTCATGTGACCGACTTTTTAAGCAGGTTAGAAACTAACACAAGCAACCAGGTTGCATGTGGGCTGAGCTCTTGCCAGCTTCCAGAGAGATTGGGAGAAAGAATTCACTGCACCACTGGGTGTGAGGCTGCTTTAGTATGAACCAGGCTCAAAGTTCCCTCTGGACACAAAAGAGAAAACAAAATGCATATTCGCACACATGGGTACTTGTCACAGTTTCCAAACAAACAGCACAACATTTTTGAGACGCCCACTATTATGTTTTGCTGAAATCAATCCTGGGGTAAAATGGGTTTTCATTTTGAACGGATATTTTCATTGAGCAAGTCAACAAACATCCACCAACAGGTAGAAAAACTTAGTATTCGTCCACAAGCAGAATGTGCCCTTGGAGCAAGGTGATAAGTAAAATGTCACAGACAGAGCCATTGGAAATTTTAAAGCTTGTGCACACATTATCCAAAGTCCTAGAGAAAACTTACCAGCGCTCGTCATTTCCAGGCTCTAATTATGCCACTCAATATACTGGCGTTGGTTAGGAAATAATAGGCTTGAGAAAAATTATTTTTGATCAAGGCACAAAGTGCTGAAATTCAGTATTAAAGGATTTGCAGTGACTTTGGGGCCAAAGCCAAAATTAACCTGCCGTGTGATGTGGCAGCACACTACTAATTAAACTAGTTATCCCCAAACCTGATGATTGTTGAATTATGGTTTGTATATCAAAACGGGCTTGCAATTAAGCTTAGTCGTGTTGTAGAATAATAATTATGGGGCTAACCAAAATATTTTGACTTTTTCTTCCCCCAGCAAAGATCTAGATTCTTATACTGACAGACGAGAATACGATCATTAAAGAGGGGCTGAATTTAACTGGGCCAACTGGGTTGTGCTGCACCTTTAACTCAGTATAAATTAATTCTTCCCATTCATCTCACCTTACTGCACCAGACCTGAACATGGTAAAAAGAGGGAATGCATTCTCAGCTCACTGTACTTCTCAAGAATCAAGCAATTTACAGGTAGCCAAGTGTCCACTGTACATCTTGCAGGGCATTTCCATTTATCAGCTTGACTGAATTGGTGGCACTCTCCTCTATGGGTCAGAAGGCAGCTGGACAAGCAGCAGTAAAGCTTGCCAGACAGTGCTCTCAATGGCAAGTTATAGGTTTTAGCTGGTTGTACTGCAGCGGTACTACAACTCACACGCTGGGGTCCTCAAGCCTTGCATCTTGCTAACCGGGGCAATTAGGTAAGCAGGATGCGATCCCAACAGGAAGAGAGTGTGCGGTACATCACAATAAACATCTCTGGAATTTCCATGTGTAGGTCGGATGCATGAAATTCTCAGTTTGGTTGGATGCTCTTAAACATGGTGATGGGCATCTGCATGTGTTAAGACACTCAGCTGACCCCCCAAAATTATCCTAATCCTATTAGACCAAGTAAAAGATGGTGGTAATGGGGGAAGAGGTGCTATCCTTCAGATGAGAATTTAAGCTGAGGTCCTGTTTGCCTGTTCAGGCAGTATCCTGCAATCCTGTGATACTATTCAAAAACGAGAAGGAAGTTTCTCCTGATGGCCTGACCAACAATCTTTAAGAAAACTGAATATTTAGTGTTTGTGGGAGCTTGCTATGTGCAAATTGGCTGCTGCTTTTGCCGGAAAATACAGTCACTACAGTTGTATTGTGCCTTGGGACTTCTTCCCGACGTGAAGGGCGCTATACAAATGTAATCTTGTTGTTGTTGTTGACAGCAACTATCTGTGAAGTCGTCCACAGGAAACTTTAGCGTACGTTATTATATCACTTCCCTGCTTTTCTTCGAAATAAACCATAAATCGTTGCAATATTGTACCACAACAACCTGACAGGAAAGTCTTGCGTTTGTAACTCTCTCGATTGAAAACGCACTGGATCCAATTGAATTGATGAAGAAACCACACTTTTATTGACCTGCTTCTGCAGCCAGTACTGTAGAGTCCAACTTTTTTTCAGACCCAAATACTTTCCGTTATATGCCATACAACAGATGTACAAACTGAAAAGGAATCTGTACGCCCGGTGCTTATTCTGGCTCAATTGCCTGTTGTTACACATCTCTCACGATTTATGTGGAGTTATTTATTTCCCCTCTCCTCAAGTACCAGCAGCACACACTTTAGAAAAGGAAACCCCAAAAAAACACCCTCTTTCATCTCGATTACACTGATTACAGCAGCCGGCAATGGCTCATTAAGTGTTGGAATGAACCCTAGCAGTCCTTTAAACCACTTTTCTGTAGACACGCGCATCAAAAGCAAGTACTTTGACCATCTTGTGCATTATACAGAGGAGAGCATCCCAGGTTCAGTCACTTGGCTTCAACCAAGAAGGTGGGGGGTGGGGGAGAAGAGAGAGAGAGAGAACCGCATTTTCAGTCTTTGATCACAAACTTGTACCATCTATCAGGCCTCTAATTGTGATATACCATATGTTGTACCCTCCCCCACTTCACCATCCCAAGCCCTGTGGAGCCATGGCAGATATCAAAGCGCTGTATTTACAGTTATCTAGTGCTTTGCAGGAAGTAATCAGTTCTGTTCAGGGTCACTGCTTTGGCCTGGGACAGAGAAGCAAACCAACCAACGCCAACTTCAAAGTGAGGTGCTCCTCGCTGTTGTTCGAACTCTGGACTACAAACACTATAATCAAGGAAATTTCAGCTCTGATTTGCAGAGAGTTCAGTGAAAACTACCTTCGAATAATTAAAGTTAGACATCAAAGCCTCAGAGGTTTGGTCTGCTAAACATGCGTGGCAGAAGAAAGCAGAGTACATATTTTATCCTGTTCAATTTCTGATTGCAAACCACACTTCATCAAACGCGAGTGGAAAATGTACTGTTTTCCCTTCTCTTTTTATTAACCGAGCATACCTTTGAAGTCCAGAATTCTTTTCGAGCACAAACAGCAAAAAAATAAAATATTTCAGGCAAACTCAAACAGCCAGAAGATTTGCCCCGGCCGTAAAATGGGTCTGCGCTGACTTCATTCAACATCTGACACAGATGTTTACGACAGATTTCAAAGCCATCTGAAGACTAACCGGTTAATCTAAGAGCTGGCTTCTAATAAATAATAATAATAAACTTTGTATTTGATTTAGCGCCTTGTCGCGTCGAAAGGACGTTTCAAAGTGCTTCACAGAATATACTGTAAAGTGAATTGACTGTGAATGTTATGGGCGAAACTTCATCCGAAGATCAGCACATCTGACTGTGCAGCACTACAGCAGCACTGCACTGGAATGTTAGCCTGGACTTTGAATTCCAGTGCCAACGTGGGGCTTGATGCCAAACCTTCTGACATAGGGATTGAGGGTACCACCAAGCCAGTACCTTGGCAGCTGAAAAGCAGGAGAGATGTTTTGCAGAGGAAGAAGGAAAACACAAGCTAGTTATCATCCACAGTTTTGTGCAGTTCCTCGTGAATGGTTAAGAGTAGAATGGGCTGAGACCTGAAGAGAAATCTCGGAACTCTCTACCCGTTATGGTTGCCAGGGTTCAGTTGACCCTGCGCCCCGGGATGCTACCCTGCGTGAAGGGCGCTATATAAATGCAAGTTGCTGTTAAAGTGTACCTCGGATGACTGTAGACTAAACTGGCTGAACAAGGTTTTCCTCAGGGATTGTTCACCCCCAGGGAGACTACTGTTCACCCATTTCCTCTTCTGCCTCCCACGTCACCTCAGATTATTTTAGACATGGTAGTCATTTTGAATTGAGCTTTGAGGCTGAGTGGATCCATGAAGGTTTGAACCAAGAATCTGCTTATTCCAACGCTGATCTGACCCAGGACAGGAGGCTATATTCATAGCTACAAAAAGCACAAGAATCTACAATCCGCACCCTTTTAGATTTGTACTGTAATTAACCACATTTCCTTTACACTGGCTTTTTTTTAATCTTAAAGCCTTAAATTAAAACCACATGAACCAGTACAACATGCACAACACGTTGCACAAAATGAGCCACCTCAAAGATATTTCGAAAGATCTTGATGAAGTTGGATCTGTAGGCTCTTCCTTCAACAAAATCCTCCTAAAAACACACCTTTTCAACCCTGCTTGTGGTCAACATCCTTATTTTCTCCCATAATAACTGTGAAACACCTTGAGATGACTGTTCTATGTGAAAGGGCCTACATAATCATTGCCATTGTTGACACAAGCTGCTGGAGTAATCAAGGTGACAGTTTCCAATATGTATACCTCTGAGTATTCACGGAAAGAATCCTCTAAATTCTTCAGACAGACGCTTCATTTCCACCTCATTTTGTCTGTGTGAAGGGCTTTGAGACGGTCTCCCCAACATAACTATATTCAATGACAGTTCATTGAATAGTCATTGCTCAACTCAGAGCTAGCTAGAAGTTTTTAAAGAAATAGCTTCCTTCCTTCATCCATGTGGCTTAGTGAAAAATGACCTATGGGATTTTATCTCAACCACAAACTTTATTCTTTAAATGGTCCAAGTCCGGCACGTTACCCTGTAACAACATCTGTTACCCACAGCTCTCAGAGCCACATTGGGCCTCATTGTCAGATACTCACTAAATACTCCAGATCGTGAACTCAAGCTCAAAAATGATAATAATAATAATAAACCTTGCATTTGATATAGAGCGTTATCACATCTTTGAGACGTCTCAAAGCGCTTCACAGAATATACTGTAAAGTGAACTGACTGTATATTTTGTGGGTGAAATTGCGCACAGCAGTGTCCCACAAACAGTCGGGGATTGAGTGACCAAATTATTCATTATTATTATATTTTTTTGAAGGGATTATTACCCCTGGAAAAGTGATCTGCCAATCAACTAACAACCGAGTTCCTACTTACTGCTAGGTAAACAAAGTTATGTGGAGTAAGGAAACTTGTCTAACATTTTGCCCAGCCCGGGAATCAAACCCAGGTCCTCTTGCTTGCGAGACAAGTTCTCTTAACCAATATGCTACAGGACTCCACAATCCAACTAATCTGGATTCCGTTGTCACTTGCTCTCATTTGCAGTTCATTCCTCCTCATTGTGCATCTGGTCTGACAATTTGGGGCCTCCAGCGCACACTGATATTTCAACCTTTTGCAGGGGACTTTTGCCCATTTGCTCTCTGGGTTCCCTTGTGCCATGCCCAAGTCCCATTAAAGATTATTTTTTATATAAAAAAATACAAGCTGAAAGGCACAGCAACCTTGAATCGTACAACAGTGCCGCCCGCAAACGATCCTGGCACCTGTATTGCAGGAGAGGTCAGTCTCATATCAATAAAGCAAAGTTGTTAAAAGAAGAGGGAGCACACCACCTGATAAGTGAATAAGCAGCAAAGCTCCGAGATGCATTTGCTAGCCCTCTTGAGAACATTCAATCCTTTTTTTTCTAGTACTGAACATCTTTTGCAACCTTCAAAAAAATTTACATTCTCAAAGAATAATGAGGGAAAGAAAGCAATGCTTACAAATATTCCCCTGTGGGAAGGTTGCTGACAGGAAAGGTTTTGGAAGTCATTCAGAAAGCAGCCTGAACAAGAGTAAATTAAGTACGCAGATGTTCCTTGGAAACTCAAAATCAGCCAATGTTCAGGGTAGAATTTGAACCTGATGCTTAGAATTCATACAGAAAGTATAATATAGATTATAATCAGCGAGAAGGAAAGAACTTGCAATGCCCCCAGCACTGCACTGGAGTACGAGCCTACAAGTCTCGATGTCTTTTCAGACTTAAGAGGCAAAAGTGCTATCGACTGAGCCAAGCAGCCTTTCCTAATCTACAGCACGACAAAACAGTTTAATAAACAAAATGGTGAACAAAAGTTTGAGACCATTTTAATGAGGCATAAAGAAATCTTCACTGCCCTTCAATAATGCTAGACTAGGGAGTAGTCAATCGTGCAATCACCTTTAAAGACACTGTTTCTGAACAGGAAAATATTCTACACCATGGGGAGGGGTTGGGGGGAGGAAGTAATGTCCCATCTTGTAAATGCCAGTCAAACGAAGAGTCACCCAAAATAGATTTATAAGTCTACAATCTAAGAATACTTACCTCTAATTCTATTTTGGTTTCCAACACAGCCTGGTGAAGACATGCTGGATGTCTTAAGGTTTTGACTTCCTATTCTCCCCCACAATTACAGTTTGGTGCTCTATGTGCTGCTGTGAAACCAAACTATTTGGGTTGTTTCATTGTGCTGTTCCATTTCTCTCTCTCTCCCTCTCTCTCACACACACACACACACTATAATCACACAGTAAACTCAACATCAAGCTGGCTATCCTTTTCATCAAAGCATTTAATAGTTCTGTAAAGGAAGGAAAAAAAGGAAAAGATATTGCTTTATCGTTGTGTCTTGTCAAACCAAACATCTAAACCTGTTGTCAAGTGAAATAACTTTTTTGTAGGCAACTAGAGTGGCAGCCATGAAGCGAATGACCAATTTAACTGGAAGAATATTGGCCAGGAAACCAGGAGAAAATCCCTTCTCACAGGATCTGTACCTCCATCTTAGTAGGCAGATGGGGCCTCGGTTTAATGTTTCACCCAAAGGACGGATTATTTGATCATCACCAAACCATGCCACATTCCAGTGTCGGCCTGGTCTGTGATTTTAAGGTCCACTTAGGGAAATCTCTGTAACAATATAAAACCTGTTCTATCAATTAATAATACGTTTCTTGCTGGATTGACTGCTTTTACCAAAGGTTTTACTCAGTTGAATGGAGTTTCAAACACTTGGCACACTCTACATAGAAAATAAAAGAGCTACTTTCACGACCATTAGGTATCCATCGTTCCACTTCAGATTAATGTGGATCAGAGAAGTTATGAGGAATTTCTCAAGCTGGAAAAATCAGACACCATTGTAGATAGGGAATTTGGACGCGGTCTAAGTACCGCTCGGTCTTAACGTCAGATAAACAGCAGGATTCCTCACCAGGAACTCAATGTCAAATTAAGCAACGGGTTCAAACGCTAGCATCTGCTGACCCAGACATATAGACAGCTGGGGGTTGGGGTCAGGAGAGAGAAAAGTAAGAACTCAGCTGTATGCACTACGGTGGCAATGAATAGAGAGAGGCTTCTTGTAGCTGCCCACCGGAAGGAGAACTCAACTGGAAACAGGACTTCAAAAAAAATTATCCTAAGCACCAAAGAATTCTGAAAATCATGACATAAAGTTGGCTGAAATCTGGACTCATGACAATGGGATATAAACTGATCAGGAGTTTACGAGTGTAATGAGAGAGCAATTTATGTAATACCAGAGTCAGATCAAACACAAGAGCCATACGTTACTGAGAAGGTTCACTGTTACAGACCTCTGGACATAAAGGGCTATTCCTGATGAAAACCCTGTGCAAATTGCTCCACAGAATCTGGGCACTGATCCTGCTTAATACACTTGTTCTAAGGCCTTTGTGCAATAGTCTGTCTAAAAGCTCTAATACTATCAATCACCTGTGACAGTGGAGCATGCACTTTTGAATTTATCCAAAGACATCATTCTTCTTTTATGAGGACTAGATGATGTGTCCAGTTGAACTAAAAAAAAGTTTCTGGGATGAAAAAGATGATGGGAGAGCCAGCGGAGAGCAACTAAGCTCATATTGCACCTGGAAGAAAAGGCAAAAATGCACAAGAACGTTCTTTCCTATTGTATGGGCAGCCGATTGAGCTACAAGGGTCTGTGTTTTGTGGGACACTGCAGTACACGATTGACTGTCTCAATGACTGTCTCATTTCAAACAGACAACTCTAAGCTGCATTTTCTGAAAAGCCAGGAAATGCACCCCTCAGAAGAAATGGCCACGTTTTCAACTTAATCACCATTTCACATACAGTGTGTTGTAAACTGAAAATTAAAAGCAGGCAGCAGCATTTTAATTTCCTATATAATCGAAAAATACATTTTACGGTTAATTTAGGGTTTGGATAAAGAAGATAAAAGTAAATTCCAGGGTAAAAAGGAACGCGAAGTGTAAAAATAGCCAAAGTACTGTTTACATAGCTTTCCCATCTCTATACTCTGCCCAAGCTTAGTTATTAAGTAAGTATGTCCTAACTTTACATCACCAAAGCTGCTGCGTCCGATGTACCTTGAGTAGAAGCTGACCTCTCTGTAGGCACTAATGTAATAAATCAACACAGTGTTCTGATCGGAAGTGTTGAGCTGCTTACATCCATTGGAGCTCTCCAGCACAGTAAGGTGATCTATACATTTCTGAGCTTCTGACCTGAGTATTGGATTAGGCTGATGCTTAGGTGAGTCCAGGGTGTGGCCAAAGACAGGAGAATGACTTCTTTGAAAGTTTTACCAGACAGACAGACCACAGTGCTGTGAGAGGTTGGGAGTCTAGGCAAGTTCAGGATCAACAAGACTGAGAAAGTTGATCCTCTCGTTTCAGTTCCTTGTGACCACTATAACGTGACGAAGGGAGAAATTCCTTGTGTACATTAAAACAAAATGAGGTAAGGGGTTAAAGCTTTTACTGTAATTGTGAAAAAACAAGAGCTCAGAGATCCACCCGGAGGGGTTTAATTCAACGGCATAACTTGGTATGACTAGGTCAAAAATATTATAGGGAGTGCAGTGACCCCTCGTACATTTAATCTCATTCTTGTGGTACCGGTCGGTGGGTGGAGTTTCTCTAATGAAACGGATACTATTCCCTACCTTAGAGGGTGACTGCTCAAGCGTGGGTTTAGATTTCTTTGGAAGTGGTGGGCCACCTGGACTGGAAACAGATCTGGGTGCCATTTTATCCGAGGGAGACTTTTCCCCTCCAGCCTCCGATCCTCCCAGTTGCTGCCCACCTCCTTTGAAAGGAACAAACGGGACACGGTTCTCGTGTGGTGTGCAAGAGGCACCGAGCTCAGGAACATCAGGCCTTTCTGAGGAAGTACCCGTTTTAGAAACAGCAGCTTTGCCTGGAGACACACTTCGCCTCCCCACACAGCTGATCTGGTCAGTTGACAATTTGCTTCCATTCTCTTTTGTTTGCAAAACGTCTGCAGTCTCTTGGCTGAGCTCTTCGTTGTCAGAGCACTTTGGTGGTCCGTCCTGGTTTCCTTCAGAGAGCTCCACAGTTCTGCTTGCCACAGCCTCAGTCAACCCATTGGAGTTTGAATCTTTCACAGAATGATCCGAGGTGTTTGGTTCGGACGGGAAGCCATCGACGTCCTTGGTGGCTGAGGTTTTTCTCACTGGCTGTCCTTCAGAAACGACTGCCAAATCCATGGGCTCATCGGGTCTAGATTTCTTCAGGACATACCTACGTGGAAGAATAGCACAGAATTAAAGCTCTAATCACTCTTGTGTTGTGTTAACCATATCCATCATTGGATATCATGGAGGAAGTAATGTCAGAGACTAGTTCTGGAATTTCAGGCATTAAGTCATGGGTGGTACATTGACAGTCCATCATCACTCACAGTGCAGTATAGTTGAATAAGTCGAAGTTTCACTTACTGCTGGCGTTACATCAAACAAGTTCTCACAAACATAAAAATGCTCTTTCTCCCAAACACAAACCTTTCTGCACAATGTACAGGACTGCATCATTAGCCTCAAAAGGATATCAAAGATAAAGAGTCGATCACAACAAACAATAGTCCACATCACTGCAAAGAAACCACAAAGGCACAAAGGTATCCTCTAGAAGAAAGCATAAGCTTGCCCTGATTGTGAATGGGTTACCACAACTAAAAAGCTAACTCTTCGACCGTGACTTTGGTCAACATTGTTCATTTTCTCATTTCCCTGTTCAGTTGTCAAGTGCTTAGAGATTTTCTTTGGAGTAAAAGGCGTTGTATAAATACAATTTGCTGATGACTACCAAACATTTAAAAACATCAGAATCACTGGCAAATGCAAGGATGAGCTACAACGGGATGCAGAATCACTAGGTAAGAGGTAACCCAGAGAAGCCATTGAAGATCAGATTCCATAGTCTCAAGAGGCTCGAAAACCATTCACTTGTGGTTGGGTCCTCCTGACTTGGTAGCACATCAGCTACGTGAGCTAGAATCTACCCTCTACCCTACTCCAACACATCGCCGCCCAATGTCCTCTGCAGTTCTGGGCCAACCAGTGCAACCTGGTGAATGAGTAACAGTTGCTCAGACAACACAATAGAGGCTTCTGATCAACATATCAAATGGGACAGAAACTTTGATCTGGATGAGAAAAGAAAACATTGCAGAAATTAACACTCCCAAAAATCTGAAGGTAAGTTACATTTTTGGTTGTGCTTCAAAGTCACTTGTTTATCTCAGTGTAAAATGGAGCTGCAGCTGAGGTGCCCCCTCCCCTCGCCTCCAATCCAGACTGACTGTAGCAGAGTAAAGGCCAGAAATGTGGACTGCAAACATTTAAAATTGAAGCTTGCAAGTCAAATGAATCTCGTCAGGAGTTGGATGGGTAGCTAGGGGGACCAATGGACTACAACTAACTCTGATGGTTACTACACTAAAAAGATCCATTTGCAACCATTTCCATTTTACACTGAGATAAACAGTGACTTTGAAGCACAACCAAAAATGTAACTTACTGCTGATATTTTTTCAGATTTTTGGGAGTGTTAATTTCTGCAATGTTTTTTTTTCTCATCCAGACCAGAGTTTCTGTCCCATTTGATATGTTGATCAGAAGCCTCTATTTTGTTGTCTGAGCAACTGTTACGCATTCACCAGGTTGCACTTGTATCCTAAATGTTCGTTAATCTTCAATATGTTCAGGTAGATCATAAATGCTTGGATACAGCCTAGCAACCACTTGGCACCTTTTCATTTCTGGCTTTAGGAAACCCTTATGCATTCACTGGCTTCCCAGCCATGTGATAGTGAACAGTCTTCATGTCTGTTCAGTCAACAACAACTTGCATTCATATGGAGTGGAGTCCTGTAGCTCAGTGGTTAGAGCACTCGCTTTGCAAGTGAGAGACCTGAGTTCAATTCCAGGCAGGCGAAACCTTGGGCAAGTTTCCTTACTCCACACAGAGCCTAATAATAATCCCTCCAAAACCAAAAACAATAATAAATTGGTCATTTTCAATCCATGACTGTTTGTGGGACATTGCTGTGCGCAATTGGCTGCCGCGTTCGCCCACAAATATACAGTCAATTCACTTTACAGTGTGTTCTGTGAAGCGCTTTGGGACGTCCTCCCGACGTGAAAAGCGCTATATCAAATGCAAGCATTATTATTATTATTATTAATTATTATTATTATTATATAGCACCCTTCATGTGGGTTAGCATCTCGGAGCAGTTAGTCAGTGAATGACTGGAGGCCATCAAAAGTCAGGCTTGTCCCAGGATCCAGAGACTAAATTAGAATCATTAAAACTATAGGACCTGCAGGGCAGGCATTCTGGAGGGATGCAATCAAATGGGCTGAAGGGCTTTCTTCAAATGATCTCTCTTGTGATCTTTACCGCTGCAGATTACTTTTCCCCTTTCTGTGAGGAAGGTCTTAGCTTCCACTTGGTAAGTGGCCTTGGAGGAACGATTCACCTTGAAATTACAAGCTCACCACGTGAGGACCAACAGGCAACTGACCTCTGGAGTTATCCTGTCTGGTCACAAAGCTTCAGGTTTGCAGAAACAGAACCTGAAGGGCATTCAGAAGGTCTCTGAACAATTTGAACCTTTAAACCATCTGAACCCTGGTTGGGAGTCAACTTAATGGTCTTTCACATTTTTTTTCTCTCCCCAAAACATACAACAATTAAGTTTTTTTTCTTATTCAGCCACTCAGATCACTGTATGTGCAGTACAACTGTGATCACATCTCAATGCTCTTATGATCAATCGGACAGAGTATTCAGGGAGCATTGTACAGGTATTGTAGAAGAGGGGGAGGAAAGTAGTAAGATTCTTTGAAAAATTGTCCTGAACATTTAATTACATTCCACCTGCCATTTGAAGTACATAATCATTCCAAGGCTGTTAAATACCAGGATTTTCTCTAACACGTACCATATGAAGAAATAAAACGGGGAAATAAGCATTATGCAAAAACATATGTGGCCCATTATTACTTTTCAAGACAGGCCACTTCACTTAAAAGCAAGTCATGTATGAGCAAGTTCCATTTAAGAGCAACTATCACTTTTTCCTCCAATTGGTTTCTATGGCACTGAGTTTCTGTTATGTGTTTCTGTGGCACTCTTTGCTATTATGTGCATGTTGTTTCACTTAGAAACATGCCGTTCCTTCCAGTTCCATTGCTCCCTCCCGGAACCTAAGATGGCCTTGCATCATTTGGTCCTTTACTGCATGCCATTAATCAACGTAACTACCCATAGTTGTACAAGGCTAAATGTTTATAGCCTGCTTTTTAAAAGGCAACGAAGAGCATCTATTTTAAGAGAGGGAGTTTCTTAATTAGTTCTCTAAGCTGTCGCCTACCAAAGCTACTTTATTTCCCTGCTTCTGTGTCGCTTTGTTAACGGAAGATGCTTAAAAATAACCCCCTGGGTTTGGGGGTCGGTCAGCAGCAATGCGGATGTGAAGATGTTGCAACGAACGGCAAGTTGGGTTATAAATAAATCCCTCTAGTTCTTGAAGCTAGATTCTCCAACAAATAAGTTCTGTTTTTCTTTAAAAGCACCTGTAATAATTAATTGAGTCAAATATCTATTGCAAATTTCAAACATTCTTCTAGCGGGAAAGGAGCGTCTCATCCACGTACATTTATTATACATGGGGGTGAATTCTACTTGGTCCAGTTATTTCCTGCTAATCAAGAAACTGGAGATCGCAACTCGGATTGAAATGGACTGTGTTTTATACTACCCATTAGGGAAGGCTGCAACTGCTTGAAGAAGACATTTTTCTTACCTAATTATGGCACTACCAGAAGTGAGACCAAGTAATCGGAGGGTTGTTTTCTTTAGTGCAGATTGTCCACTTATCTGAAAGAGGCCAAAAAGTGGAGAACAATTGTAAAAACACACACACAAAAACCACAATCTAACTAAAATCTTCACATCCCACATAAATGCCAACTACAAAAATACAATATGGTATAATCATATTAATCCTTGTATTTCATATAGCGCCCTATCACGTCGTTGAGATGTCTCAAAACATTTCACAGAATATACTGTAAAGTAAATTGATTGTGTATTTTGTTATATGAGTGCAGTCTTACACACAACCTCACACTAATCACAACATCCTTTCATTACAAATAAGACGCATTGAGGACTGATCAAAAAAGATAAGTCTTTGTTGTGGAAATGTGGAAAAAGCATCCATTTGAAGCAAATAAAGCCTTTAATAAATAAAATCCTTTGCAAAAAATAAAAGTACAAATGGTCAGTTAAGAACTGTTTGGAAGGTTATACGGACGAAGGGATAACTGATCAAATGGTCTGTGGAGAGCAACGCTCTGTGCTGGTAACACCTCGGCTGTCAGCTGTGCAGCTGGACTAAGGTAACATCTGAAATTTCACTCAGTTGTCTTCAACCTTCAAAAATCCAATTTCTTCTCAAGTCAGTAGGACCCAAACTGAGACGGATTCAATCAGTGCCAATCTACCTCAAATCATGCTTTGTTTAAATAAAACAAACAAGATGAAAACAAAGTCTTGAAAAAGAGACCCGCTTTTCAACCTCTCAGGGATGGACATCAATAATAATAATAATCGATACCCTGAAAGTACAAGATGTTATAGGTTTTATAGAAAAGGCTATCCAATCATGGTCCCTACTGTGATTCACATCAAGTGATACTAAAATCTCAAGTGTTACTAACATCTCAAGGGACGTCTTTCTTTTCTTATGCATGAAGTACTTGCTTTCAATTGGGTATTAAGATGCCCGGACACCAGCTATTCACTCTTTGCAGAGTAAAACCGGCAGCCAAGAATTAAGCCTCCATTTGTGTTTGTTATAACAAGTTGTTTCAATTCCCTGCAGTGTGCAGTATGCTCGTGACAATGCTATTTTCCAACGACATCCTTACAATTAGTCCTCAAGAGGGTACAGCTGCTGGATTACAGATGCTTGCTGACAAAGCCCTGCGGGTTTCTATGACGTGCGAAGAGTTCATCGCTGACTAACACGCAGGACTTCTGACTCAGTCATGGCTTGTTTCACACAAGAGAACTCAACTTAATATCCAGACTGCTTCCATTCCATCTTTTTGTTTAACTCCTCTGGAGCTGGATTCACCCTCCAACCATTGAAAGCTTTATGTATGTATAATTGTACACTGTGGATAGCCTGGTTAGGTATCACCCAGACACACAGTCTGTTTCATACCTGAAGTGTTACGTTTACAGAAATGCTGCTTGCTTCAAAAGTTGCAATGAATGAATCAACGGTTCCTAAGCCTGTTTACGTTCATCATTCTCAATGAATGACAAGCGCCTAAAGTTAATGCTCTTGTGACTTGGCGCTAATGGTGGACAACCGCTGCAGTTCATACATCACCAAAAGTCTCTTAAACAAATCCTGGACCGGAAACCATCCTTTTTAAACATTGTATACCTGCAGCACACTCCACTGAGTCAGGTCAAAACCCACCCTGAATCTACCTGGATTTCTTTTTGCTTTATAACCATTATGACTAACCACATACAGCCTTTGATGGTAGCTTTGCACCACTTACTGTATCAGTGCGCAAAGAATGATTCATCTGAACCGCACTAATGCTACAGCCATAATTCAACATCTAAAAGCTGAAAAAGGTGTCTGAGCTAATCACTAAGGCCGGATGCACCAAATTCAGTAATAAGGGCATGAATCATTCCGTATCCTACAAATTGTTACCTTGTTCTGGTCAACGTTATACTTTTGAAACACGAACAGCACATTTAGGTATTTATACATCATTAATTATTGTTGTAGCCGTTGGCTAGAACCATCGTTTTGTTGTGCAATTAAGAGGTGATCATCCCAGTACATTGCAGCTGGTAGAATTCTAAACTTTAGAGTTAGGAATCTAGAAGGACATTAAACAAGACGAAACCCATGGCTAACTGTCCTGTACGCAAGGTGGGACTCTTGGAAATTATTTTGTTATTGGAACAGGAAGCAAGCGAGAAGTAACCGCACAACTCAAGTCATTACAAATTACGTACTTATCCCCAGAAAAGTAAACCCAGAAGATTACCGAAGAACACATTTCATTTTCTTTGTAGATTCAGCGAGGCTTTCAGATCTGGGCTTCCAACTTGAAGTTGTAATGTTAAACGTTGGGTTAAGGCGAATGTGTTGACCTATAAAGTATTTCTCATTTAGTTCAAAGTAATTCTCATTGAGATCAAAGGCAGCCGCATAGAACCAATCTGCTCTTCTTTTCCAGGGGTGCAAAAAGAAATGTGACCAGAGTTCTCAAATGCTTCAAAGCACCGTGAGCAGAGAGTACTTTTAAACAGATGTGACATTTGATGCAGAAGCTTTTGGAATGAAATCAGTGCTAGAAAAATATTTGACTTGGCGAGAAGACCTTTTTTTGAACTCACCTAAATTAACTTTTCACTTGCCAGAAATGATTACTAGAAATTAAACCAGATCCTTTCCCCCTTCGGCTGTTGGAATCCAGCTGGCTTGTCCAACCTGAGCTTGGATCACAGGGGCTGAGTGTCCTTTCTCAAACGCAGTCGCTTCCTGATTCTGACATGATTCCACACAAACAGAGACCGGATCTTCAAACTCTGCACTTTTCATTGGCCACACAACCGGCATTTCATGTCTTTTTTTCAAAAAAACACCCAAAAGAATGCTGTTTTCCCTTTCCCCCTTTCCAAAATACCCCCAGTAGCTAGGTGATATAAATAGGTAACTGGCTTTAAAAAGTTAAGAGAAAGTTGAAAAGAGTAAAATAGAAATAATAATCCACGCAGAATTCTTCTTACAATCGTTTAATAATTGTTTGGACCAGCTTGGGTCCAAATCTCTGACTGTCCAGCGCCTTGGGACGTCCTCCCTACGTGAAAGGCGCTATACAAATGTAATCTTGTATTGTAATAACAAAATTTTTGCACCAATATGGCAGGCACGGAAGCTAGGTACTAGCATTGTCTATCCTATATCCCACTCTAATAATAAGCAAGTTTATTGCCGACAAGTTAAATATAACGATTTTCTCCCCCAACAGAGACAAAAGTGACCAAACGGCAATGGGTTTCCATAGAAACTCATGGGAGAAAAATTACTTGGCTGAAAAGCTACTTTAGAATTCTTAAAAGATGTCCTTAATTTTCAAGCCGCTTTTCGGTAAGAATTACTGAATCCCTGCTTCAGGGTTCAGTCGGAATTCAACAATTTGACAAATACTGGGCACTCTAAAATGCCACATAAATCAACACCCAGGTGGAATTTCTCCCTGCAATATGCATGTCTGAAAGTGTCTTCAGGGCAAGAAAGTTCACTTGTAACAACGCAATCCACTTTATAATGAAGCTTGCTCAAAACACTTCAGATAGTCTGAGGGGCACGCACACTGCCTGGTGCTATTTTGGCAACACTCAGCACATTAGTACTTCAGATGAGAATTAAATTGCTTGCGCAGTAACAACATTCCAGGAACAGATTGGGAAGGTGAATCCTGACATGGTTTTTCCTCAAAGATTTTACATCAATGACGTGATAAGGTGCTATATCAAATGCAAGGATTATTATTATTATGTTGTTAACTCAATTTTTCCATGACAAATGCAAAATCATTCATTCAATTGACCTGCTATGTTCGTGCACACAACAAACCAAACTCCAGCAAAATTATTATCAACTGCTTGTCAGCCTGCAGTGCCATGCTTCCCTCCTCCCACAGTTTTCATAGAATCAGAGGACATTTAATGCAGAAGGTGGTCACTCGGCCCAGTGTGCCGATGCTATGTGCTTGGTTGGTGTGTTGGTTTTTCAGTCAGGAATCTCACAGTAATTTTACGCTTCAATTGAAGGATTGTCAAATGACGTACAAGAAAGTGGTGCCGTGACAACCTAGAGTTAACAGCAGGATTCTTTAGATCGAATTTGTAAGAAAGAGAAATAACAATTGTGGTTGGGAGACGAAGAAAAGGGCAGAAATGTTCAGCAACTGAGTCAGTTGGCAGATTATTAGAGGACAGAGTTTTTCCACTTGGGATGTCTCGTGTCGAGAACATCTATTCAAACCAATCTGATAAGAAGAGGAAAAGTTCACCTACCTCATCCCTCATATAAACACAGACTGGAGTAGCTTCAAACAGATGTTGTTCAGAAACTCTAAAAGATAGGAGTTGTGGGTTGGATGGGGTGGGGGAAGCAGGGTGAAGGTGGTAAAAGGAAAGAGGGAGAGAGAAAAAAAAGCAGTATTAGTACACAACAAATATTTATAAGCTTAGATAGCAAGGAACACTCCTGATCAAAATGTAAAGCAACAGTGTGAAAAAAATTAACCTCATGAACTCAAGTCTTGGCCTCTTCTTTGGTCAGATGTCAAGCCCGTACGGTTTTTAATTTGAGCCATGAACGAGTACCTTGGGTAATCCAGTTGCAGCCGCTAACATGTAACGATAAACAGCTGCCAACTCGTGCACACTCCAGATGTTTATCCACTTGCCACAAACCCCAAGAAGGTGTTGACAGTATGCCCAGCGTACACAGAGGCTGTGGCAGGCCACGGTGCAACTCACGATCCTGACATGAAAGTAAATCGAACCTCACCTGGCTTTGACTAGGTGCTCTTTTGATCGTTTTAGTACCATCTGTGGCCAGAGAATCTGGTTCGAAAATTGCTGACGACACGCATTTAATTATGCTCTGCGCGGATTCAGCAAGTTTCAAAGGCTGGGGAATTCATTTTCTCCTTTGTTTTAGCTCCCCGGTGTCATTTCCCCAGCACATCCAAGGGGGTTGTGGACACTTGTAATAGTGGCAATCAATAATGTCTCCACAGCACACCGAATGGCAAATTACTTGCTTGCACAGAATTGAATGGAATAATTTGCTAAGACTGCACCCTTGCTGTAAAATAATTAATTATGAACCATCCCATAATTTGGAATCACACTCAGGAGAATTTTGAAGTAAATCGTTAAGTGCCACTATGCTTGACAACAATTCTCTGTGAAGCACTCTGAGATGTTTCAACATTATCAACGCTATTTCAAATGTGGCAAATATTATTATTAATGTTCCACAAACAGTACTGAAACAAATGACTAATTTTATCTGGAGGATTGTTGAGAGAGGATACTGGGAGAAATTCCAATTTATTTTTGAATGGTATCGTAGGATCTTTGATGTCTACTTGAACAGCGAGACAAGACCCCGGTTTACATTAAAATGAAAACTATTTACAATTCAGTCACTTCAAACCATCAACAGCAGCAGAAAGAAGTTGAACTATATAAACAGCACTGCTCCTTGACGCAGATAGCTCTGTTACACCTGTGGACGCGTATCGTTTCAGAAGAGTTTTGTCACACGAGTAGATACACTTTTGGCAGACAAGGAAAATAATAACTGAATCAGCCACAAAATGTGGGATCACACAGAGCCCTGGGATCCTTTATAATCAACACACACAAGACCAAAAAATCTGAAACATTATTTCTGCAAGACCACATTATAACGTGTCAAAAATAAATTTTAGAAACGGTACCCTTTCTGGGAGTCATTTTTGAAAAACATTAATTCCACCTGTACAAATAGCAGAGCCATTGCAAGTCTCTGCATAACAGGAAAGCTGTGGCTAAAGGATAAATTTTACAAATACCTCTAAGCTCTTACTAAACACCCTGAAGTCGATTTACTATATTACAAAAATACAAAATGATTTATTGTGAGTTCCTTGACAGTTCTGTACTATAGTAGTATTCTGACTGTTAATTGCACACATAAATAATAATAATTTGGTCACTTAATCCACAACTGTTTGTGGGACACTGCTGGGCGCAGTTGGCTGCCACGTTTCGCCCACAAAATATACGGTCAATCCACTTTACAATATATCCTGTGAAATGCACATCATTGAGACGTCTCAAAGTGCATCACAGAATATATTGTAAAGTGGATTGACTGTATTTTTTGGGCGAAATGCGGCACCCAATTGCACACAGCAGTGCCCCGCAAACAGTCATGGATTGAGTGACCACATTTTTTTTGGAGAGGTTTAGATCGAAAAAGGGTTTACAATCTGGAAAGAGGGATATCGATATTGCTGGTAGATGAATCCAAAACAAGGGACACATGATCTTAAATTTTGATCTAAACTGGTTAAAAGTGAAATCAGAAAATAATTCTCTATATAAAGTATTGTGGGACTGTGGCAAACTGGCCCAGAAACCTACAAAAAACAGAATCGATTAAGATGTTTAAAATGGGAGATAAGGCACTTGGGGAGCAAGGAAATTAATGGATATGGAGAAAAAATTGGGAAATGGGAAAATCCTGTTTTAAACTGAAAATAATCCATCTCACGGGAATCAAAAGAAAACACAACACTTACATTTCCCTATCAGACACCTGCTTGCTCTGAGGCAGATGTACCCGAATCTTTCTACCCATATATTACAGCTGCTTCTAACCAAGGCTGAGCTTCAAGGATTAATTTTTTCCACCTGCCTCGGAATCTGAAATGATTGCGCTTTGAAGCCTGTCCCAGTCCACATACCTTTCACTTAGTGCATCCAGTGACCCTAATTTCATTTCCCTTGCCAATTCGTTGTCCGCACATCTCTACCTTATTAGCAGCTAAGGTTAGCTTAGTATTTACAATCAGTGGTCACTAAAAAATGTACAGAACAGCTTCTTCTAATAGCATTAAATGTTTGTCCAGTTTCGGGTTAAACCAGGAGTTTTGTTTCCCCGTGGGTAAAAGGCTTCTCCCTAGAGTATCTCTGAGAAGATTCCTGAGTAAACACGCCAAGCCCACAGTGATTCAAGGCAGCCTTGGGAATGTAGATACCCCTTGTTTTGGATCTATGAAATTACACCTGATCTCAAGCGGGTATACTTGAAACTCTATTACATTCAACTGCAATAGTTTTCAGTCACCAAAAAAACAAATAATGCAAATTGCACCGAAATGCAAATTATGCCATGATAACTGGACGTCATTTTTATTTTGGCAAATTGTTGAAATGATCTACCAGCATGTATTAGGCTCTGTCTGCATGTTCAGGTGGACGTTAAAGATCCAGTGGCACTATTCAAAAAGAGAAGGCAGTTTCTCCTGGTGTCCTGACTGACGATCAATCATCTCACGGTTCTTTGCGGGACTTTGCTGTGTGCAAACTGACTGTCGTGTTTGCCTACAAAATACAGTCACTGTACTTGAAGTGCTTTAAGAGATCCTCCCAAAGTGAAAGATGCCATATCAAATGTTTTACGTTATTATTGTGAACCGCACATTTAAAGGCACTTTTTCCTCTACCCCACCAGCAGTTTCCTTTGGTAATAAATATACAGTAGCCCACAAGTTTTTAACTTCAAAAATTCATTTCAGAATCTGTGGATATCAAACAAATGTAGCTCCCAAATATTGTACAATGGAATTAAATACATCAGATTTCACTCAGGATTTTGAAGTCTATTTTAATTTTAAAGATCAACACAACAGGTTGCCATGCCTCGTGTTTCCCGGGCACTCGGTTGAAGGGAAACAGATTAATTCTGTCTAGACTAAGTTGCACTTGTTGAATACTTCCTACTGCACTTTGAAGGATAGACAAGGAGAAGCACGACAGCAGTTGAAAGGGAACAGCCACCATTTTGCCTGCTCCCCACACTTGACAAATTGAGTATAATTAAAAGCAGACACCCCTGTGAAAAGTTAAACAGTATCAGATATCTGAAGGAAAGAGAGTAAACAATAACGTGACTAAAAAAAAATCTGCAAATTAAAGAATCGCAAGACGAAAGCAGATATTAATTATGTGTAATAAATATTTTTTCCAGAGTTTGGTAAACAAGAAACAAAAAAAGTGATATCTTTATTGCACGTTACCATAGAAATGGATTTATGCTGCATTTTTGGGTGAGCACTTTAAGCTTTCATTCTACAGAATCCGATTATGGTTATTAGATCACACATTTCTCTATAAAGGAGGTGAGCAAATTGTTAAAAAGCCTCAAAAAACATCAAAACGTGGAATGCCTTTGAAGTCTCCACAACATGGTGGGAATTAGCACGGGATATTATCACATATTACATTTTGCCATTTAAATGCTATTGAAATCCCAATTGATTGATTGATAGCCACAGTAAAGCTGACAAGCCCATCCTTAAAGGCTTTTGCTGCACTGTGAGAAGGAGGGGGGGAAAAAAAGATCGCAGTAGGTTTTTCAAATTTCTCTCTCCGTTCCTTACTTTTCACTTCCATCAAACTTTAGCACCAGAACTGAAAGGTTTGATGCCTCCTGTGAGGATAGCAATAATTTGGTTACTTACACCTGTCTCTGGGACGAATGCTGGAAAGCAATCATTCATTTGTTCCAATAAAATTCTTCCAGCCCCAGTTAAAACTACTGTCAGGTGAACAGAAACACAAGAATATCAGAGTGGGCTGTGCTGATTTCATATCATATTATGATCACCTAATCCTCAATGCAAAACAGTACAGTAGATCCTCTGTGATAAACTAGCAGGGCTTTACATTTCCATCATAGGTCCTTCTTCAAGATGACTGGTGTAGCCACATAGAAAGGCTGGTATTCAAAGCAAGTGGGAAGTGAAGCACCCATATTAGAGTACTTCAAATGCCTGACTGAGAGCATACTGGACGTAGACATGTCTTTAAATGGCCAACCAAAGTCTGGTGGAAGAACTCATTAAAAGTGTTTTTTTGAGGATGAATCAATAGAACCATTCCAAATGAAACTGGAACAGTAAAAGCCTAAAGGGATATTGAGAAAGAGCTAGAAAGTGGGATTGATTTTAAAAATGTGATTTAAGATAAACGAGCAAGTAGAACAGTACAGGCATGATGGGCTGAATGACCATCTCCTGTGCAGAAAATGCTTACATTTCCTTATTTGATAAAGTGCAAAAAATTGAACAGCATAATGTCTTGTACAGTCCGTTATTTTGAAAAGAATTAGACGGCTGAGTGGGCTGTATTGCTCCATTCATTTTGTCCGTAAAACAGAATCTTAAATAAAAAACAGATGCAGACTTTTAAAAATTCTTTATTCATCTAAAAACAGTCAATGCGGGGAAAAAACGGGCACTTTAAAGTAAGCGATACACGCACAGAATAACATTTCAAATAGAAACTTGGTTAAAGAATTCAACTCTCAATCCTCACCGAAGAGTGGAATTTTTTTTTTTTAGTTCCGTGCTCTATTTTTTGACCTACCCAGCGTGTAATTCAAACCCATTAAAATCTGATCTGCTGAATATATATTTGACTGGGTTCCAACCATGACAACTCCCCCTCCCTCCCCCACCGCACACACACACACACACACACACACGCACACACACATAAATGGGAATTCAGGGCAGAAATGTCAATCACAAATAGAAATTTTACAAAAAGAAACGATTCTCAAAATCTTTTCTCTCTGATGGTAACCAGACAGCCTAGATTTGATTATCCTTGCATTTGATATACAGTGCCTTATCATGTTGAAACATTCCAAAGCACTTCAGAGTCTCTTTCTGTAAAGGCTAACAACTGTATCTGGAGGCAAATCCAGCAGCCAATTTGCACACAAGTCCCACAAACAGCTTGGAGAGGAATGACTATTTGTTTTCGAAATCTGAGAGATCGGTGGCCAGAATACCAGGAGAAGCTACCTTCTCTTTTCAAATAGCGCCACGGAATCTTTAACATCCACCTGAACACTTAACAGTCCCTCCAAATCCTGCAGCACACAGGCAAATTGTAGGACATGCACAGGAACAGTAATGAGTATGTGTGGGTGTGTGTGGGGGTGGTTCTAAAAGACAAGAAATGGGCCATTTCCAAGAGAATTGGTCCAACTCAAGGCACAAAAGACACTGAAGTGACTGAACAGCCAACAAGCTGCACCTGTCCTCGCAGGTGAAGGAAGTTGCATGGATTTCTGCTGCCGCACTTTCATCTTTCCTTAACCACACTTCCTTGCCTTGAAGTTAATGATAAGGCTGTGGTACCACAAGGTTTTAAGAGACTTCCTTTGCAACAGTTTCAATAGAATGATTACCTGCCTTATAATAATAATAATCCTTGTATTTCATCTAGCGCCTGATCACACCATCGAGATGTCTCAAAGCACTTCACAGGATTTACTGTAAATTGGATGGATTGTGTATTTTGTGGATGATACCCAGCAGCCAGGTTGCAGATAGCAATGACCCACAAACAGCCAAGGAGTGAGCCCTTTTCCTTCAATAAGATAGAATAGTGTCTGGGGTTAGTATTTACCCACTTGAGTTCCTCCACTCTTTCTGCACAAGAGGCCAAGAAACATCTGGGACATTCCCCAACTGAGGCACTACAGAGAGGAAAGGGGACAAGTGAACATTGCTCACCTCGTCTGAGGAAAGTGATTAAGAAGATCCCACAGAGTGCAGTTGGACTGAAAGTGATGTTGGAGTCTGGATCCATCTTCCAGCTGCAAAGCGATCCGAACCTGTAGAAAAGATAGTAGCAGTCATGTAAAACCCTAGTCGTTCAAACAACAACAAATTACATTTACCCAGGGCCTTTCATGTCAGGGGACGTCCCAAGGCGCTGAACAATTGATGATTTACACCTGAGCTGGGCTTCAGAAACAGGAGGGATGGAGGGCAAGGAGGTTGGGTGGCTGAAGACGCGGTCGAAGAGAGGGGGCCTTTAAAGGAGGCAAGGGGGGGGTGAGGTGAAGGGACTGTGCAATGGAGTTCCAAAAGGTGGGGGCAGAAAGGCTGAAGGCCCAGCCGCCGTTGGTGGGCAAGGCAGGGCTGGAAATGTGGTGAAGCCCAGAGTCATGGTTTGAATGATATTATATTAGGAATTGCCCTGTAGGTTAAAACATTACATCAAAAAACACTGCTGGGATGATGGCATCTCACTAGAAGAAGCATTGCCCCTCCTCTAACCCATGATGTACCCAATCTGGAAGTGCTGGCTACCCTCCCCCACCAACCCATCTCTCAACTTAAATGAGGCCAAAACATTCAATCGACATACACTGTACTCGATCCTTCAAATACTTTGAAAAAAAGGTAACCCATTTCTCCCTCTCCTTTCCCAGATCCCCTGCTCTCTATGAGAGAGCAGTGGGAAGCTGAACTGAAAGTCTGGCGGTGAGGTTCAATGTCATTTCAATCCCATCAGTTTGCTCTCAGACACACATTTTATTGAATATATCCAGAATTTCCACACGATTAAAAAGAATTAAAGGGCATTCAGCCGCAGTAACAGTTAAAAGGCCACAGAATTCTTCAAGTTGCTTGGTACCCACAAACTGTTATTTCTGATACCAAGGGTTTGTGGGTTTGTGACACGCTCAGATGCAACGAGTTGCTACAAACAGATGTGGGGGGGGGTAAAAATGTGCATTTACGGAAACTAGAAATTATAGTTTGTCTTGGGCTATTAATAACAAATTGTTTTTTGGGGAAAAAAAATGATTCATCCAAACAAAACATTCAAAGAGGTTCTCTCAAAACATTCATTACGTATCAGTAACTCATCAAACTTGAACGCCCTTTCATGTGGTTTCATTTCAATCGGACTGGGACAAAGTTCCAGAATTTAGCTTATCCCAGACAGGTTTTGCTTTGAAGTTTCATTCGAAGCCCCAAATTCACATCTCCACCCACTGTTACTTCCCTCTGGCACCTACAAAGGGCTCCGTGTCCACAACGCTGCAGACCGTAAAGTAGGACGCAACGCTTTGAGGCTTTCGTATTACATACACCCTCAAAGCCTCAAAGCCAAAAATACCGAGTATGTTATGGCCCTCATTTCAATGCCACCATCTGTCTTTATTTACTGTAATAGAACGTACAGTACTCTTCACTCTGTGCCATTTTAGCACCATGTTGAACAGTCACCTTTTCTTCCATTCCCAGTTCTTGACACTATTCATTCTAGATTTAATAATAATCCTTGGTTTTGATATAGCACCTGATCACGTCATTGAGACGTTTCAAAGAGCTTCACTGTATATTTTGTGGGCAAAATGCAGCAGCCAATTGCTCATAGCAATTGATAAAACTTTGTTTCAAAGGGAGTAACTCACTTTATCATCTATCACAAAATTTCCAGAGACATACACATCATTGTTTCCTTCTGACACTCATCAAGGTGAGCAATAAACCGCAGGAATCCGGTTTGTTATTTGGAAATGTTTCCCACCAAAAATCTCAAGCATCTCTCAACATTCTCACAGCCACTCCACTTACAATTTTGGTATCATGCCTCATAAAATGGGTAAAAATACAATCTCTCCTACATCATGACTCAACCCATCGCGCTCAAAGATCTTTCAGTAGCTATAACAATCAACAAATCCCAGGACAGTTACTCCAAACTGTTGTAAAAACAACTGATTTTCCAAAACTGGATTGGGTTCAAGCTCTTTGTTGGGGGTTAAGCTTGAAGTCGGGGCTGACACTCCAGCACTGGGGGAGCCTCCAAATCCCGTCTCCCTCCGGAGGAACTTTAAAGAGATCCCAAGAGTAGGAATTTTGTCCTGGAGTCCTGACCAACAATTCTTCATTCAAATTAATGGAGCCTTTCAACTAACTATTGCAAAAGTGTCATCTGAAAGTAATCTCTCCACTACTGAAATCACCACCTGTTGCACAGATGTACTGTATTATCCATTCTCCCAGAAGTAAACATATTGGTGCCCTTCCTTCTTGTCTTCAGGCATAACAATACTTAAGATTATTTTAGCTCATGCGAAAATAGTGCAGAAGCTTAAAAACCAATTGCAAATGTAATATTACTGGGTTACGAGGAGGAAACTTCTTTTAAAAAGTGCAGTGAAATGTTCAAACATGAACAATTCTTCAAATATAAAAGCACTTGTCCATCCAGTGCTGTCATTTCATACAAGGGATGAGAACAACCTTGTGAATTACTACCAACACCTTCTCATCAACCCAACACTGAGAGTTTCCATTACGTGAGAACCTAGACAGTTGTTTATTTGAAGTCAAATTGCATCATTCTAAACACCAGCGCTTCACAGACCATTTCCTCTGAATGAGATTACGGTTTACCACTGATCTCGGAGACGTTTTGTATCGTGAACTACAGAACATGGAGGTTATGGTGACATTTGACTCTGGTCAACCATAATTTTAAGAATTCACATTGATGCTTCATGTCAGCGATAAAAAATTAGACGTTTCGAAAGGTATAAAACGAAGAAACATCAGTTATTGCTGGAGGAAGCCTGTAGTACAAGCTGGAAATTGTCCAACACAACAAAATAACAACAGCAATAAAGCTGCAGGATGCTTTACAACTACTGCCAGCCATGGCTATCAAACAACTTAACATGGCTGAGAAAAGTTAACTCTTCCGTTGCCATGGGCGGACTATCTCATTTGCATGCGATTGGGTACCGTAAATAAGAAAACAATTAACTTGCATTTGATACAGTGCCTTAACTGTTGCAGGTAATTACTGTCCATTGCGCTGACTGAACGGCAACATTTGCCTATAAAACTCAAATTGCAAACAACAAAAGTGCCACAAACAACCAAATAGAATTTGGCAAATTGTCAAGCTCAGTCTTAAACTTTGAAACCGGTTTTCTGTATTCATTAAAAGAATTTACAGAAAACAGGCTTCCAAATTAAAGCTGTATTTAAGAACTTACCAAGTTCTGGGCTCTCTGAAATGCCACCTAAACAGAAGAAATCTAAACCCAGGGGGGTTTTTTCCCCAATTGATCCACAAAATACTACATGGGGTTTCATCATCATTCAGCGTTTCACTCTGAAACGTGCAGCGTTAGAAATTTATCTATGACATTATAAGAGAGCCAAACCGCTAAATTCTTAACGCAAGTATTTTGGAAAGAAATTGCAGGAAATAAGTTGATTTAATTAATGGCATTTGACTTCCTATCTAATCGGTTCTGATCCACGGGACTTTCTCCTGTCCGCCAGAGTAACAATCATCTCCAGAAACTATTCAGCAATTTCCAAACTTGTTGAAGCGTTGAGGTATTCTGCGCAGAACACGTCCAATACAAATGGAATTTCATATGCTGCTGGCCATAGTACATAGGAATCGAGCTTCAAAGGCGTTGTCACAAGATCACCACCGAGCTTCGGCGTGTGTTTTGGCTAAGTATTCAGCACTTCCAGGTATAGTTGAAGACTGATAATATGTAAAGCTTCCTCTGGATTTCCCTAGCTTTTAACTTCAGGAGACTATTTATTCCCTGGCAATTTGATTTCTCACATTAGCCACCTTATGATTTCCTCCTGAGTAAAGTTGCCTCTTTAGTGCCAATTAGCACTGTATTATGTCTATATCTGTGCCCCGGCAAGAAGTGGAAAAATAGCCAAACTCACTTAGGATACTTTTACTCTGTATTTCTCCAACTGGTCCAGGCTGCATTTGAACCCAGGACCCATCAGCTAGCAGCAAACCTGACAACTCCCTTCATCACTCAATCCTAGCTACAATCCCGAAAATACCTCCGTACAAAGGGTTTTCATTCCAGCATTACGCAGCTTCCTTTAAATTTTCAAGATAGATAGTAGATGGATTTGTGTTAGGTAAAGGTATCAAGGGATATGGGGCAAAGATGGGTAATTGAAACTAAGGTACAGATCAGCCATGATCTAATAGAATGGCAGAATAGGCTCGAGGGGCTGAATGGCCTCCTCCCATTCCTGTGCTGTGTTCGTCATGGAGTACTGTGCGCATTTCACAGCCGTCGGCCACATTAAAACAAGATTTTAAATGTTGTCGCTCAATTCACTGATCACTCTATATATATATATATATATATATAAAAAGTTTGCAAGCAGCATGTGAGCAGAAGGAATGTACCACATGCCTGGCATTTTGCTCCAACAGAATTACAGACACCACATAAAGTGGACTATCTCTCAGGCCCTTACCATATAAAGTCTTACTTTACTACTTTCAAAATTATACCCATCAGTGAAAGAATCTATAATTCAACATGCAATTAAAACAGTCAGGCACAGCCTGACCCAAAAGCCTAAACTCCGGATATCCCTTTAGACTCAACGATGATCATTTTTAAGCGCTTGAAAAATAAACTATAAAAACATTGAACAGTTGACATTTACAACTGTACATCATTCTGCAATAGTGATGCTTGGAACGTCTGAAATTTTACATTACCCAATATTAAAGTTGGCCATATTAGATTACAGCTCCCGCACATTCTTACTGTAGAGAGACTATTTTACAAGCTTAATTGATTCTGTTCATGATACAACACAAGGTCATAATAGCCAGCTTTTGGATGAGACACGATATTAAGGCCCTGTCTAATGTCCTCAGATGGACATTAAGGTCAAGATAGCAGAGATTCAGATATTGCCCACCCTTTTCATATTCAGCATTGATCTTCACAAAGAGACTGGAAGGCTGGTCTGTCCATAGACTTTGCCTCGCTGTGCAGGAGGGCTCCTGACTTTCTCTCAGTATAATACCGTATGGCTGCATGACAAAGAACGATATACACCATGTGGAGGATAACAAGCACTCGCCCACGTCTCGCTAGTCTATAAACACAGTCAGCCAACTTCTGCCAAAAACAAACTGCTTCAAATGGATTGAGTGCTTCTTTTAAAAAGTGCATTCTTTTCAATGAGCAAAAGTCACAATAACTTCTTCAGAGAAGAAGGAAGCGAGAAATGTTCTAGTGAAACTGGGAGTACTGTGCGTCCCTCTTTTGAATCCAAATTCGAGTGGGATTGAAGGCTTAAAAAAGGCTCAGTAGTGAAAGCTTTACTCATCGGGTAATGTGGAAAAACTAAGCCACTTTGAAACTGTGAAGTGTGTTGTATTCCTTACACATACAGCTCAAACAGACCATACCTCAAGCGTTCAAAATCACCCAACACCATAAGAAATAAAAAATGTAATACAATACGATAAAAAAAGGTGGGTAAGAGAGGTTCTGGAAGAGGATGGGCTGGTAGCCATCTTTTTCACTGAGTTCATTTTCATAGCTTGACCTGAAGAACGTACCGTACTCTTCATTCCAATCCCCTGCCGTGCGGCTGGCACCATCTCCAGTTTGCCGTTGTTGGGCACGTTGGCAAATCTCCACTGCTGCGACAAATCCAAAATGTTCCTCTGGAATCTGCAATGAAACAGGCGTCAGTAGACTCTGCTTGCGTGTGAGTGAGTGTGTATGTGTGTGTGTGCACGTATGCATTTTTATAAAACTTTTTTTTAATAAAGGTCTTCACAAAACAAACAATAAATGCCATTTTAAGGCCTCATGTAATGCCATGGGATTAGACAATTCTATGCATTTGCTGATTTCTTTAGCATTCACAGGAACTTGATCTTCTGATAATTCAAATCCTACAAGATGAACATTGAAGACATGAGGAGAACTCATGAACTGCAAACATACAAAGAGGAACGTTCAGAACCCCGGAATATTTCTGACACACTGATTCACAAAATAAATCACAATCAGAAGACATCACGAGAGAATGAGATAGACTGGAGTCCTGCCAGATGTTCTTGCCAATTGGGTGAGTCAATTAAACAGCGGAAGCTACCTTGATGCGGTTTAAAAAGTGAAAATGCTCCCACTGCTTGATCTTTCGAGCAGTCAGCATTCTCTTTGGTGCATAAATACTACCACTGGTGTGAAAAGGTTAACGGGGGCTGCCTGTTCAAGTCAAAGGCTTTTTCACTTTGGCTGTAAGCTTGCACTGAGTCTACCACAGGTGGACCAATTGAAAACTATTTTGTTGCCTCTGCAGATTGCATGTCAAAACTAATCACATTACATTTACACAAAGCCCTGTTGTCAAGTTTCCCTGCACAAACACGGAACAGTATTAGCCACACAGATAACAGTTAATAATGAACTGTAACAGCAGTAATCCACATTGAGCTTTGAAAACATTTGACACAAACTACACATATCTAGACATTAATGCAATAACACGGTTGTTATTTTGTTAATGAATAGCTTTTATTTTTTTAAAAAGGTTTGTGCCAAAAGGTTTTTTAATTAATAAGTTTCCATGTAATGTTACTGAAAGCAAGAATAACTTGATATCACTTATACTGCACACTGGGGACCAGAACAGCGCCAAAATGAGCCAAAAATATGTCAGCACCTTCCCAAAGAGCAAGTGTGTGAGTTCTACAGTGTAAGCCCCAGAATTTATTATACGAAGCATATAAGCTGGTTAGATTTATATGAACATGTACATTTATCTTTGGGCTCAATGTATATTGTACACAGTTTACAATTAATCTAAAACACAATTTGTCAGCAGATCGTCAAAAGGGCAATAACTTTTAATGGGCATACTCAATGGATTTTGGATTAAATAAGTCATACACAACCACAAAATGAAATAAGAACCGAATCAGAACTCCATTAGCCTGCCCAGAAAGTTCCATGCTCATCCCTGCGATTCTCAGTCTTAGCTGGAGAAGTGTTCAGTTCACATGAAGCATTTCCTCACATGGAAACTAGACTAAAAGGGCAAATTTAAAAGTGGGTACAAGTTGCATATCATTACCTAAGCGAGGAACAGGATTTACAGTTTCCTTCCTGGCATATGCACCTTCTGTAGCATGTGGTTTAACACAACAGGTTCACAATAAGATGCAGAATTGATACCAAGATACCAATCCCAAGCATTGGTTTAAGAAAAAAATTCCCAACTTGTTGTGCCTTTATTTTTTATTTTCCTAAAGCGCTAATTATTTGAACCAAGTTATATTCTGATTACACTATGGAAGAAAGTGAAATAAATGTGTTAAGATTTACTTACTTGAGAGAATATTCTTCAGGATTGAAACTCTGTTTCCTACACACCTCTTCTAAAACCTAAAAAACAATAAATCAAAAGTAACTCCAAGGTACTCGGTAACTAACCAGCTAAAACCACATAGCTTGCTATTGATAGCACTGTCTGACATGCTTTCTTGCTTCTTGTTTAGTTAGCACTATCCTCCCTGTTAGGGCTGTGGCTTGCAGAGTTAATGGGAGCTGAGTGGGAAGAATAACTGCTCCCAGTGACTGGTCTGTCCTTCAAAGTCTTGCCGATGAGTCAGCTTGGCTGCGCTGTGATCAGCAGTGTCCTGGAGTAATGTGGATCTACCTGGCTCAGGAACTGGACGAGAGACCGTCACAGAGGGTGTGCTCAATTCTGACATTCCGTTGCCAAACATGTCACCTTGGAGCCAGTTCAGGTCCAAGGAGACCCTGCTTACCATCCCTCCCCCCCCCCCCCCACCAAAAAAGGATAGTCACTAGTTGGTCATTTGACATCTGACAAGTGAGGGTTTGAGCCCTCATCGATGTACAGTATTTGGTCATTCACCTTACGGCAGTTTTCAGGATATTGTTTGTGCTCAGAATGGTGGCCAGATTTGCCTTCAAATATACAGTCAGTAGACTTGACAACAATTCCTTTAAACTCTTCAAAACGTTTCCACCTTTAAGGCACTATATCAAATGTAAGGATTACCATCAGACTTTCACCATTCTGAATGGTTAATCCCTAAAAAAACAAAACATTGTTCTGGAAATACCACAAAATGTTTTGATGATTAAAACTCCCGTCATTGAAGAAATCAATGCCAGTCCCAGGTGAGCTCTAACTGACTCACAGAACCAGTTATCAAGTAGTTTGAGCAACTTACGAACACTTCTACCTATAGACAATCACACCACTCATTCTCAATCCTGCTTCCCTGGAGAGCCTTCGACAGATTCTATTACACACCTTTCTCAGTATCACTCGGCAATATTGTCTTTGTTTTACTAATCCAGCTAGTTCACTTTCGAGGCCATGGATGGCCTCGCCCCCTCCTGCCTCTCTGACCTGCTGACTCTCTACCAAGCTGCCCGGTCCCTCCATTCAGCGGGCTCCAGCCTGCTCCATGTCTCCCGCCTGACCCGCCCTACCATCGGTGGCCGGGCTTTCAGCCTCTCTGCCCCCACACTCTTGAACTCTATCCCACAGTCCCTTCGCCTCGTTTCCTCCCTTGCCTCCTTGAAGGCCGGTCTCAAGTCCCTACTCTTCGATCGCAACTTCAGTCGCCCTCCCACCTCTCTGCCTTCCCTCACCACTACCCCACCCCCGTGCTCAGGTCCTGACCTCTGATTGTCCAGCGCCTTGGGACGTCCTCCCGACGTGAAAGGCGCTCTATAACTGTAATTTTGTTGTTGTTGTTGTTGCAAAAATGTCGCTGTTGTAGTTCAGTGATTGTCAAATTTCCCTCTCTGTAGAAGGATGAAACATTTTCTGTCCTGACTTCTTCTGGCACTTGATTTTGCTTCTGCGTATCTTTCCCCGAGTGCATTACATCCATCCTCATTCCTTCCAACCTTTCGCCATCCTTCACTTTTTTTAAACGCTCGCCAGTACCCAAAGAGAGGGCGTGAGCCACTCGCCACACAGCAGCCCACTCTTCCAGCAAATAGCCGTGACGATCATCGGGCTCGGCGTCCGGCGCCGGCAGTGGGTCAGGAGGCGAGGAGTTTATTTCAGAATGTGCTTCAAGGTAGACATTTGCAATGGAAGAATGTGGAATAAAATACATGAATGGTCATCGTTGCATTTGATGCAGCGCCAGACATCATTAAATGGTCTAGAAGTGCTTCATGGGTCATTGTGACCAACGTAGTGACCGACTGAGTGTGTGTGAGAGAGAGAGTGTGTGTGTGGTGGTTGGGGGGGGGAGTGGGGGGGGGGGAGGGGGGAGTGGGGGACCTGAACCCGGGGCCGCAGGCTTCAGGCCTATCTTTGCTCCCCGGGCCCGGCGGGTATTGCCCCGCGGTTGGCGGCTGAGAGGAGGGAGGGGAGGGTGGGGAGGGAGGGGGGAGGGCTGGTCTGGTGTTCCTCACCTGCAGCAGCGAGGTGCTGCCCGTCACCTTCACCGTCTGCCGGCGCCCATTCGGCGCCAACACCGAGACCGACACGGCCGCCGCCATCGCTGTCGCCGCCGCGCAGCCGCAGTTGGCTCCCAAACCCACCTGATTCGGCAAGCCCCGCCCCCTCGCCCCGAGTGCGCAGGCGCCAGCCCGCCAGGGAGCGGCACGTGCCAGCCGCAGTGGCTCAGCCAATCACTGCAAGGTCCGCTCTAGCCAATCACTGCAAGCCCTGGACCAGCCAATCACTGCAAGGTCCGCTCTAGCCAATCACTGCAAGCCCTGGACCAGCCAATCACTGCATGCCCTGCACTAGCCAATCACTGCAAGCCCGGCACCAACCAATCCCAGCAAGCCTTGCATCCGCCAATCACCACAGTCCTCTGAATCAACCAATCACAACCCACCTCAGCTGTTCCATCCACTAAAAACTTTTGGTGAACCGATCGATCGCTGCAGCCGCCCAACTGATCAATAGCGCTGGCCATCAAAATCGAGCCGGTGCTCTGCGGCGGTCGTCTGGTTCCTGAGCTCAATGAAAGCTCATCGGCTGGACTTGGAAAGGCAAACCGGTCGTGGGGGCAGGAAATCTTCCCACTCCGCTCCTGTCCAAGCCAAAGCACTGACGAGTAGAGTGGTCCGAGCTGGACACGCAAAGGGAAAGCTTGGCAGACATTGGCTATCATTGGCACATTATGTGGTTTTAGTTGGTTCGTCTCGAGTGCAGGTTGGCAGGAGCCAAGTCTTGGGGACCCCGATGCACACTTTGGGGTCCCCAAGCCATGGCTCCTGCCAACCTGTGCCTAATGCTTTCTGGAATTCGGTTAGCAGGATACGTCCCTCCAGGGAGAGTGTGCATTTCATTCCAACAATCTATCTCTGGAATTTCCACGTGTAGGTGGGATGCATGGAATTCTCAGTTTGGTTTGGATTCTCTTAACCTAACTGACCAAAAATAGATAGAGCTGAACCCAACAGACAACCAAATGAGCCCAGAACAGTGTAGCCAATCCACCTTCGTTAACAATCACAGCAAGCGACTTGGATAACAGGATAAGGTTAACCCAATGGGTATCCTTTGATTGCAATTTACAAAATTAATGATATTCCTCTACTAAACATGCGTAGTTAATGCAGTATTATCTTGGTGCTGCAAAGTTATCATACATCAGTGATTTGCACCGAGAAAATTCCCTCAATGAAACTGTTACACACTGTTTGCCCAGCGCTTAGCATCTTAGACACTGGTTTTCTCCCTGTTCATAAATAATTAAACGTTCAATCCTGCCAATTTAAATTCAATCTCACCTAGCACTGCATGAAATGCATGACACTGATAATGGTGAACATTGTTTGTTGAGGATTCAGGAATGGGTGGGGGCCCAGGTGTAAAGAGATTGCTGAGGGCTTTGCTTGTTGTTGCCTTTAACGGAACACAGAAAAAACAAATCTATATTGAAATGCGTATTACACCCACAAAGCACCATTTTAGCAAACAGATCTGAAGTGAAAGACATGATAAACAGATTACAAACCCTGGCGAGATTTATCTTAATGTCTGAGCAAATCCCAACCATCAGATTGTGCAATGAGTGTGCATTTGCATAAAAAAATTATCGCGTTGATGTATCACGCACAATGTACAATTACTGCCAAGTACAGTGATTGTCTCAGAAGGCAAATGCTGCAGCTATGTCGTGGACGGTAACAATAAAGTCCCGCAAAGAAGCGTGAGAATATTTCATCTGGAGAATTCATCTGGATGCCGGGAGAAGCTCCCTTCACTTTTCCCAACAGTGCTGTGGGGATCTTCTAACATCTACCATCTGAACAGGCAACCTTAGTATCAGCATCCGACCCACAAGACAGGTGAAACAATAAACTGAGGTTTAAGTCCTATCCGCTGTGATGTAGCAATATTAATGCTACTCTGTTGGTCTCTCCGCACTGGGACTGGGAACTGCACCTGTTTCTGATGATGAGCCCGTCTGTATCTAATGACTGCATCTCTTGCACAGACGGCCCATTCGCTTTGATGTAACCTGATCCGGACATTTCCATATTACGGGATTTGAGGCTTATAAACCACATTTAAAGCATGTGCAAATCAAAAATAACTGGAAAAAGAGGTCTCTGGAAGGAGAAAGGTCGCATTTCAAGCGTATGTACAGTAATAAACAGATTTAAACCACAACAAAAGATGGACTGAAGAGGCTGAACAAAGGCAACCGTTGCCATCACAGACACGCTCTGGCCACAGCTTTCTTATATTGAAAAAATGCAACGTGGAAAAACAAACAGTGTCACAACTCCCAAATAAATGGGAGGCAACTGAACTTCCAATTTCCTGCGAAAGCAAGGATATATTACTGATGTAAGTTTGCAGTTATATAAATCCTCTGCGATTTATATTTTGGCTTGTCCAAATGCTTTTGTCTTCCGTGTAATAAGTTTAGAGGTCAGGTTTGGTAACTGCGTGAAAGCTAGGGACTGATAATTCTGCTCTTGGGTTGGAACAATGTAATATTCCCAAATAACTTGGTGAAATAATTGTTTGCAATACCATGTCAGAGGCTAAGACAGCACACGGCTGTGGATCCCTTTAATAAAACACCTGAATTGTGTTCCTGTTAACATCATGTTACACCCGACTCACAAGTGAGAGGACCCGAGTTTGATAATAATAATAATCCTTGCATTTGATATCGCGCTTTTTTCATGTCTTCTAGACGTCTCAAAGCGCTTCACAGAATAGACTGTAAAGTGAATTGACTGTATATTTGTGGGTGAAATATTCTTGGGTGGGGTGAAACCTTAGATAAGTTTCCTTACTCCAATGCCTCTCTTTACGTAGCAGTAAGTAGGAAGCAATTTGTTGGTCGATTAATGGATCGCTTTCCAGGAGTAATAACCCCTTCAAAAAATAAAAATTAATCATAATTTGGTTACTCAATCCACGACTGTTTGTGATACACTGCTGTGTGCAATTGGCTGCTGTGTTTTGCCCACAAAAATATACAGTCATTTTACTTTACAGTATATTCTGTGAAGCGCTTATCACATCTCAACGACGTGATAAGGCGCTACATCAAATGTAAGGATTATTATTATTATTATCCAAAGTGGCGTCTCTTTTCAGTGTTTTCTTGCTGTGAAAATGCCACAGAGTGGCCAAAAGCATCGAGGCAAACTCTGATCTGAGTTAACAGCAGAGTCCGGAGCTTGAAAGGACAGCAACACTGGTTTTCAAAATCATATCAGCCCCTCAAATACCTGAGATGCTGTCTAATGCTATCTTCTCCAGGGCACATTGTCCATCTCGACAAGAATGTGTCACGCTCTCATTCATTCCATGCTGTTTCCATCTGTGAAGGGTTTAGCTGGAATACTTATGGACGGATTCCACTGTGTGATGAAACAGAAGCAGGGCTGAGGGAGACTAATAAATAAGTGTCAGTGTCTAACACCCAGGCCTGCCACATGTCCAAAGCAAATTAAACATCTGTTTGAAGTTTCCAATTAATAACATGACATGCCAAGCACTCGGGATACCTTTCCAAGCCTTCTAGGGAACGTCTATCAACTCTCTGCCCTCAGGCATTCTGAATACCAAGGTCTGTGGCATCCACTGATGCCAGCCTAGCACTGGCAATGGGTTGGTGATACTTTATTAGATCTACAGCATATAGTGCCTTTCACATCGGGAATTTCCTGTATTAGCCATTTCTAAAGGTAACATTCTCAGATGGTTTGGAAGGGATTGAATGCATTGCACTCCCCTGAAACCATAACGTGGAAATCAATTTGGAGAAAACCTTTCAGATAGGATAACTCTTCTTCAAGGCTTATAAAAGGGCTTTAAAGATCTTAACTAGCGCTTGCTTAAAGGTTTGGAGGGATGATCTACGATTTGTGACAACCAACCTGGGTTGATTGGGTGAATCCATGGAATGATTCCATTTAAATCCTTCTCAGTTGATTGAGAACTTGATCTTATCCAAAGGAGCCCATATAAGGTGCTCAGTGACAAGGTGAAATCCATGTTAAGTAAATGTTGTCAGGGCAAAACAAGGTTGGCATTATTCGGGGCTCTGCTATACCACTCTGAGGTCACTTGTGTTGTAAGACAGGCTCAGTCGGATGGCTTTTGAAGTTCCTATTGTCGTCTGACAGTATTTTCCAACAGCTGTGTTTTACGTCCTCTGTCTAATTCTTCCACCCCCCAACCCCCCACTCCCTCTCCACTACCCCGACTGATTGGTCTGCGGGACATAGCAATGTTTAATGTGAGCTCTTCAATAGACCATCTCCATTAAGGACACTGCTGATGACAGCCCAGCTCATCTTCAGGACTTGGAAGGGCAGACCAGTCACTGAGGACAGGGAGTTCAACTCCTGTTAACCCTGCAAACTAAATGGTTAGGGTGGTCCTAGCTGGACAAGCAGCAGGAAATCTTGCCAGACAGTGATATTAATGGCATGCTATGCGGTTTTAGTAGATTAGACTCCAGCATTTACCCCAAATCACACTGTGAGATCCCCAACCTCTGGATCTTGCCAAACTGTACCTTATACTCTTTGGAATTAGGTAAGCAGGAAGCGTCCCTCAAGTGCACATTCCATTCCAACAATCTACCTCTGGAATTTCCATGTTCAAAAAGAAGGGAATTTCTCTCTCCTGGTATCCTGGCCAAGAATCCTCCAAATAAAATTGGTCACTCGTTTCATGGCTGTTTATGGGACATTGCTGCGCTCAATTGTGCTGCCGAGTTTGCATACAAAATACAGTCACTCCATTTCACAGTAAATCGTATAAAGCACTTTAAGACTTATCAACAACGTGATAAGATGCCAAATGCAAGGATTATTATCATTATTATTTTCGGTAAAGAAGGTGACCATTCGGTCCATCATCCCAGCGCTCTGAAAGCGCTTTTCCTTTAATCCCATTCTCCTACCCGCCCCCCCCCCTCCCCACTATCGTTTAAACTCACCATTGAGTTTGATCAGACCAGCCAGGGTGCTATTGGCTGGACATTGATAAATTGCATTGTTCAGCTCTGTTCTGCTCAGTTCGATGACAGGCGGGAAAAGCCGGCACTGGGTGGTGTTCCTGAATCAATCAGTCGATCGATCAACCGACCCTTCAAACTGTTTTTGTATCTTTTTCCCCGGGAAAAACGAGTGGCGTATCGCTTTCTTAAAGTGTGGCTTTTTTTTGCAAGTCAATAGTTTCGGTACCACCCTCTACATTGTTTTAAGGCTATTAAGCCCCCACTTTTGCCTTAGATGCACTCATGTTGTAACATCAGAAATCGCCTTTAATTCTTGCTTTTGGAGTATCACTTGGGATGTGTGTGTGTGTGTCGGGGGGGGTGCGGGGGAGGGGGAGGGGTATATGTGTGTGTGGGGTGGGGGGAGGTATATGTATATGCATATGTTTCAACCCTAGATCTGAGGTTCAGCTCTGATCTGGTCACACCCGCACAAAAAATTGACTATATGTGATGTTTAGATATACAGTACAACAAAGATAAAAGATCTTACTTTGAGCATATGGGTCATTTTGTCCCTGGGTCCCAGTAACGTGGTGCCACCCCAAACCCCGTGTCAAATCAGTTCCCATTCTGTTGGTTCCAGAAGGTTGACTTGTCCATTTCCCTCTAACCTCTTTAAGGTGATTATGTAATGGAGGGACACACACACACACACACACACGCAACGTCTGGGGCAAGACATTGGGTGGTTGGGTAGCTTGACGATCTTGCTTTCTTTTCTGAATAAACAACCTTATCTCATTACCTCTCCTCCTCCCCCACCCATCATCTAGGCATTTCTTATCTACAGCAGTCACTTCACAAGACATTGAATTGTTATTTGAGAAAAACACACGCACAAAAGGCCAGTGTGTTTGTCAAAGCTCATTGAAAGTTCCACAGGGGAGGAAGGGACGGGGCCCGATAAACGGGACATATATTCCCTTAAACAGCGCCTTATCCGGGCTTTGGATTTCATCAATCCCCCTGAACATGAGGGTAAGGCACAAAGAAACGTGTGTCAAACAAACCCCCGATTCATCACTGAGAAACAGATGGCATTTGGTGCACTGAGCGGGACAGACGAGTTAGGACGTGAAAAGCGCTATATCAAATGCAAGGATTATTATTATTATTATTATCATTATTATAACGGGGCGGCATCGTTTTTTCTCTCTCTATTGAGAAGGCTTCACGTTCATTTCTCTTTTATTTCAGTGAATCCAAATCGTTAAAAGATCCACTTTACTGGGTACCTCCTTATGCATTTGCATTTAACGCCCCATCCCATCCCCATCCCTTAGCATCAGTTTCCCAATAAGATCAGTCAATGTGTGAATCCAAAATCTGTCAATGGGTGAATTTCAGATCAGTCAATGGGAAAATGTTAAAGCATTCATTGAAATGGGACAGAGGACCGACTGCAGCAGAGACGGTGTCTAGTTTTTTTTTTAAAAAAAGCAAATGAAAGCGTTAGCATTACAATCGCCTGGAACCAGTTAAGGTGGGACAATTTCTCTCTCTTTCTCTGCTCGGGATTGCTGTCCTTTGCAAATCCAGAGAGAGAGAGAGAGAGAGAGAGAAAAAAGCCTTTAAAGAGGATTCGCAAACGGCAAAGAAGGGGCGCGACGTTGTTCTGATGGGAGAACCGGGTTATGCGATAATCGAATCAATATTCCGATATATACATATATATATGTGTGTGTGAAAGGGCGAAAAAAAAAGTCAGGAACTCATACATAATCCTTCGAGCAAAAAAAAAGAGGAAGAAAGGTGGATAGATAATGGCTTTTAATTGCATTGAACGAGACATTTCAGCGACATGGACACGATTTGTCTTCTCCAGAGCGGATGGCAGATGGGAATAGTTGCATTGGCGACAAGATGAAAGGTTCCCCCTCCCCTAAACATCCCCCCCCCCACCCAAACATTTCCCCCCTCAACCCCCACAACAGCACAACTCTCAAGCGATGTTTTTTCAGTCGCAAAAAAAATCACAATCAAGTTAAAAGCTCTCTCTCTCTCTCTCTCTCTCCTCCCTCCCACTTCAACTCCAATCCCTATTAAATCCCTCCACCACCAAAGAAAAATAAAAGATCAAATAGGAAAGTAGATGCTGTTCTCTCGCTAATAAATACCATCAAAGGGGGGGGGTGGGGGGGGGTGGGAGGGGGAGAGAGAGAGAAAACTACGCCCATTTTTAGTGCTGGGGTTTAGGGAGAGCTCTCCCATTGGCGGTGGGTCAAAGAAAACGTCTTAAATCGGCAGCGATTGCGAGAGAGAAAGAGAGACAGAGAGAAGCGTCTCAGCCATCGATTCCCTTAAGTGGTTCAGCAAAGCGCCGGAGAGATGCTATGAAGCTGTGAGAGACAGAGACTCAGACTCAGACACAGACTCAGACACAGAGAGGGGTCTCACACAGTGCTGAGGCTGAGAGAAGACCCCCTGAAACAGATCCTCGGAATCTCAGCAGTTCGAAACTTAAAAAAAAGTTAGTTAAGTTTTTGGTGGGGGGGTGGGGTGGGGGGGGGGAGAGGAAAGTTTGGGTTAAAAGTTTGACCAAACTTTGTGAGTGAGCTTGTTCTGGCAGAAGTTTGCAAGAGTAATATCTTTTTTTTCATTCTATATTTTTTTTTTGGGGGGGGATTCGACTCCCCCTCTCCCACCCCCTCTCTCACCCCTCCCCCCACCCCAAAAGACAGCTCGTTTTTGCACGAAATCAAATTGCTCTTTTTCTTCAATCAATTCTTCCCAAACTGCAAAAAAAGTTCGATTTGAAATCCCTAAATTATTTGAAGTTTTTTTTTAATAGATACCTATATATATACATAGACTTCTCCGCTGATTTTTGTTTGGGGGGTGGGTTGGGGTGTGGGGGTGGTTGGGGTGGGGGGGGGGGGGGGGAGGAGAGGGGTAGAATCAATATACTTTTCTTGCCTCCGAAAAAGAGATTTGACAAAAACACAAACTTTTTTTTCCTGGGGTTGGGGGGGAAAAATTTTTAAAAAATTGAAAAATAAGATTTTTTTCACCCCCTCTAAAAAAAATTCGAGTGTTTTCTCGAATATTATATAGGGGAGAGGGGGTGGGGGGGGGGGGGGGTCAGGACTCCCTGGATTGTGAGTGAGTGTGTGTGTGTGTGAGTGTGTGTGTGTGTGTTTGAGGTTACACGTTAAGGGACAGGAGGGATTTTTGGAGGTGATTTAAAGTTGTTGTTGGGAGTGTGGGAGTGGGAGAGGGATTTTTGGAGGTGATTTAAAGTTGTTGTTGTTGGGAGTGTGGGAGTGGGAGAGGGATTGTTGGAGGTGATTTAAAGTTGTTGTTGTTGGGAGTGGGAGAGTTGGGAGTGGGAGAGGTGAGAGATGGGCTGCGATCGGTGCTTCAAGAGAGACTCTGCTGCTGCCACTCTGCTTCGGTCGCTCCTCGTCGTGTCGCTGCTTCTCGGCTGCTCCCAGGCCAGGAAGAGCTGGAGGAACAGCCGACAGAGCGCACACTACCGCCGGCCACAGGGCACGTCCAGCCGGGAGAGGGGCGAGGCTGCGGGGGCGGGTGCCTGGTCCCACCACCCCGGGGCTGGGGGGCTGGGGGTGGGGGTGGGGGCCATGGGAGATGGGGAGGAAAGCTTCACCCTGGACTTCACGGCGGTGGAGGGCAACATCGAGAACTTTATGACCCAGATCAAGAACCTGGCTCGCTCCCTGTACCCCTGCTCGGTGCAGAAACTCAACGACGACATGAAGCTCCACCGTTTGGACAACTCCTCGGTCACCTGTAACGATGGGACGCCGGCAGGGTAAGCCCACACCTCCCTGCTGCCGTCTCTCTGCCTCCCTCTCCCTCTCTCTCTGTCTCTCCCTCTCCCTCTCTGTCTCCCTCTCCCTCTCCCTCTCTGTCTCCCTCTCCCTCTCTGTCTCCCTCTCCCTCTCCCTCTCTGTCTCCCTCTCTGTCTTCCTCTCTGTCTCCCTCTCCCTCTCTGTCTCCCTCTCTGTCTCCCTCTCTGTCTCCCTCTCTGTCTCCCTCTCCCTCTCTGTCTTCCTCTCTGTCTCCCTCTCCCTCTCTGTCTCCCTCTCTGTCTCCCTCTCCCTCTCTGTCTCCCTCTCCCTCTCTGTCTCCCTCTCCCTCTCTGTCTCCCTCTCCCTCTCTGTCTCCCTCTCCCTCTCTGTCTCCCTCTCCCTCTCTGTCTCCCTCTCCCTCTCTGTCTCCCTCTCCCTCTCTGTCTCCCTCTCCCTCTCTGTCTCCCTCTCCCTCTCTGTCTCCCTCTCCCTCTCTGTCTCCCTCTCCCTCTCTGTCTCCCTCTCCCTCTCTGTCTCCCTCTCCGTCTCTGTCTCCCTCTCCCTCTCCCTCTCTATCTCCCTCTCCCTCTCTCTCTGTCTCCCCCTCTCTGTCTCTCTCTCTGGGAGATGTTTGACTCGCGTGTTTCCCTGGAGCTCAGTAGATAAGAGACTCTCCTCTCGAGCCAGAGGACCAGGGTTTGATTCCCGGACCGGGAGAAACTTTGGGCAGGTCCCCCCCCCCCCCCCCCACACACACCTCTGCTCACCCCCCGGCAGTGCAGTAGGAACCCGGTTGGTTCGTCGATCAGATGCAATGCAATGGTGGTGATGGTTATTGTGTTCCCGTTAGTCTGATGGGAAAGTGTTGATGATGGAATCTTTCTCGACACCAGTGAGACATTTCCATGTCTCGCCTTCCCCTAAATATTGAAGGAAGCGGCTCCTATCCCGGTGTCCGGGGCATTGTCAGCTCATCTCTCTCTCTCTCTCTCTCTGGGACTAGACCCGTTATTTAGTGCTTGTGTGTGTGTGTGTGTGTGTGTGGGGGGGGGGGGGGGGGGGGGGTTGGTGTGTGTGAGGGGCAGTAGTGGGGGGGGGGGGGTTGTTTAGGACAGTTGGCAGCAATATTCTGTGTTAAAAACCTGGTCAGTGTACCGCCCGCTGTTCAGTTGCGTGACTTTAGCAGATGTCCCGCCTGTCCCTTTAACACCTATGGTCCCCATCTCAGCGCCGCTCACAGCAGCTTCTGACCACCTCTGGTTCATCACTATCTCTTTGTCTTTTCAAAGGATTTGGGTTTGCTGACACCCCCTCCCCAACCCCCCCCCCCCCCCACCCCCCACCCCCACCCCCCCCACCCCCGAGAGCCGACAGCGTCCCAGGGATAACATTCGGGAGCAAACCATCTCCCGTCTAAACAGCAAAAATGCTTCGTAAAATGCGCCAAATGCAATCAATCGGACGCCGTGTCCGGTTTGGATCAAGAGCGCAGAGTGATGGCTCAGTGGAGGGGGTTACTTTGGGGGGAGAGAGAGAGAGAGAGAGAGAGAGAGAGAGAGAGAGAGGAGGACAGGGAGAGAGAATCGCAGCTGTAAAAATGCGCTCATCTCTACCTGAGAGGTCCTTAGGCTCACAGCGCAAAGTGCTTTAGCCAACAGCTGTGGGCAGATGTGATGTGATGTGATGAGGCTGATTAACTGGGGGGTCAATGCGGTGCGTGTGTATAAATGGGTGTGCATATACACATGTGCACGTCTGTGTAAGCATGTGTGTGTTTACATGTGTGTGTGTGTAGATGTGTGCATGTGTGTGTAAGTGTGGATGTAGATGGACCATTGCCACCGCTGCTATCTCACTGATGGCTACACCTGGTGTCTCACTGCCCCGTGAGCCTGGTCTGTTTCACAGTCACTCTATCCCTCTCCTCATGTCTCGACCCCCTTTCAAGTTTGGCGCATCTTCACATCAAACCATCCCTTGGAGATGGGAGAGAAGATGAGAGCGAGAGAGGGAGAGGGTTAGACGGGGGGGAACGGCCGAGTGATAAGCTATAACCTTCCCTAGTTCCCCATCTCCAATTTCCCCCTTGGGAGGGATATGGGTGAAATGGGAAGGTGTGCGACTATGGATCAAGCCCCTGTCCCAAATACTGTCCTGAGTTGAAGACATGGAAAAAGGTGCCAACATACAATCCCCCCCCACCAAAGCTTTGTGTATTGATTTGATTTGCTGCTCGATTACCAAACGAATGAGAATGCGCAATTTCTTCCAAAGAGCAAAGTTATTGGGTGTCAGGGACGCCCATTATACATTGAATTTAGATGTAATGTATATTTAAAACGATGTTCATGCTCCTTCTGCCCCTCTTTTCTCTCCCCACCACCAACATTCAGGTATTATCTGAAAACCTCTAAAGGCAGCAAGCGCTGGTTAATCTTCCTGGAAGGTGAGTTTTGGGGATATAAAATGAGAGAGAGAGTGTGGGGGGGAGAGATGTGTTGAGGGTGATTAGAAGGGTTGTTTAAAATTGTGTGTGTGTGTGTGTGTGGGGGGGGGGGGGGGGGTGGTGTAGAGGATTGGTTTCATTTCATTCATGCGCACAAAACACATAATCAATCCACTTTACAGTACATCTGTGAAGCGCTTTGAGACGTCTCAATGATATGATAATGCATTATATCTAATGCAAGAACTACATAATCCTTACATTTAATCCAGCGCCTTATCGTGTTGTTGTGACATCTCAAAGCGCTTCACAGAATATACTGTACAACGCAGTGACTGCGTACTTTGTAGACTAAAGGGAGAGGGAGGCAATGGTTGAACAGAAGAGCGCCCGGAATCCAAGAGATCTTTTATATCAAAACTGGGAAGATGAAAGTGCCTATCGGGCTGCATGCTGACAGATTTACTACTCGTTAGAGTGGAAATAGCTGCACCGTTGGCTGTGGCCAAGTCATTACACTGCACTACAGCGAGGGGACTCTGTTTATCAGCCTACAAGCTTTTGTTTTTAATATAGATTCGTCTTAATTGGGTCTTTCTTTTTAGATTTCAAGATTTTTCTCCCCACTTTGATCTCATTCACTCCCCTTCGCCCCCCCACCACCCCCCACACGCACACCAGAGACCTTGAAAAGTCCCCGGCTCGGTTCAAGACTTCTTATTTTGTCCTGAAATTTAAGATTGTGAGGAATTGTGTAAGATTTTTCGATTCAGTCTTAAACTGGAAGCTGGTTTTCCATTTCTTTTGGGGGGGGGGCGGTTGGGGCAGGGTGGGGGGCAATCTGCGGAAAATCTTAACGTTGAGACTGGGTGGAATTTTGAATTTTATGCCTCTCAAGGTTCCTTCATCTATGGAGCATTATAAATTCTGTATCTCGGGGGTGGGAAGGTTCATGTTACATTCTGTCTACAAAATATGCAGTCACTGCAATTATGATAATAATCCTTGTATTGGATATAGCACCTTATCAGATCATTGAGATGTCTCAAAGCTTTTCACATATATTTATTGGCTGTTGTTCGCCCACAAAATAGTGCGGTTTTGAATGGTTGTGAGTCAGTGTTGATGGTGCGTCAGTGCTCGCCTGGCTCTGGGCATCTCAATCACACCTCTTGTTTCTCTTGTCCAGGAGGCTGGTACTGCTTCAGTAAAGAGGTGTGCAACACCAGGTATGACACCATGCGACGCCTGATGAGCTCCACAGACTGGCCACAAAGCCGAACAGGTTCGTACACGCAAAGCCCTACGGTGTAGCCCAACAACAGGAACGCTTTTACAGTCCCACAGTTGCTTTCATATCGGGAGAAAATCTCTAAGTACTTTGCACAACTGACATACAACGTTCCTTCCTGGCCTCCTTCTCTCAAAACCCTTCTCTTTGACCACGCCTTCAGTCACTCTCCTACCCCAAACCCAGGTTGGGTGTAGATCCTTGAGTGTCCAATACTTCCCAACGTGAAAGGCACAATACAAAAGTAATTTGTTGTTGTTGAGGTGCTATCCTGCGAGAAGGGCTCTATATGAATGGTTGCTGTTGTTGTTGATGAGGAACCTGAGCTGTGCGTGTATAAAGGGCAGGTTTAAGGTGGACACCAAGAAATAGTTCTTCATACAGAGGAGTGTAACGGCTGGAACAGGTTACCGGGAAGGGTGGCTGTGGCGGGGAACCTTTAGGAAACAATGGTCGAATAGGGGAGCACAGTCTGCAGATTCTGAAAGAATGAGATCAGATGGGCCAAAGGGTCTTCTCCATCCTAATCTCTCTTGTGAAGTGTGGTGATTGACTGTTTTTTTCTAACATTCTTGTTGCCTTAGGGACTGGGATCCTATCTCCACGGCCCGAGGAGAATCCTTACTGGTGGAACGCCAATATGGTGTAAGTTTCAATCAAAGCAGATGGAAGTCTCAATGGAGGGAGATGTATCACGTGATGGTGAAGGTCACACAATGTAAACAGAGCCACTGGAAAGTGTATTAATTACATTTACATGTAATTAATGCTGTGGAGTTCCATAGCGTAGTGTTTTAGTGCGCTCGCTTTGCAAACGAGAGGACCTGGGTTCGATTTCCGGGCAGGGTGAAGCAAGTTTCCTTGCTTCACATGCACACCTCTGTTTACCCAGCAGTAAGTAGGAACCCGGTTGTTAATCGATTGGCTGATCGCTTTCCGGGGGTAATAATCCTCCAAATAAAACTGTACAGCAAGGGAGGAGGCCATTTCCTTCTTTGCGCTTGCGCTGCTTCTCTGAAAGAGCTCTCGGTTTAGTCCAAGTCCCCGGCACCTTGGGACGTCCTCCCGAAGTGAAAGGTGCTATAGAATGTAATTTATTGTTATTATCGCCATTGAGAGCTCCTGTCAGATAATCTCATTCATTACTGCTCCCATTTTTCCATTTCAGTTTCATCCCGTACTGTTCCAGTGACGTATGGAGTGGAGCGTCCCAGAAATCAGAGAAAAGTAAGCTTCTGTCTGATCGCTCTGTCTGTGTGTACCTGTTTGTGTTCCCCTATGGCTCAATGGAAAGAGTTCTCTGACCTCCCCCACCTGAGGCAGAAGGTTATGTGTTCAAGCCCCACATTGGGACTTTGAGCACTCAATCTCGTGCTCTATTGGGGGAGCGGGGACGGGGGGGGAGGAGCAGAGAGTTATTTTTCGGGTAAGATAATAAACTGATTCCCCCTTTGATGAGGATGTTGAAAACTCTGTGACACTATTCGAAAAGTGAAGAGTTTCAACCCCTGTACTGGCCAGCAATGCTCTGAATTAATTGACCATTCACTCCATCGCTGGAGCTGTTGGGACACTTCACGGCTGCCGCGTTTGCTTCCAAAAACAGTCACTATGCTCAATGGCGATTAGTTACACCCCACTTTGACGTGATGAGGAGCATCGTCAAGGCGTGTGGTTTTTTTTTATCGTACAACACAGCCGCAACACAGAGGGTGTGCTCACTACTCTCTGCCTGTTCTGTGTTATAGGTGATTACGCTTTCATGGGAGCCCTGATAATCAAGGAGGTCGTTAAAGCTCTGCTGACCAAAGGCCTTGAGAACGCAAAGGTTCTTTTGCTGGCTGGCACCAGGTATGTGGGTTAGTTGTGGCTGTTGGACGACGGAGGCTGAGTTGCGTTGGGTGTCAGAACTGTTGGGTTTCGGTTGCTTGAGTTTATGCGGAGATGTGTGGTGTGCTCACTCACTGGAGTCTGAAGAGTTGGAGTGTGTCACCAAGTGTAGCTCCAGTGAAATCCACCTCTGATTGGTGTGTTGGGTATTGCTTCTCCAGTTACTGCCATTGTACCACCCTCCACCCCCCACCCCCCCCCCATGCCAGCAAGGCCCCTGCCTCCCCGTCCATCCCTGATTGGGCCCCAAACATCTCCCCCACATCTCCAGTCTCTAGTTGTTTCCCACTGACAACAACTTCCAGTCAACTGGCCTCACTAAGCCACCTCGCTCCCCTCCCATTGCAAATCTGCTTCTCAAATGTGTTACTTCCTCAATAAACAAACCAGGAAGCTGTTAAACATATAGTAATTCTACTCGTCCCAGGTCTCCTCCACCTTCACACAAGCTGGTGACCAACACAGAAAAAGTGTGAAACACCCCCTCCCCCGCCCCCCCCCCTCCCACACGCACATTCGCGCACTCACGTACAATAACTTGCACCATGTAGCACCCTTCATGTGGGGTAGTGCTTCTGAGTGTACACACACACCACACACACACTTATTCACGCATGTGTACAAACACATCTCTGTCTGAGCACGGCTTGGTCAGTAGCACTTAATTCTGGCTCAGAAGTTTGTCTGCTCAGGGTTTTGAGTTCACTCTCTAAAGCTGATGTTTGTAGCCATTGCTTGGGGGGAAGCCTTACATTGTTGGAGATTATTATGAACTTTGGATGATGGGATGTTAAACATGAGGTCCCGTCTGCATGTTTTGAGCTGGACGTTAAAGACCCCGTGACACTATTGGAAAAAGAGGAGGAGGTTTCTCCCGAGGCCTGACTGACAATCTTGTGGATTTGAAACGAAGATTTAAATGAAACTAAATTCACAAAAAAAGCTTGCTGCTGGTGAGCACCAACTTGTGACCTGAAAGACAGATAAGGGGATGTCACGTTGGCTGCCAGTTAAATCACATGGAGATCAAGAATAATGCTGAGAACTCAAATCAGCTGAAAGGAATGAATGAATAGATAGATCCGTTACTCTTCCTCCATATGAGACTTCTAGAAAGGGTCAGGGTTTGTTTCCCCCACCCCCCACACCAAAAGACTGAACAAGAGCCTCCCCTAGTGGTCACAGACCAGAATGTCATAGATTCAAAGTGTCTGAGATTGGCTCTAAAAATTGGCCTCGGGAATCGGGAATCTGTTCTGGCGTCATCCTGGGCTGAAGTGAGATAATTGATAATTGGGAAGGTGGTGGTCGGCGGGGGTGGGGAGAGAAGGGAGAGGAAATAATAATAATAATCCTTGCATTTGATATAGGGCCTTGTCAGATCTTCGCGACATCTCAAAACGTTTCACATGATAAATTGTAAAATGAATTGACTGTGTATTTGTGGGTGAAACTCTAAATTTGAACAGGAGAAGGGATAATATAAGTGAGGATAAATCAGGAGAATGACTTTGAAGTCTAAAGGGGAGAGATGGAGGTCAGTGATCGTTTGAAGCTCGGGAGGTGGCTCAGGACCTGAAAACCATTAAACAAAGGGAGCGATGAAGATGAGTTTGGAGATGTGACTTCGTTCCTCTTGCTTGACTGATGTGCAGCTGGCGTTTCCACAGCGACTTCCCCACAACAGCTGGAGCGCACACGCTGACCGGGGGCCACAATGGGGCGGTGAGGGTTTGCTGTTTCGAAGCAGCACTGGAGCATGGTAGCATTAGGGCCAAGTCACTTACTATGAGTCCTGTAGCTCAGTGGTTAGAGCACGCGCTTTGCAAGTGAGAGACCTGAGTTCAATTCCAGGCAGGTCAGGGCCAAACCTTGGGCAAGTTTCCTTACTCCACACAGAGCCTAATAATAATCCCTCCAAAACCAAAAACAATAATAAATTGGTCATTTTCAATCTACAACTGTTTGTGGGACATTGCTGTGCGCAATTGGCTGCCGCGTTCGCCCACAAATATACAGTCAATTCACTTTACAGTGTGTTCTGTGAAGCGCTTTGGGACGTCCTCCCGACGTGAAAAGCGCTATATCAAAATGCAAGGATTATTATTATTATGTTACAGAACTCATTCGTTTCTTAATCACTTTAACCCCCCCCACCCCACCAGATGGTTCTTATTCTCTTGGTCACTTTGCTCCATTTCCACTTGCTAAGAATTACGACTGTGCTCTCTGTGCTTCAAGATTGAACACCAAGCCCCCACCCAATTGACCTAATTCCAGTGTGCGGGAGGGAGGGGACCGGGAGTTTAGGAGAAACTTGTGAAGTTTATCTTTGAGTTTAAGAGCAATGTAAGGAGTAACTGCAGGATGATCCTGAGTCACCTTTTAATTTGAAGGCACACTGGCTCTAAGGGCTGAGACCAAAATAAATTTCTGGACTCATCCAACACTTCTCAGTCTATAAACCGGGGAGAGTTGCTCGGCATCACCCTCGCACATCGCCTTGGACGCCCCCCCGCCCACGCGGAACAGGGACTAACCTCGGTTGCGTAATCTGTATTAAAATAACGCTAACAATCTCTGTAGTTTTAAGTTGGCCACTCAAAGAATGTGCCTCTTTGTTGTGGTGTTTTTATTCCGCTGGGTTTATGGCCCATGTGGTTCTGTTTTACCGCGTTGTGGGTTCGTTCGTTCCATCTGCCCCCAGATGTGGTTTGAGGGGGGAAAGAAAACAACACAAACGGAATGAATAAAGTTCGACGTCGCTTCACATCTTTCCCTCCTTTCCCTCCCTCCCCATTGGCGGTTGGGCCTTCAGCCTCTCTACCCCGACCCATTGGAACTCCATCCCAGAGCCCACTATCTTGCCCCCATCTTTGCCTCCTTCAAGGCCCATCTCAATACCTTCTTCTTCGACTGCACCTTTGGTCACCCTCCCCTTGCCCTCCAGTCTTCCTGATCTCAACCCCCAGAATTTGGGTGCAAATGCTTGACTGTCCAGTGGCTCGGAATGTCCTCCCGACATGAAAGACTCTGTGTAAGTGTAACTGTTGTTGTTTCAGCGCTGGGGGTACAGGGGTGCTGCTGAACTTGGATCGAGTGGCTGCGCAGCTGGAAGAGGCCGGTTTTCCCGGGATCCAGGTGCGGGGATTGGCTGATTCCGGCTGGTTCCTGGACAACAAGCAGTTCACCAGGACTGACTGCCTGGACACCATATCGTGCGCTCCCACCGAAGCCATCAAGAAAGGAATCCGGTAATAATAATAATCCTCGCATTTGATACAGCGCCTTATGTCTTCGGGACATAAGGCCTCATAAGATCTCGAAGACCTGGAAGCTCGGTCGATGGCCATTTTTTATTTGGAGCACACACACACCCTCTCCACAGTTATAGCACAGATGGTAGAACTGTAGTATGTGTATGTGTGTCAGCTTGGCTCAGTGGTACTGCAGTGCTCTCGTCTGAGTCACAAGGTCGTGGATTCAAGCCTCTACATTGGGATTGGAATCACACAGTCTCAGCTGACGCTCCAATACAGTGCTGGGGGCAGAGTTTGTTGTACTGTAGGAGGTGCTGTCCTTTAGATGAGACGTTAAACGGAAGTTCTGTCTGCATGTTCAGGAGGATGTTAAAGATCTCATTGGCACTATTCGAAAAGAGAAGGGAGTTTCTCTCTCCTGGTTTCCTGGCCAACAATCCCCCAAATAAAATTGATCACTCACTCTATGACTGTTTGTGGGACACTGCTGTGTGCAATTGGGCTGCCGTGTTCACCTGTAAATGCACTTCAAATGACATCTTTTCTTCCAGATACTGGAACGGAGAGGTCCCAGAACGCTGCAAAAAACAGTTCAAAGACGGGGAAGAATGGAACTGCTTCTTTGGGTACAAGATTTACCCAACTTTAAAAAGTAAGTGACTCGTGTCTCTGGTTGGGGAGGGAAACGGAAATGGGCAGGAGGGAGCTTGGTTTAACGCCTCCGTTGGTTTTGTCCATTGTTTGCAGGTCCGCTGTTTGTGGTTCAGTGGCTGTTTGACGAGGCTCAGTTGACCGTGGACAATGTCCACCTGACCGGGCAGCCTGTTCAGGAAGGCCAGTGGAACTACATTCAGAATCTGGGCAGAGAGCTGAAGAACACCCTCAAGGATGTGCCGTAAGTTACAAGGCTTCAACGTGTCTGTCTGATGGATTGACCCGATATAATAATAACCCTCCCATTTGATTTAGTGTATCAGCGTGTCGCAAGAGACTTCTTAAAGCACTACACGGGATGTATTGTAAAGTGGAGTGACTACCTTGTGGGCGAAACAATGACTGTACCTGACAACAATTCGCTGTGAGGCACTTTGATGTGTTGCACGGTTTCTGCGCGTGTCCCCCGTGAGCTGATTATTTACGGGTGACCCTTGGTGTTTTGCAGAGCTGTCTTTGCCCCCGCCTGCTTGTCCCATGAAGTCATCACGAAGAGGTTAGTTACAAATCGGGGGGTGGAGGGGGAAATGTCATGCTCTGTATCTAAATGGGAGGGCAAAATTGGGTCGTTTCTTAGTGACAAAATCTGGAATTCCAAGACAACGCCTCTCCCCCCCCCCACCCCCCCCCCCCAAATCTATTCTACGTCAAAGAGTAATCCATTTTCAGATGTTAAAAGGATCTTGGCCTGTTTCACGTCCCCCTGCCCTGCCCACTCCCACATGGCCAGTCGGGCCTTTAGCCTTTCTGCCCCCACCCCTGGGAACTCCCATCATCCCGGAGTATCTGCAAGTTGTTGTTGTTGTTGTGGGACGCTTCAGTGGCAGGTGTGACATTGATGGAGCGTTGCTATTATTGTTGTTGTTGTTGTTGTGTTCAGTTACTGGCTGAACATCCACGTGAAGGGGGTGCCGTTGGCTCGGGCTCTGCACTGCTGGGACCGCAGCCACCAGGAGGGGAGCAGGAGCAGCAAGAATTCGCTCAAGGGCTGCCCCACCCACCTGATCGACGGCTGCCACTGGCCGCACTGCAACCCCACCTGCCCCACGATCAGGGACCAATACACAGGGCAGGAGATGTCCGTCATCGAGTTCCTCATGCACATGGGCTTCGACATCCAGAAGATGGCTCAGCAACAGGGGATGGAGGTCAGCAAACTGCTGGCTATGCTGAGCAGCGGCAGCTAAGAGTCCCGACCGACAGAAACTCGGGACCCGCCAGACTTTCAAAACGAAGGGGGAAAGGAAACCAAAATCGTCCACTGGCGGTGGAGGGAGCCACAAGGGCCTTCGTTAAGTTAAGCCCCCCCGAACCGAACCACCATCAAAAACAACCCGCATTGCCTTCAGACAAGTGGTGGGAAGCACTGGATTGTTCAGACAATGCGAAGGAAAGATATGGTCCGCTTTCCGCACAACATCGCCACTAGATCACAAGACGAGAGGAACTCCCAACCAAGCCGTAAAACACAGAGAAGGACTTTCCTTTTGATTTCAGGTTCACAGACTGACACAAAGGACAGGACATAGGGCAGGACAGACAGGCTGACACGTGAACATAGGACAGGACACATTGACTGACACAAGGACACAGGACAAGACACACAGGGACATGGAACAGGATAGACTGGCTAACACAGGAAAGCTGCGGTTACGACTGACACAAAACTATTAATAAATATTCTGTACTTAACAAACTAAAAAAAAGCTACGTTTGGTAATTTTACATATTTATTTTATTGTGTAAATCGTATTTATAATTCTTATTGAAGGGCAGAGAGCTAAAGTATGTTTCTTTATAAAAAAAATTGTAAATAGTGTTCTCTTAATCGCATGTCTTTGGAATGGAATTAAAAACAGAACCATCTTACTACAGTCACACACCTGTCTTTTGTGTTGGTCTCTTAAGCACTGAATGCTTTCAGCCACTACACCCCTCAAACTCTGGAGCTCTCTCCCTCAATCCCTCTCCCTTGCCCAATCCTTCCCCATCTTCAGGTCGCACCCGAAGACCTTCCTCTTTGACCGTGCTAACGGTCACCTCCCCACCCCCCCAGCCTAGCATTGTGCTCCACCGCCGTCAAGCGCTCTAGGACGCTACCCTACGTGAGGGACGCCAAATAAATGTAGGTTATTGTTGTTCCTGGTTTCCTAAATTCCTCTCACACACAATCATAGACACTTGCTGACACATAATGCACTACTGTCCCCTTGTGGACAAGGGGAGTAAAGTTCCTGACGCTGTTTGTGGTGCAAATTGAGATAAAATTTATGGTGTGAGGAGGCCGGTTATCGGGCATTTTTGGGGTTTCAATGAGAGTCATGATCTTCGCATTTGACGTGGTGCTCTATCACATTTGAAACATCTTCAAAGCACTTCATGATAATGACTGTCAAATGCAGTGACTGTGATCGTCGGTGAACGCAGCAGCCAATTTGCACACGGCAAGGCCCCACAAACAACCTGGAAGTGGAAGCCAGGCTTTATCTGGGGGAGTTTCCGGCAGTGTCATGTACTTCAACAGACACTCTGGAGTTCCCCAAACCTTGGCTCTTGCAGACCTGTGCCTAATACTTTGTGGAATTAGATAAACAGGATGCGTCCCTCCAGGGAGAGAGAGAGAGAGAGAGAGAGAGAGCGCATTCCATTCCGCAAATCTATCTCTGGAATTTCCATGCGTAAGTGGGATGCATGGAATTCTCAGTTTGGTTTGGATATTCTTAAGTCTTAAGCATAGTGATGGGTTTCCGCATATGTCAAGACACCTACCCGACTGACCAAAATAAAACGAGTCCCACTGCCCTGGCCTCACAAATTCCTTGCAACCCTGAGTTCCATCAGGCGCTCACCCTCTGGAGATTTAACCAAATCTTTTCTCCAATCTTGTCCGGACATGATGCTCACATTCCCGAAATATCACACACCCACACGCGCGAATATACACAAAAAACAAGTTTGTTTGACTATCGTGTATCCGTTTATTTTGTTTGAAAACAATATATCTAAAAAGATAAAAAGAGTTTCAGGCGCACAAAGGAAAAGGGGGGCCCGGGGAAATCTGAATTTGCCTCAAGTGTGAAAACTCGGGATTTCGCCCACAAAATCCGGTCAATTCGATTTACGCTAAACTCCGTGAGACTCTTTGTGAGAAGTCTCAATGATGCGATAAGGCGCCATATCAAATGCAAGGATTATTATTATATTATTCTTATTAAAGCCGAGACTTGTGAATGTGTCTCTCTCTCTCTCTCCCTCCGTGCCCTCTGCAGGCCCAATGCTCTCTAGAATTCGCTGAGCGAGGACGTGAGCGGAGGGGGAAAAGAGAGTGCGCATTCCACCCCAGCGATCTATCTCTGGAATTTACAGTGTGTAGGTGGGATGCCTGGAATTCTCAGTCGGGTTCGGATACTCTTTTAAAAGTCTTAAGCATGGTGATGGGTTTCTGCACGTGTGTCCAGACACCCACCCAACCCAAACCCAAACCCCACCCACCCAGGCTGACATGCTGTGCTCTCTTTCCGTTCCTCTATTTATAGCTAAACTGGGCTGAATACCAGAAGCGTCCAAAATAACTCGCCTTATTATTCCAGTCACAGAGGAGAGAGAGAGAGAGAGAGCGAGCAAGCGGGGAGAGAGAGAGAGAGAGAGAGAAATCCGCTGGCAAATCAGAAAAAAGGACTGACGGAACAGACAGACTGGGCTGGTTTTGGAGCTGATACGGACAGACGGTGTTGCGAGGGAGGTGAGGCCGGTGTCGGTGGCTGGTTCCCCTGAGAGAGAGAGAGAGACAGACAGACACACACACACACACAGGGGAGGAGGTGGGGAGGGAGAGGGAGAGGGAGGGAGGAGGTGAGGTGGGGGAGGGGGGGAGAGGACTGGGGGGGAGAAAGAAAGAGTGGAGAGGGTCAGACAGACCCAGGTGCTCTGAGGCGCTCAGCATGGACTCCCCGGGTTATCTGAACCTCTCGGCTGTGGCCTCGCTGGTGGGGGTGGTGAGGCTGCTGGAGATCGCCTTGGGCTGCGTCACCTTCAGCCTGGTCTGTCACGACGGCGGCTACGGCCAGGATTACGGTAACTTCTGCGTCTTCGTCTGGTGCTTCTGCTTCGCCATGAGCACCCTGATCGTCTCCTTCGAGTTCACACGGCTCCACAGCTGCCTGCGCCTGTCCTGGGACAACCTGACCATCTCCTTCGCCATGTTGGCCTCCCTCATGTACCTGACCGCCAGCACCGTCTACCCCATCTACTTCGTGCGCTGGGACTGCGCCCGGGGGCTGGGCGGCAACGATTGCGAATCGCGCAACTTCAGGCTGTCGGCCAGCGTGTGCTCGGCTCTGGCCTGCGTCGCCTACATGGTGGAGGTCCACTTGACCCGGGCCAAGCCCGGCCACGTCCGCGGCTACATGGCCACTCCGCCCGGGCTGCTCAAGGTGGTCCAGGTCTACGTAGCGTGCATCATCTTCGGGGCGTTGGTCAACGGGAGCCAGTACGAACGGTACATCGCGACCCGCTGGTGTGTGGCCGTCTACTCCCTCTGCTTCATCCTCACGGCGGCCGTCATCCTCCTCAACATCTCCGGCAGGAAGGCCGCCTTCAGGTGCCCCACTGACCGCTTCGTGGTCCTGTTCACCTTCTTCGCTCTCCTCCTGTACCTGAGCGCCGCCATCATCTGGCCCATCTTCTGCTTCGACAGCAAGTACGGCTCCCCCCGCCGGCCCTCGCACTGCCCCTCCGGCCGCTGCCCCTGGGACAGCCAGCTGGTCATCACCATCTTCACCTACATCAACCTCCTTCTGTACCTGGTCGACCTGGTCTACTCGCAGAAAATACGCTTTGTCGGGTAGAGGGGAGGGAATGGCGCCTCTCCTCCCCAACTGCTTCCCCTTCTTCCCCCTCTCCTCACCCCTTCTTCCTCTCTCTGCTCTCCTTCTTCCCCCTCTCCTCTCCCCTTCTTCCTCTCTCCACTCTCCTCCTTCCCCTCTCCTCTCCCCTTCCCCCCTCCCCTCTTCCCTCCTTTCCCTCTCCTCTCTCCTTCTTGCCCCCTCCCCTCTCCCCTCCTTCCCCTCTCCTCTCCTCTCCCTCATCTTCTCTCTCTCACCCTCCCCCATTCTCCCCCTCAGCTCCTTCCTTTTCTCCCCCCCCCCCCCTCTCTCTCTCTCTTTATATATATAAATCACCTCACCACTATTCCTGATGCTGGCAGTACAGTAAGGAAAGAAGTTTGTTGGATTAATGACTGAGTTTCTCTGACGAGTGTATCCGTTTTCGGGTGTTATTGTTCGGGCTCAATTTGTGGCTGAACTCAAGGCCGGGCAAATTTGGACACAATACCTCACCCGTGGGACTTGTCCCCAGAAATCAGGAGGTGTATGGTCACCCTACACAAGGGATATGTAGAATAATCAACAACAACAACAACAAATTGCATTTCTATAGCACCTTCCACATTTGCAGGTTGTCCCCAGGCACTGGACAGTGGAGGGTTTGCAAAAAAAACGGGGCGGGTGGGTGGTGGGGAGTGGGGAGTGGGGCGGAGGGGAATGGATCAGAGTTCAAGTTCTGAATCTTTGGCCCTGGACTAAAGTTCAAAGTATAAATTATTGAATACTTTTTTTTTGGTGGGAAGTGGGTGGGGTGGGGTGGGGGGGGGGGGATTTTTTTTGTTTAGAGATGCCCTGATTTGTTGGGGACGCCGTCTTTCTTTCTTTCTTTCTTTCTTTCTTTCTTTCTTTCTTTCTTTCTTTCTTTCTTTCTTTCTTTCTTTCTTTCTTTCTTTCTTTCTTTTTCTTTCTTTCTTTCTTTCTTTCTTTCTTTCTTTCTTTCTTTCTTTCTTTCTTTCTTTCTTTCTTTCTTTCTTTCTTTCTTTCTTTCTTTCTTTCTTTCTTTCTTTCTTTCTTTCTTTCTTTCTTTCTTTCTTTCTTTCTTTCTTTCTTTCTTTCTTTCTCTCTCTCTCTCTCGCATGCATGATAAAAAGGTCAACACTTCGAATGCTTAAGTAAAAAAAGTCAAGACTCTGTTTCAAAAGTTTCCCATGTCACGAGATCGACTGTAATAGTCTTGGCGCTTTTAAGAGCACGGAAACGTCTCAAAGCGCTTCACGGGTTCGTGATTTTTGAAGTCTGGTACACGTGCAAGAGAAATTGATCCGGGTGGCAACTTCTGTGGGGTTGCTTTAACGTTGAGAGAACTCTATGAGAGGTGGGGTGGAGAGGGAGGGGTTGGGAGTTTGCAGAGAAGGAAGGGGATGAATTGGAGTTATTTTCTGTGGGATCATTGATGATTTGAGAGCCAGCCGGGATGGGAATCACGTTCTCCGAGAATCCCCAAACCACTTTATGAGCTTGTATATGTACGCATTATCCAGAGGTGCCTTCCTTATCAATATCGTTTTTTTTACAGTATTTCTTAAGAGAGTCTCTTAATAAGGCACCGCATTGGACATCCCAAAAATCTGCACACTGGAAATAGGTCGAGAGTTCTCCCTGTTCGATCTGACATAATTTTTTTCCTGGAAGGAATAACTTGGGTCCCTTACCTAAGGAATCATGTTAAGAAATACAGCAAAATAGACTCTATTAATATAAAGTAACATTGGATTGTAAGATAATTAGTAGAGCACAGCACGGGTAAGGCTACAAACTGTTAAGAAAATGAAAAATCTTTTAAGATTGAGTGTTGGTTGTGATTTTCTTGTGTTACATTGCTCTTAATATCTCATCTTATTCATTTATTATTATTATTAAAATTATAATAAACAGTACTAACAATTGTTACATCCCAATTTAAACTTTCAGTGAAACCCCCAAACCAGGTGTTTTAGGCCATTTGTTATGGTGGGAAAAGAATCAATGGGATTGTTTTAAAACACTTTCCAAAATGTAAATAGTTTGTTTGTATTGCGAGCTTCAATTTGACTTTTTTTTATTATTATGATGTGAAAAGAACTACAAAGTACTTATAATATTATTGTTATTACAAAGTATTTACCACAACATGCCTTTTGATGGACTGGGTGCAATGAACTGGGGCAAGAGGATGTTATTCACTTGTTTAACAGAAGCATAAATGTAACAGAGTCACACAAAAGTCCAACAAATACACATTGACACAGTTTTGTGTTCAAAATGTATCATAGATTTTTTTTAACTTTTTTTGGAAGAGATGTACAGGGGGTGTTCACAAAGTCCTGTTACCCCCATGTTTTTTTTTCTATTGACCACGATGATAATTGTATTGAGCAGTACTGTACTTCTTTGTATTCAGTACAAGTGTTTAACTGTATTTAGAGGTCCAGAGGATAGGTATGTGTGTGCGTGTGTGTGTGTGAGCGCCATCATGTTCATGGCAGATAATGATCCGTCACCATTTTCAGTGCCACATTCTCCGTAGCATGGAGATGAGGAAATTACTGGTATCAGACATTACTACACTCAACTGATCTGCAACAGGAAATAAAAATTCACGGTAAGAAAGAAAACAGGATGTAACAGGACTTTGTGAACACCCTGAACATAGGTTTGACTGCAGCTGTATATTTCACTATTTAAACTGCAAGCACCTTTTTTTTTTGAAGCTGGGAGAATGATGTGCACTTTTGCTGCTGTTTTCATTAGCTTTGAATCTTAGCCAGTGCAGATCAATGACGGAAATACACTGTTTCTATGAATTCAGCTGAGTCAGCGAAGTTAATCTGCACGTCGCATTAGTGAAGCCTAGCAGAAATTCACATGGAAGTGGAGCTGTTAGCAGGTTAAAATATCGTTGCACTGTCTGTCTGGAAAGCAAAAGTATTCTAAGCTGCTTCATATTTATGATAATTTTGATCTCATGGGTAAAAGATCTTGCGTGAATAAATGCATGAAGAAATCCGAGTGTGTAACAGGTATTCTGCGTATAATGTGACAAAAAATAAAAATTGGCTGCAATTTCATATCTCGTGTCTTGTGATTCATCAGAATGTCATCAGCTGTTTGAGAACCTGTTGGTCAAATTCCCAGTGGGAATATTTCAGAGGTTTAGCGATTATGATAAGAATCCTTGCATATATGAAACTGAACTCTGGAATTTCATCCCAGAATCCCTCCACCTTTCCACATCCCTTGCCTACTTCAAGGCCCATCTCAAGACATTCCTCTTTGACTGTGCTTTGGATCGCACTCCCGACCCCACCCTCTACCCCTTTTGAATCCAATCCTCAGCTCAGATGCAAACCCTGAACTGTCCAGTGCCTTGGGGGCAATCGTCCAACATGAAAAGCACTGTGTCCGTGCAATTTTGTTGCTCTTGGAGCATCTCTACCATCAAAATGTCTCAGGGCGATTGCTGTCAGGTGCGGCGACTGTCTATTTTGTAGGTAGGCACAGGCGGACAATTTCTGCGCCGGAAGGTCCTAATAGTACGTCCGGTTCCTAAGTTTTAAACCTTATTCATTTGGCTGAACCAACTTTACTGCAAGGTGAACAGAGGCGTGCGGAGTAAATAATAATAATAATAATCCTTGCATTTGATATAGCGCTTTTCACGTCGGGAGGACGTCCCAAAGCGCTTCACAGAACACACTGTAAAGTGAATTGACTGTATATTTGTGGGCGAACGCGGCAGCCAATGGCGCACAGCAATGTCCCACAAACAGTCGTGGATTGAAAATGACCAATTTTATTATTGTTTTTGGTTTTGGAGGGATTGTTATTAGGCTCTGTGTGGAGTAAGGAAACTTGCCCAAGGTTTCGCCCTGACCTGCCTGGAATTGAACTCGGGTCTCTCACTTGCAAAGCGAGTGCTCTAACCACTGAGCTACAGGACTCCACCGGACTAAAGAAACTCGCCTGAAGTTTCGCCCAACGCCGGGAAATAAACCCGGGTCCTCTCGCTGGCGAGGCGAATGCTTTGCCGCAAAGACTACAACACAGAGATGCATAACTCTACCCATGGATGAATGGATGGAGGGAGGGAGGAAGGGATGGATTGGTGGAGGGATGGAGGGAGGGAGGGTGGGGGGGGGGAGGGAGGGGGAGGAAGGGGGAGGGAGGGTGAGGGAGGGTGAGGGAGGGAGGGGGGGAACTGTGAGAGTGCAGAACACCCGAATCATTCAATAGGACCCATTTGCTTCTCATTGCCCACCAACTGCCCACAGCCGCCGCTGTGCCTTATGATGCAATGGTCAATCTGTATTGCACGCGCGCTTTTTTTTTCCTGAATGGGGGTGCGGGTGGGTGGCCCCGCCCCCCTGCCCCGCAGCGATTGGCCCACCTCAAGCACGAGGGGGCGTGTCCGGGTCCCGGCTCGGGCTGCCATTGGCCGCGGGCGCCGTCAATCAGCGGTTCGGCTACATGGCAGACATTCCCGCCACGTTGACGCGTCGGAGGGGTCGGATTCAAAATATTTGCTCAGTGCAGAGTCTCCCCCTCCACCGCCCCTCTCTCCCCCCTCCACCACCACCGGGAGAGGTGAGTGAGATCGGTGCACGTCCAGCGGTGGCGAGTAGTGGTCCGAGAAGATACCCGGGCGGTTCCAGTCGTTATTTCCGTCTTCAGTTGAGTGCGATCCCCGCTGTGAGCTCCTGGTCCTTGTTCTGCCTTCCCCCTTGGGGTGGGTTGGTGGGGGGTGTGGGGGGTTGTGTGTGTGTGTGTTTTTTTTCCCCACAGTTCATTTCCACCGCGAACCTCAGTGCTGTTGAACGGGGTCCCCAATATGAGCGTCGGCTTCATCGGAGCGGGTCAGTTGGCCTTCGCTTTGGCGAGAGGTTTCACTGCTGCGGGTAAGGAAGGAGGGAAGGCAGGAGGCTTCCTTGTTTGTTGCTTTATTTCCCCCTCCACCCCCCCATCACCCTCCCCCCATCACCCTCCCCCATCACCCCCCCCCATCACCCTCCCCCCATCACCCCCCCCATCCTCCCCCATCACCCTCCCCCCATCCCCCCCCCATCACCCCCCCCCATCACCCTCCCCCATCCCCCATCCCCCCACCCTCCCCATCCCCCATCCCCATCCCCCACACCATCATCCCCCACACCATCATCCCCCACACCATCACCCCCCACCCATCACCCTCCCCCCCATCACCCCACCATCCACACCCCCACCATCGCCCTCCACTCCAACTCGGCGCGATTTCTCTATTCGGTAATAAACGTCAAAGATTTGGTGCTGTGGGGGGTTTGAGGGGTGGGAGGGGGGGGAGTGCAGAGGAAGGATGTAAATGTGTTGCAAATGTTTGTTGAACAGAATGCACGGTGTGGAGATTGTGGGAGGCGCCTTTTATCACCTGCTACCCACCTGCCAAATAATACGCTTAGAATCCGCCTCCATTGCAGGTTTCCTTTTTGAGTTAACGTCTGAAAGTTTTTTTTTTTGGGGAGGAGGAGGGGTTAGGGAGGGTCTTAAAATGCACCTGTAGGTGATGTGTTTTGCTCGTTGACAAAATCAACCCAACTCCAGGTGTCCCTGAACCTCCCAATCTCCACCCCCCCCCCCCCACCACCTTGTAAACTGGAAAGCTTGGCTGGTGGCAATATCAATGGTAACCTATGCAGTTTTAGCTGGTTGGACTCCAGCAGTCTCCCCCCCCCCCCCACACATAGCACACTCTGGGGTCCCCAAGCCTTGGCTGTTGCTAACCTGTGCCTAATACTTACTGGAATTAGATAAGCAGGATGTGTCCCTCCAGGGCGAGAGTGCGCATTCCATCCCAACAATCTTATTGCTGAGATTTCAATGTGTAGGTGGGATGCATAAAATTCTCGGCTTGGTTTGCATAGTCCTAAGCACGGTGCTGGGTTTCTGCATGTGTTAGACACCGACTGGGCTGACCACAAAAGAACTTGTCTACTTTCAAAAGCCAACTGAGAAATCTTTGATCTCCTGCAGTAAAACTTGCATAAATCTGAGCAATATAAATTGTATAATTGCCTAAGTCATACATCTGCCAAATTCCTGTTCAAGAGTATATTTTATTCAAGTTTGACATAATTCATCCTTTGCACAAGTGTATTAAATGTATGGTCCCAACTGTTGAGACTTGTGTGATATTTGTGTGTGTTTGATACATTGATTGATCTGCTCCTGTTTGTCTCCAGGTGTCCTGGGTGCTCATAGGATAACGGCAAGTTCACCAGACCCTGAGCTGCCCACTGTTGGAGGCCTCAGGGTAGGAATTATAATCCTTGCATTTGATACAGCTCCTTATGCCATCGAGATGTCTCAAGGTGCTTCACGGGATTCTGTATAGTGGATTTAATTGTATTTTGCTGCTTCATATCTTGAGGGGAAGAGGGAAAATTGGGGAATTTCTACTTGTGTTGAAATCCAATCTCTCTCTGAATTGTAGAAACTGGGCATTAACTTCACTTCGAGTAACAAGGAGACGGTGAAGAGCAGCGATGTCCTGTTCCTTGCTGTGAAGCCACACATCATCCCTTTCGTGTTGGATGAGATTGGCTCCGAAATTGAGGATCGCCACCTGATTGTGTCCTGTGCTGCTGGAGTCACCATCAACTCAATTGAGAAGGTAAAACAGCTGGCCTCGTTGACACCCAATGTTAGGGAGTCCTGTAGTGTAATGGTTAGTGCACTTGCCTCGCAAGCGTGAATACTCTGGTTCGATTCTTGGGCAAAGCGAAACCTTAGGCAAGCTTCCTTACTCCGCACACCTCTGTTTACCTGGCAATATGTAGGAACCCGGTTGTTAGTCAATTAGTGGGTTCCTTTTTCATGGGTAATCCCTTAAAAAAAGAAAAAAAATTTGTCCATGACTTTGTGGGACACTGCTGCATACATTAATTGACTTTGCCCACAAAATATACAGTCAATTCACTTTATATCTGTATATATATCAGTATATCCTGTGAAGTGCTTTGAGATGTCTCAATGATGTGATGCTATATCAAATGAAAGATTTGTTATTGTTGAGGATACAGTGAGTTGAGTTGGGGGTCATCTCTTGATGGATGAGTCAGGATGATGTTCTCAGCTATAATGACTAAATAATGGCTGCATAAGTGCTTGTGGGTACTTCCTTGCATGAGGAGCGCTACATAAATGCAAGTTGTTGCTATTATAATGACTTTTTTTTCTTTTGGGTAGAAACTTTCCGCTATCCGTGAATATCCCAAAGTGATCCGCTGTATGACCAACACCCCGGTGGTGGTGCGGGAAGGTGCGACTGTGTACGCCACGGGGACACATGCAGACGTGGAGGACGGGAAGCTGCTGGAGCAGCTGATGGCCAGCGTTGGCTTCTGCGTGGAGGTGGAGGAGGACCTGATCGATGCAGTCACTGGACTCAGTGGCAGTGGCCCTGCTTATGTATGTTCAAATGTATTTGACCCGATCCGTTGTAACTAACTGGGAATGCAGTGTATACAGTCAGGACTGTAACATTTAATGACTTGTTCAGGCAAACTGTATAAGTCATATAAAATCTGATTTACTCAATCTACACTGCGCATGTGTAATTTACTGCAACCAGTAAGTGTGCATGTAGTGACAGGTCAAGACTATGTTTCGCTCAATTCAAAGCAGCCGCAGTAATGGAGGGTAGGGGATGGCGTTATGAGTTAGAAGATAATTAATGTGTAGTGCAAAGAAATTGAAGTGGTTTTGATCAGAAACCGAATGGGACTCGGGCGAACATATGACTTAGGGGTAATTATATCATTTATGAAGATAAAGAGTTGTGGGGGTCTTACTGTATCTGGGCTTTCGTACGGATCTGTGACTGAAGTCCTCTCTAACTCTCTTAGGCTTTCACGGCTGTGGATGCTTTGGCAGACGGGGGAGTGAAGATGGGATTGCCTCGCAGACTGGCAGTGCGACTGGGGGCACAGGCGTTGCTGGTCAGTTGGTGGAGTGAATGAATGCGTGTACCAAGCGAGTCCCTGTCTAGGAGATTTAATGACTCGATAACGTGAGGTTTTGTTTTCCCCCCCTTTAAGACCATTTCGATAAGCACCTGAACTTTTCTCCTCAGTGGGGTTGAATCTGTTACTTAATAAGGACTCAAGTCTTGTAAATGCAGCTGAAACATATTCCATCTCCTCCAAAAGCTTCCACTTATTATTATAATAGATATAGCACTTTATCATGTCGTTGAGACGTCTCAAGGAGCTTTTTGTTTTTCTGCCCTTTCTTGACAGGGAGCAGCCAAGATGTTACTGGAGTCGGAGCAGCACCCTGGTCAGTTGAAGGACAATGTCTGCTCCCCAGGAGGTGCCACCATCCATGCCCTGCACGTCATGGAGAGTGGGGGATTCCGCAGCCTCCTAATCAATGCTGTTGAGGCCTCCTGCAAGAGGACAAAGTGTGTACCCTCTGCTCCCTCCCTCCCGTCTTGTATTACTAAAGTGCTTGCAGCATTCTGGCCGCTGGATTGGCGCCCAAGGCTGTGCCTCACATTGAAAGCTGAATTAAGACGCTCTCATCCGACTTATAAACTGTCTGTCCACCTCACATCTTCAGTCGCATGGCGATCATGGGCTACACTTGCACATATACTTTCCAGGTCCTGGTAATGTGTCCTTGATGTTGAATGTCTTTTCAATCCACCACTTGGAATGGTGATTTAGTGGTTTGAACCCTGGCTTCAGGAAACCTTGTTCCTACTTCCTCCACTCCCAATATAGCTCGGGGCAGGGGGAGCACGGAGGCTGATATTAACTGCCTTCTGGACCTTCCCAGTCAGCTTGCCTCTTCACTAGTCATTTAGAGCTGGGCTTACGTTTAACTCTATCTCAACTTGAGCTTATTTGATTTCCTCTGCTCCCAGCTGTTGCTTCACTTCTCCTTGTGCAGCAGCTGCTTTCTAGCTTGTTTCTGAAAAGGATGCTCCTCAGGACCCTGCCCTCTGTAATGGGAGCTCTGGTTTAGGTAAGGTCTATTCTTGATCATCAAATGACTCTTTGCTGTTTTTCTCTTGTCTTCCAGTGAGCTGCAGTTTCTGGCTGACCAGGAGACTGTGTCCGCCGCCTCCATTAAGAAGACCACCCTGGACAAGGTGAAGAGGACTGCCTCCAAGGCTGGGATCAGCCTCTTCAACAACAAGTATCCTGGTAGCAAGAAGCCCTAAATTGAGTCACTGAGTAAAAGGAGAAAACCGCTGTCACCAAAACTGTACAACCTGGCATATAGTAAATCAGCCTAAGTGCCAGTAAGGCTCTTATCTCTGGAACTTGCACCCCCATCTCTTTAAATCCCACCTGAGAGCCTAACTACTTTGACAGGACCTGAAGTCCCCTCACCCCCTCTCCTGCCTAGTTCACTGTCTAACCCCAACATGGGCACAATGGGCCAAATGGCCTCTTTCTGTGCTGTAAGATTCCATGATAACACCACACAGTACTTTGATGCTACACTGTGTGACAACACTATATAAATACTTGTGATTCCTTCCATGCCTACTTAACTTTGATGTCCAAATATAAGTGCACTGAGATTTTACTAGAGTAAAATCAAGATTGGGAGGTTGGCTTAAGGTTTTTAAACCCCCCCCACCACTGCTTCCAATGTTTTTGCATTTTGATAAGTTACCAGACAACAGACATTTCTCCCCACCCCAACATAATTCATCTGTCAGATGGGTGTCTAATGCATATCAACCTTCATCCCTGTGCTTAAAATATCCAAGCATGGAAACTAGAATGGGAGTATACATACTCTACTCACCCCCCTTTTTTTTCCCCCTCTCCAAAAGGAAGCACTTTACTTACCCAATCCCACACTGTACTAAAGTTAATAAAAGACCAGGGTTAGAAAATGTGAAATGCATAATAAAATTCATTTTTAAAGGATGCTGCCTCATGTGAAAGGTGCTACATATAATCAAATGTAAGTATTGTATTTGGGTTGTGGCTGAAAAAANTTCACTAAGATAGTGAAAGAGTTGAAGACTCAACAATTTACGGTAACCACTTTTCTAGACTAATTATTTCAACATCTGTGAGTCTATCGGTCGATCACATGTCGTGGTGGCATACTTTTGACTTTGGATTAGTAATTTGCTTAAAACTTCACATTAGTGTATTGTCTGCACCTAAAATTGTGAGTAATCCACCCTGGGCAAGATTGTCATTGCACTGTATACAGAATTATTTTTTGATATTGCCATACAATTCTGTCTTTTTTGGGGTGACAATTTTCCTTAACTTGCATACAATAGTGAATGAACCCGCTCCTCTCTGCTGGAATCCCAGTGGAGATTAAACGGCCCAAGTCCTTAGAGAGCCAAAATCCTTGCCTAACCCATTTTGTGTGCCTCGACTTCAAAGGAGAGCATTGCTGCAAACACTGCTGGGGAGAAGATGGAAACCTGGATGGTGGCATCAAGAACATCTTTTGGAATGCTGAATTTTGTACATTAGTCATGTTTATTCATTTGCAAGGGGAAGAAAGCGAGGAAATCTTCCTCTAATAGGGGACTGAGTCATTTAAGAGGATTTCTAACTGGGACAGGAAACTAAAGTTTCACCCTGATCTCTGGGACCCTCTGAGGTTGAAGTGAAGTTCCCATGCTATCTGTGCCTCTGGTCTTTGGAAGGGTCCCTCCTCCCCTTACTACACCACACAGTGATACACATTGCACGCAATTACTTAACGATTCTGGTGATTGTTGCAAGAAATCTCTTGCGTGTTGAACTGCTGCGTAGTTTGTTGCCCAAAGTGTGTCGCTGAGCCATTGCACTTTGTACAGTTTCATTTTGTCAATAAACCCATTCCATAAGATTGAAATTTTTTTAAACGCTTAATATACTGCCCTTGTACTGTCTCCAATAGATGCTACACCAAATGCAAGGGTTATTAGTATTTACCAGTGAGAAGGGTGTAGGGGAATGCCGATCTACTAGTATCAACACTGCAGTCCAGCCTTGCTGGTATTTTTACCCCAAATCACAGTAAGTGAAGTATCAGGCATAGCAGAAATGCTTGGCCAGATGGCAGATGCAATAAAATGTAACATGGTCTGCTGGGTGGTGGTGGGGGGGNAGTAAGGGAAAAGCAAAGTTTCCCTCCTCCCACTTGCTTGAATAACAGGAGCTGGAGACCAGGTTGGGAGACTCCATTGGGAATGTTTCAGAAATGACTGGAATGTTAACCCTCTCGCCGCCACTGCCTGAGACCATGGCATTCTCCAACAGCTTTAAACTGTGGGCCTGTGTGAAGTTATTTCTGTGCTTTATTAGTAATTCTGTGTTGCTTTGATGACAACCTGATGGTTGCTTGGAACAACATGTAATAGGAGAAAACCCTATATACTTGACCGTACCAGCTCCTGCCTTCAGTAAGTGGGGAGGCTAACCATGTAAATATATGTATATATTACATGAGTTATTTAATATATTGCAGATCATAATATATGAGCATATAATTAGCCTCAAAGGGACCTTCTTTCCACAAGAATACATCAAAACATGGAATTTATTCCTTTTTTTAAAAGAAAATTGGTAAAAAATATTTGGTAAAGAGGTACAGGAAGGAATCCTTTTGGGAGAAGAGCAATTGGAAAAAGGTCACCATTCTGGGACTGGGTGAAGACTGTTGGTGTGAAGGCGACACGGCTGAGCCCAGGCCAGCCTGGAGCTTGTGGAGTCCTGTAGCTCAGCGGTTAGTTAGAGCACTCGCTTCGCAAGCGAGAGACCGGCGTTCAATTCCAGGCAGGTCCGGGCCAAACCTTGGGCAAGTTTCCTTACTCCACACGCAGCCTAATAACCATCCTGTAGTCCAAGTGGAGTCCTGTAGCTCAGTGGTTAGAGCACTCGCTTTGCAAGTGAGAGACCTGAGTTCAATTCCAGGCAGAGGGCGAAACCTTGGGCAAGTTTCCTTACTCCACACAGAGCCTAATAATAATCCCTCCAAAACCAAAAACAATAATAAATTGGTCATTTTCAATCTACGACTGTTTGTGGGACATTGCTGTGCGCAATTGGCTGCCGCGTTCGCCCACAAATATACAGTCAATTCACTTTACAGTGTGTTCTGTGAAGCGCTTTGGGACGTCCTCCCGACGTGAAAAGCGCTATATCAAATGCAAGGATTATTATTATTATTATCCCTCCAAAACCAATCATAAATTGGTCATTTTCAATCCGCGACCGTTTGTGGGACAGACGCCGCTGTGCGCAATCGGCTGCCGCGTTCGCCCGCAAGTATATGCAGTCGATTCACTTTTAACGGTCTATTCCGTGAAGCGCTCTGAGCCATCGAGAAGACGTGAAAAGCGCTGTATCAAATGCGAGGAATAATACTAATAATAATAATAATAATCCTTGCATTTGATATAGCGCTTTTCACGTCGGGAGGACGTCCCATAATTATTATTAGTATTCTGCGAAGCGCTGTCAGACGTCTCAACCCCAATGGTAAAGGAGTAGTAGTAGTGTATCAAACGCCAGTATTATTATTATTACTATTACTATTCTTATGATGATGATGATGAAGGCTGTGGCGCTCAACCTAGCGTGCTGGCGCGAGTCAGCAGCGTGATGGGCAGGGACGAGCGGCCAATGGGAAAGCGCGCCGGTGACGGCGCGGCGGAGCGGGCGACCAATGAGAGAGGGCGAGAAGGGGACCGCCCCCCCGACCCCGTAGCCCCGCCCACCCCCGTTCAAGTTAGGTTGCGCGGTGTGTTGCTCAGTGAGAGAGAGAGAGAGAGAAAGAGAGCCATTGACAACGGGGTTTGGGCCATTGAACCCATCCCGGGGCTGGAGGTGGGGGTGTGGGGGGGTGTGGGGGGGGATAAGGGGCAAAGAGAGAGAGAGAAAAAAAATAATAATTATTATTATTATTAGCCATTTTATGCCTTTCTTCCCATTACAAAAAACAGAGAAAGAGGACTCGCGTTAAAAACTCCAAATCCACTCCACTCTCTCTCACTCTCTCTCTCACTCTCACACACACACACACAGTCGCGGCCTCTTTTTGGGGGTGACTTTGTGTCCCTCTGACGCCCTCTCCTCGAAGAGACACACACCGGAGAGGCGGTGGTGGGGGGGAGAGAGCGGGTAAGGCGGTAACACAGCACCGGCACCGGGAATACATCTGATGTTTAAGGGGTTGGGGGTGTGGGGGGGCGGGGTTGGGGGGGTGGGTGTTGGGGGTGGGTGTTGGGGTGTGGTTGGGGGATTGGGGTGTGTTGGGGTGGGGGTTGGGGTGTGGGTGGGGATTGGTGGGGTGTGGGATTGGTGGGGTGTGGGATTGGTGGGGGTGTGGGATTGGTGGGGGTGTGGGTGGGGGATTGGGGTGGGTGGGAGTTGGGGATTGGGGTGGGGGGGTGTTAGGGGGTGGGTGGGGGGGTGTTGGGGTGTGGATGGGGGGGTGTTGGGGTGTGGATGGGGGAGTGTTGGGGTGTGGATGGGGGATTGGGATGGGTGGGGGTTGGGGATTGGGGTGGGGTGGTGTTAGGGGTGGGTGGGGGGTGTTGGGTGGGTAGGTGTTGGGGGGGTGGGGGGTGTTGGGGTGGGGGTGGGTGGGGGGGGTGGGGTGGGTGTTGGGGTGGGTGGGGGGTGTTGGGGTGGGTGGGGGGTTGGGGTGTTGGGGTGGGGGTTGGGGTGGGTGGGGGGTTGGGGGGTGGGGGGGGGAACCTCATCTGTGATATAAATAGTGTCATGGGATTGCATCTCTCGAAGGATACAGGGTAAGGGGGGAGAGGGGAAGGTTGTATCAAAGGCCCAACAGTGTCATATATTTTTAAAAAGGGAATAACATCTAATAACATAATATAAATAGTGTGATATAATGTATCTCTCGAAGATACAACGTAGCAGAGAGTGGGTAACATTGTTACAAAGCACCACCGAGAATACTATTGTATATATCTATGTGTGTGTGTGTATATCTGTGTATGTTTGTGTGGTTTTTATATGTATATGTGTGTCTTTGTGTGATTTGAGTTTAAATGGTTCAAAACCATTTAAATTTGGATGAAAATGGCATTTTCCTTTCCCCCCTCTCCCCTCTCCCTCTCCCCTCCCCCTCTCCCTCTCTCCCCCCCTCTCCCTCTCTCCCCCCCTCTCCCCCTCTCCCTCTCCCCCCCCCTCCCCCTCTCCCTCTCTCCCTCTCCCCCTCTCTCTCGAAGATGGGGGGGGTGGGGGTTCGAGACTGATTTTCTGCCCTGTTTTGGTTTGTTGACAGAGTCTTTTAAGCTTTGATGTCTTCTTTCCTCGGGTTTCTCTTTGGTGGGGGGTGTGTGTGTGTGTGTGTGTGTGGGTGGGGGTGTGTGTGTGTGTGGGTGGGGGTGTGTGTGGGTGGGGGGGGGGTGAGGGGTGTGGGGGGGGTGTGAGGGGTGTGGGGGGTGTGTGGGGGGGTGAGGGGGGTGGGGGGATGTGTGTGTGGGGGTGTGTGGGGGGGTGTGTGGGGGTGTGGGGGGGGGGGGTGGGGGGGTTTGTGTGGGGGTGTGGGGGGGGGTGTTGAGACGCCACAGCTCCTGTCACTGTTAGCGACGTTGCCTATGGTAACGTGGGGGGGAAGGAAATGCTCTGGGATTGAACCTGAAAAGAGTCTGGAACTGTTGTGGCCTCTTATTATTTATGGGACACTTTTTTAGGGGCAATTGGCTTAAAATCAGACGTTTTCCTCCTTGCCCTCACCCCCCCCCCCCCTCCCCCACCCCCAGCCCTATTCCCCCCCCCCCCCATCCCCAGCCCCACACACATAACAATAATAGTTTCAGAGGAGGTTGCATGTCTACAGGCTCCTTGATTTTCGAGCTGTCTCTGCTGCCTTCTCCAGCACCCGAGAAGGAGACAATAATAATATAATAACAATATAATAATATAATAATACTCCTTGCCTTCGATATAGCACCTTATCACGTCGTGGAGACGTCTCAAAGCGCTTCGCAGGATACACAGTAAAGTGAATTGACTGTATTTTGCGGGGAAAACGGCTTGGGGTTTCGTGCTGTTTTGACTGCAAAGTTTTGGAAGCGCTCAGGGGACACTATATAAATGCACGAAGGGCGCTGTATAAATGCAAGTAGTGGTTAATGTTGACTGCGGGGCGATTCGTGGCTTGTGTTTTTCCAGCGTTTCTGAGACGTTCCACGATGTGAAGGGCGCCAGATAAATATGCAAGCTGTTGTGGTTGCTGCTGTTGTTGTTGTTGTTGTTGTTGTGGTTGTTGCTGTTGCTGCGGTTGCTGTTGTTGCTGTGGTTGTTGCTGTTGCTGCTGTTGTTGTTGTTGTTGTTGTGGTTGTTGCTGTTGCTGCGGTTGCTGTTGTTGCTGTGGTTGTTGCTGTTGCTGTGGTTGTTGCTGTTGCTGCGGTTGCTGTTGTTGCTGTGGTTGTTGTTGTTGCTGTGGTTGTTGCTGTTGCTGTGGTTGTTGCTGTTGCTGCGGTTGCTGTTGTTGTTGTGGTTGTTGCTGTTGCTGCGGTTGCTGTTGTTGCTGCGGTTGCTGTTGTTGCTGCGGTTGCTGTTGTTGCTGCGGTTGCTGTTGTTGCTGTGGTTGCTCCTGTTGTTTTGTGATAGCTGTGTACCACCTGAGCAGGGAAATGAGAGATTTAAAGAGGCAATGTTGAAGGGAGTTGATTTTTTTTTGGACCCTAGGAGAGGAGGCAGCTGCTGATGGTTTTTTTTTAACCTTTCTCCTTTTCCACCTCCCCTGAGGTGCCTGGGATAATAATAATAATATTCCTTGCGTTTGATATGGGGCCTTATCACATCGTCTCGGTGTTGTCAAAGCGCTTCACAAGAGACACTGTAAAGTGAACCGACTGTGTATTTTGTGGGCAAAACGCGGCAGCCAAATCCACAATTGTCCCACAAACAAGTCGTGGATTGAGTGAGCAAATATTTGTTTTAAAAAAGTTTCTCTCTGCCTCTCCAGGTTGTGTGTGTGCGTACGTGTTAATGTGCGTCCACGATGAACACTGCACAGAGCTGCTCCTCGTTCCTGGGTGATGAGCTAGATCTCAGCCTCACGGGGTCTCAGCTACTGGTGTCTAAGCGTCCCAGCAGTGCCTCGCCCGCCAAGATCCTCTCCCGTTCCACATCCGTGGCTTTGGAGAAGAAACCCAAGAGGAACGTTCTGGTAAGTGAAGGTGTGGAGGAGCTCTGGGGGTGGGTTGGGGGGGGGAAAGGAGTTGTCATTTTGGATGAGAGAGACTTAATAATGATGATACTTGCATTTGATATAGCGCCTTATCACATCGTTGAGACGTCTCATAGTACCTCACAGAATATATGGTAAAGTGGATCGACAACAACAAATTACATTTATTACACGTCGGGAGGATGTCCCAAGGTGCTGGATGGAACAACAAGGGCTTTGCATCCGAGCTGCGGGTTGGGATCAGAGAAGGGTGGACGGCAAGGTGGGGGTTGGAGTGGATGAGGGAAGAGGACCAAAGTCATGGGCAAATAGGAAGGCCTTGAAGGAGGCAAGGGAGAGGGCGAGACCTCTTTCCTTCCCCTATCCTTCTCTCTCCACCTCCCCCCACCCACCTGCATTGTGTATAAGATCCCACATTTCCGCAGTGATGTTAACCGTGCTGTTTCCCCTGTTTCTAGGGCGAGACTAGTCTCGGTAACCTCTCTGCCAGTACTTCCCGTGCAATCAACAACCTGAGACGTTCCAACAGCACCACACAAGTCAGCCAGCGAGGCAACGGCGTGGGAAGGTATTGCAGTAAAACTCGTATCAGTCTTATCTTTATAAATCGTATAATCTTCTACGTCATCCTTTTTTGTGTGGGGCGGGGGGTGTGTGGGTGCAGCTGGGTGGGTGTCTGACACGCACGGAAACCCGTGCTTTAAAGAGCATCGAAACCAAACTGAAATTTCTATGCATCCCACCTACATGTGAAAATTCCAGAGGTAGGTTGTTGGAAAGGAATGCGTGCGCTCTCTCTCTCTCTCTCCTTCCCTCTCGGGATGCCTCCTACTTACCTAATTCTGGAAAGTATAAGACGCAGGTCGGCAAGAGTTAAGGCTTGGAGATTCGCCTGAGTTTCATTCAGTTTCCTATCGCAACCACTTTGCATTAGTCGTGTTAATCGCCTCCCAACTGGGAACACCGGTCCCCTTTCCCTCCACTTACTCCTGCACTTACCGGCTGCATTGAATCGTGCAAATGATATCCTGACCTGTCGGCCCATGTGCACTTACCGGCCGGCTACTTGCTCTGTTTCCTCAGTGAGGAGAGGACGGAGGACTTCTTGGCTTTATTCGACAGCTCCGCCAGCGGAAGGAAGAAGCTGTGCAGCCTGAGCAAGGTTACTCCGGAGAGGAAAACCACGTGGAACATTCTGGTAATTGCCTGCAGGCGTAATCTTCCAGGCCCTCTCTCATCAATGCGTCAGAAAGATGTGCCTTTCGCCCCCAAAATACTCAGTCACTCCACCTTACAGTATATCCTGTGAAGCGCTTTGTTACATCTCAACGACGTGATAAGGCGTTATATCAAATGCAAAGTTATTATTTAATATCATTTTGATAGAATAAGATGCTATAAAATTGCCAATCCTATTCCTGGAGCCCAAGCCTTATGATAAAATTGAAACCAGGACGAATTGTTCCTAATTTTGACGCCAGTAATTAATTTCCAAGTCATTTAAATGCTTTCCTATGTATGTTGGTCACCTGTACGATATCCCTCTCCTCTTCTTGTCTTCTCTTGGTCGCTTCCCCAATGGCAGGATGAGGAGCCTCGGGTTTTCGTACCTCCTACCACAGCCCGCAGTGCCAGCACGACAGACACACCAGTCTTCACCAAGAAGAGGGAGAGCAGTGTGTCATTGGCAGCCAACTTTACAGCCAACAACCGGTTAGTAGATCTATCTCTGCCGATAACGAGGATGCAGAGTACAGTAAAACCTCACACATTGCAAGTCGTACAATCACTCGAGTCCCATTCAGCTTCCTAGCAAAACCACTTAGATTTCTTTGCATTACTTGTATTAATCATCTCCTAACTCGTAACTCCACTCCCTGACCTCCATTACTCCTGCACTTTGAATTGCACATGCGCAGTGTAGATTATTGATCAAATTATATGATTTACACAGTTTGCCTGCAACCCGGATGTTGTGTAAGCGGTATTAAATGTTATGGTCCCAGTTGAGGCGACTGATGTGAGGATTACTGTGTGTACAGTTTCCCTTATCGCACTGACTGCTAACCTCTGTGTGTTTCTGGCTGCCTGTGTTGGTGGGGCTCCTCGGTTGCGAACGTTGACTCGACTTTCTCGTGGCTATTTACAGAAGTAACAAGGGGGCCGTTGGGAACTCGGTCACCACAATGCTGCACAACAACTACTCCACCAGCGAGAAGCCGTTGGCACCCAAAAGCTCCAACCAGAAGGCTACATCCCTCAAGTAAGTTCATCAGGGTTCCTGATGGGACCCAACCATCATTCAGAGGTGGTTTCATTGCATCACTTGCACCATTTCCAGTCTTTGATGGAAAGACTCTTTCCCCATTGTCCTTGTTGCTGCAATTAGGATTTGAGTCAATGATCGCTTGTTTTGTTTGGATCCTGATAATGTAACCTTGTTTCACTCCTCCTTTCTCATTCTCCCTAGTAACATGATTAAGGTGACGAGCAACGACGAGAACAGCCTGGACCAAAGCTCCTTGAAGAAATCTCAGAAAAACCTCTCCAGCAATAACGTGGTGACCAGGAACAATACTGGTGGTATGCTGAGAAGGAAGGAGGTGACTGAGGAGGAAGCTGAAAGGTGAATCTTTCAATCTTTCTTGAACCTTTGCGAAGCAGCAAGATGCCAGCCTGAGCCCTGGCGTTGACGAGAACTCTAAACCCGCGCAGTGTGGAAGGGAGAGCAATTCCTTCACTGGGGACACAATTCATCCATCTCCATGGCCTTGAACTGAAGGCAGAGAAGTTTTATTTTAATCAGCGTGAATCAAAATTCCTAGCTCGTAGATCTATATGATATGTTCAAACTGTAGGCTGTGTAGACGATTACACATATCAATTCGGTGACAAAAAACTTTCATGAATGTGCTGAAAGACATCTCCTGTAACAGCTGCACACTCTCTGTGAATGTTGTTTTTTGAAAACAAAACATGATTAATAATCTAAAAACTTTTACGAGTAAGGACTTTTGATTCACCCTGCACACAAAGGGACCAATTTTACTGAACAATGTGTTGTTGACGTTCTTTACACCTATAGATTTTGTTTTATTGGCATTTTTGCTGGATCCAATTCTGTGACTCTTCTCAATTTGACTCTTCAAGCCCCATTTTGCCCCCAGCGAGACTCTAATATAAGCCTTCCTGTTACATACCCCTTCCACCCTCTTTCCTTTCTCCCCCTACCCTCTGTGTAATTTGTTCCCGAAGCCACAGTGTCAATATGTTGCACTTGTTTTGAAATGGAGCTTGGAAAGTTTTCAGAAGAGATGAACCGATTTTGTTTAGCACCGCACAGTGGTGCCCTCCAATGGTGTTGTGTTTATCTGCACCGCACGTCCTACCTAGATGTCAAAAGAAACTCGGGTCCAAAAGTTGTTTCTAAATACTGTGTGTGTTTTTGCCATCTCTAGAGTCCAGTACTCAAACCTTAATGATAGAAGGGATTTTACTCAACTGATGCAGAACGCTAATCCAGATATCTCCCACCCCGATATTGGGTATGCATAGATTTTTATGTAGGAATTGGTTTCTTTACTTCCTGGTGTTTTGTAGAAAGCCACAATCTGTAGTGCTTTAATGAGCAGCTTTGCTTCGAAGATGCAGAGGAGCGTTTTTTTTTTCTCTAGGTTTGACTTTCTGTATCTTTGTTGTGCCCGGCGAGACTCTTAATATTAGCCTTCCTATTATTAAATTAAAATACACCTTCAATCCACTTTACCAATATATTCTGTGAAGCGTTTTGGGACGTCTCAACGATATGATAAGGTGCTATATCGAATGCAAGGATTATGTTTATGTTATTGTGTGTGTGCATATATAAGGTCTGTTTGGGAAATGGGCAAACTTTTGCAAACTTTCTAAATACATTTCACTCTTTTTGTTCTTCCCCCTCCCCCCCCACCCCACTCCCTTTCCTTCACCCTTCACTCCTCTCCTCCCTTCTTTCCTCCCTCTCCGGATAGATTTATAGAACAGGTGAACCTCGCCGCAGTAACTATTCAGCGCTGGTACAGACGCCACATCCACAGACGTAGAGCGAGCGAAGCCGCCCTGAGACGAATGCTGTCTGTGAAGAAACAGGTGCTTGTTTGCAATGTTTTCAAGACGGTTGAGCAATCGTAGGGAACGTCTCGTATTTAAACTGAGCTGTGCAGGATTTGCGCAAGTTTCTTGAGCGTAGTTTGCTCCAGCAGGCACCAGCAATTACATTTACACAGAGCCTTTTATGTGGCGGGGGGAACATCCCAAGGAGGCAGACAGTCAAGGATTTGGACCTGAGCTGGGGAGGTGGGAGGGGTGTTGGGAACAGGAGAGGTGGAGGGCAAGGAAGGTGGGAGTGGAAGGGTGACTGAAGGCACGGTCAAAGAGGGTCTTGAAGGAGGCAAAGGGAGGGGTCAAGCGAATCGACTTCTGCTTCCACATAGCTCAAAGTCTAAGTGCATCAGTTGAGCCTTGGGGGGGGAAATAAGGGGCAGACAAGACCCAGGTGGCATTTCTTCCCTCTTGTGGCGCAGTTGGTTAACTTCAGCGTTGCAGCCTTGCTGCTGGAACAATCTGGTTCATTGCTGACATTTTTCTGTCAGGAGAGGGAACGAGAGATGTTAGATGAAGGAGCTGCAGCCGAGCATCAGAGGAAAAAANGCGAGGAGAGGAAGAAAATCCGAGAAGAGAAAGCCCGCCAGGCCAGGAAGGCTGCTATCCAGGTAATGTCCCCCCACCTCCTCATGGAAACAAAACTCGATTGTATTGTGGAATCTCATAGAGCAGCATTCGTCCCGCAAGCGAGAGAACTCGGGTTTGATTCCCAGCCGGGGCGAAACCTTAGGCCAGTTTCCATACTCCAACCGCCTGTAGCAGTAAGTAGGAACGCGGTTGTTAGTCTATTGGAGGATTGCTTTTCCGGGGCTAATAACCTTTTCAAAATAAATAATAACAATCCACCACTGTCTGTGGGACACTACTTCAAGCAATTGACTGCTGTGTTTCGCCCATAAAAATGTACAGTCAATTCTCTTTACAGTATATTCTGTGAAGCGCTTTTATTTTGCCGGGACACCAACCGGGAGAAACTCCCTCCTCTTCTTTGAATCGTACCCCAGGATCTTTGAGGCCCAACGAGTTGCCTTTGCATTAGAAATGAGAAGTAAATTCCGCTCATCGTTTTCGTGACAGGAACTCCAGCAGAAACGGGCTGAGAAGGCAGCCGCGGTGAAGAGAATCAGCGAGGAGGAGCTGGCTCTGCTGAGGGAGAAAGGGAAGATTGGGAAGAGAAAGCCTGTCCGCTCTGCGTCCGCGAACAATACCGTTCCAGCCAAAAGCCAAGTCAACTCAAAGAATGCAGGTGGGAGCTGGTGCTAGATCTGGAACTCTCACCCACTCATTTATTACAACCAGGCTCAACTACACCAACTCCCTGCTTGTCGGCCTTCCCAACTCTTCCCTCCACAAGCTGCAGTTCATCCAGAACTCGGCAGCTTGTGTCCTCTTCCGCACCAGACTCCGTGACCCCCATCACCCCCACCTTCGCCCGGCTCCACTGGCTCCCCATCCCCCAGGGGATAGAGTTCAAAATCCTCGTCCTCGCGTTCAAGGTGCTCCGCGGTCTCGCTCCCTGCTATCTCTGCTACCCACTAAAGTAAGCCACTAATTCCCATTTTCCCTTTTTCTTTTTCTTCCTCTTAATTCAGCTACAGATCCAGAGGCTCACACTAACCACAGAGCTGCAAGTCCACCTGGGCCATGTGTCAGGGCTGACGAGGAACTCCAGGTATGCTTTATATATGCTTTCAGCCACTATGCCCTGAAACTCTGGAACACTCACTCAATCTCTCCATCTTGTCCCCACTTCCCCATGTTCAGGTCATGTCTGAAGACCTTCCTCTTCAACTGGTGCCTTCCTCTTCACCTCCCCCACCCCCTGGTTGGGCATCCTGCTCTGCCACTGTCTAGCGCTCTGACACATGTGGAAAGCCATCACTGTGCTTAAGAGTTTCCAAACCCAACTGAGAGTTCCATGTATGCCACCTACACATGAAACTTCTAGAGATAGATTGTTGGAATGGAATGGGTGCTCTCTCACCTGGAGGAACGCATCCTGCTTACCTAATTCCCAAAAGTATTAGGCACAGGTTGGCAAGAGCCAAAGCTTGGGGGGACCCCAGAGTGTGCGTTGGGGTAATTGCTGGAGTCTAACCAGCTAAAAACGCATAGGTTGCTATTGATATCATTGTCAGTCAAGCTTTCTTGCTGCTTGTCCAGCTGGGACCACCCCACCACACTTCCTTTACACCTAAAAATTAGACAGTTATAGCTGTACTTCCATAGCCCTGGGTTGTATTTCTGGGAGTCCTGCAGCTTAGTGATTAGAGCACTCGCCTCCCAAGCGTGAGACCTGGGTTCAATTCCCAGGACGAAACATTGGGCAAGTTTCCTTTCCCTCGAGGGGAAAAAAAACAATAATAAAATTGGAGATTTCAATCCATGACTGTTTGTGGGACACTGCTGTGCGCAATTGACTGCCGCGTTTGGTCCATCAAATACAATCACTGCACTTTACAGTATATCCTGTGAAGCGCTTTGAGACGCCTCGATGACATGATAAGGCGCTGGGTCAAATGCAAGGATTATTATTGTTTGTTGTTGTTGCAATGCAGAGAGCCTCCGAGGCCCTGTCATTAGCCGAGGAACAGGAGGTGGCAGCGTCAGGCCTGAACCAGTCCAGGCCCACCCTGAGCGATGTGCTGGACACCCTCAAACTGCTGGAGGAAGAGCCTGAACTGCTTCCCGAGCCGAAGGTCAGCTACAAGGATAAATATGCCTGGATCGATGAGGTAACCCTGTAGTGACTGTTTTTAACAGTAACAAATAACACACGTTTAGCACCTTTCACCCCGGCAGGTCTTGAAACGGCCCTTGAAGGAGGCAAGGGTGAAGGCAAGACCATAAGACGTAGGAGCAGGAGTAGGCCATTTGGCCCCTCGAGCCTGCCCCGCCATTTAATAAGATCATGGCTGATTTTCTAACCTAATTCAATTTACCCGCCCTATCCCCATAATCCCTCTATCCTTTAGAAATCTATCAACCTCAGTCTTGAATATGTGGTAAGGCAGGCAAGGGGCTCCAGGATGGAGTTCCAGAGGGGTAATACACTTTTGAACACCTAGAAATGAAGATATCATTGAATTTTTTAAGTTTTAAATAAAATAAGGACTTTTTCAATCAATTGATGACACTAGGGGTCTGTGTTCAACCAGTGACTGATTGTAATGGGATGACAATAGGACATACATTTTTGCAGCACTTTTCACATCGGGAGGACGTCTCAAAGCAGCTTAACAACCCTGGATGGGCGAGCCGGGGGTGGGAGATGATGGGGGTTGAGGAGGGGAAAGGTGACCGAAAGCAAGAAGTTTTAAGCTACAGATTCACCAATAATCACAGGGAAATCATTACTGAAAACAACAGTAGTCTATCTGCAACTTGTTGGATCCCAGGTTTCTGCTCCTGACCCATGTAATACTTAGACGTTTTCACCAGTTTTATTTACAACCAGCCACTAGGAGGTGTTGGCTACCAGGATATTTGATATAGCGCGAACAAGTGTGGTCCATTGCTGTCTCCTCACTTTCTTTATAACAATAATAATCTTGGCATTTGATATAGCGCCTTACCATTGTTCGTCATCAAATAACAGTCACTTCACAGTAAAGTATGTGAAGCGCTTTGGGACGTTCTCCCAATGCAAAAATTCTACACCAAAGGCAAAGATTATTATTATTATTTCTTATTATTCTAGCTTTAGTCCTCTGCCTGCACTCTATCTTCTGATTTTGGTCTATTCTTCACTCTGCACACCCTACCATTACGTTTCGCCCGCAAAAGACACGGTCACTACACTTTACAGTATATATTGCGTGAAGCGCTTTGAGACGACTCAACGACATGATGAGGCATTATGTCAAGTGCAAATTATTAATATCATTAGTGATAGAACCTTCATTCACTTTGTCCCCTGCTGTTTGTTTCGTTTCCGCCTCATTCTTTCCCCACCCCAACCCGGGCTCCCAAAGAAGTACAAACCAAATAATTGAACAACCTTTCGATTCCCTTCACAAACTTAAAGGGGGGGAAAACTGAGGAGAAGCTGTGATGCTTCCCTGTGCTCGAAGGGTGGGGAGCCCGATCTGACCGTCTTCTTTCTCCGCAGGACACAGACTCCACGTCCTTGACCGCCGATAACCTGGAGCGTTTGGGAAAGATCGAGCTGGTCCCGGGGCTGCCGGAGGCTGGCACTCTGCTGTCGGAGGCCAAGCTCCAGAGCATCATGAGCTTCCTGGACGAGATGGAGAGATCGGAGCAGGAGCGGCCTCACTCTGCTGCCTCGGCAGCGCCCCGAGAGGTCAGCCCGACACATGACACACAATCTCTTCAGGACGTCTCCACAGCTACCAAACCTGTTTTTTTAACAATAATCCTCGCATTTGTGATAGCGCCTTATCACGTCTTTGAGTCGTCTCAAAGCACTTCACAGAATATACTGCAAAGCGATACGCGGCAGTTAATTGCACACAGTAGTGTCCCACAAACAGCCGTGGATTGAGTAGGGAAACTTGCCCAAGGTTTCGCCCTGGCTGGGAATCGAACCCAGGTCCTCTCGCTCACGAGGCGAGTGCTCTAACCACTAGGCTACAGGACATATATTCTGTGAAGCGCTTTGAGACTCCTCAATGGCGTGATAAGATGTTATATCAAATGCAAGGATTATTATTGTTATTATTATTTAAAATTGTTGCTGATGATTCCCTACGGTTTAGGCGCTGCTGTCCGAAGAGGAGCTGGCTCACCTGGAGCAAGCTTCGGCCGTGGCAACTGAGGTGACCAGCTCAATGATGAGACTAAAACTGGAGCTAGAAGAAAAGAAGCGAGCCATGAGCATGTTACAGACAGCTTTGGTAAGTAATGGCGGTCTGCTTCACTCTGTGGTTACAAGGTTTCACCCACAAAATAAAGAGTCAATTCACTTCACAGTGTATTCTGTGAAGTGCTTTGAGTTGCCTCGAAGACGTGATAAGGTGCTGTATCAATTGCAAGGATTATTATTCTATTATAACATGTCTCTGGGCCTGGGTAGCAGTCTGGATTGCCATGTAATTGTAGGTAACAACAAATTATATTTATATAGCACCCTTCACTCAGGGTAGCATCTTGACTCACATCTCCTATCTCGAAGCGCTGTAACATAACAATGCGCCTTTTGTTTGATTATAGCACCTCGTCACGTTGGGCGGATGTCGGAAAGTACTTCACAGGATGTATGGTGATGTGACGAGCGGTATTTTGTCCACTCTTTATCTCGGCAGAACCAGCAGAGGGAATTGACGGTGAGGCACGTCAAAGAGACGGAGAAGGAAATGAAATACCAGCTCAGGCTGCAGAAGGAACAGTATGAAGCCACAATCCAACGCCACCTTGCTTTCATCGACCAGGTGAAACCCACTTCCGGATTGGGAATGAGCAACCATTCTTCCTTTTTTTTTGGTCAGCCGTGTGGGTGTCTGACACATGTGGAAAGCCATCACTGTGCTTAAGAGTTTCCAAACCCACCTGAGAATTCCATGTATGCCACCTACACATGGAAATTCTAGAGATAGATTGTTGGAATGGAATGGATGCTCTCTCACCTGGAGGAACGCATCCTGCTTACCTAATTCCCGAAAGTATTAGGCACAGGTTGGCAAGAGCCAAGGCTTGGGGGACCCAAGAGTGTGCATTGGGGTAATTGCTGGAGTTCTAACCAGCTACAAACGCATAGGTTGCTATTGATATCATTGTCTGTCGAGCTTTCTTGCTGCTTGTCCAGCTAGGACCACCACACTTCCTTCACACCTAAAAATGACAGTCACTACAGTTCACAGAAAAAAACGCTGTGAAGGGTTTTGAGATGTTTAACTATGCGACAAGGCGCTCTATCGAGTGCAAAATCATATTAATTATTAACAACGAGAGCTTGCATTTGGTTAGCACTTTTCATACAGGGTAACAGCAGCCGGCTGTACAGAAACAGTGAGCCTGAGCAGGGTGGGCAGGAGAAATAGGTGGGGCGATTACCATGGGTACGAGCAAAGCGGTGGGTTTTTAGGAGGTCTTTCAGTGTTGCATGCCCCACTCCATTGTATTGTTTTTCTTTGCCAAACAAAGTTTATGATGAGTTATCACATTTTTGTGAAACCTGTAATACCTGTTGCGTAATTGGTGCTCCTGGCAACATAAATTAGCTCTGTGAAATAACTGGTTTGGCTTGTTTTCCCTATTATTCTGTGTGAGGATCTCTTGCCTGTGAGGGATATGTTTTATAAAAATGAATTATAACTATACTTCCATAGCACTGGGTTGGATTCTGGGAGTCCCATAGCTCAGTGGTTAGAGCCCTCGCCTCTTCGAGGGAAAAAAAACAATAATAACATTGGTCACTTCAATCCACGATTGTTTGCGGAACACTTCTGTGAACAATTGGCTGCTGCGTTTCACCCACAAACATATGGTCAATTCACTTTACAGTCTATTCTGTGAAGCGCTTTGAGATGTCTAGAAAACGTGAAAAACCCTATATCAAATGCAAGAATTATTTTTATTCTGCCTGGAACACTTCACTTAAAAATGATGAGGTTATTACCTGCAGAGTCCTGCGGCTAAGTAGTCAGAGCATTCACCTTGAGAGCAAATTTGATTGCCGGTCGGGGTGAAACCTTAGGAAAGTTTCCTTACACCACACGCCTCTGCTTACCTAGCAGCAAATAGGGACCCAGTTGCTATTTGATTGGCGGATCACTTGCCTGGGGGTAGTAATCCCTAAAAAAATTTGGTCATTCAGTGCACAACTGTTTGCGGGATACTGCTGTGCACAATTGGCTGCTGCGTTTCGCCCACCAGACGTACAGTCAATTCACTTTACAGTATACTCTGTGAAGCACTTTGAGACGTCTCAAAGATGCGATGAGGTGCAATATCAAATACAAGGATTATTATATTATATGTTACTTTTAATTGCGGGGCCCCAAGCCTTGGGCTATGATTAACAACCTTTGCCTAATAGTCTCCATGATTGGGCAAGCAGGGTGCGTCCCTCTGGGGAGAGCGAGAAAGAGAGGGGGAGTGAGAATCCGCATTCCATTCCAAATGAAAGAATTTCCATGGGTACGTGGCCGACAAGGAGCACAGTCTGGTTTTGATATTCTTAAGCACAGTAATGGGTTTCAGTGACCTGTTTGACTCCAAAACAAAATGGTGATGTGCTTGTCTCTACTGCAGATCAGATCCAGAGAAAGTTGGTCAGTCACTTTGTGGCTCTGTATTGGACCTGGCTCTGCGTATTTGCAGGCAACCAATTTGTACACATCATCCATTTTCTTTCCCTCTTTCTTTGGTCAGCCAGGCAGGTATCCGACACACAAGGAAACCCATCACCTACACATGGAAATTTCAGAGATAGATTGTTGGATTGGAACACGAATTCGCTCCCTGTTTAACTAATCCCGGAAAGTATTAGGCACAGGTTGGCAAGAGCCAAGGCTATCAAATACAAGGATTGTTATTATTATTATTAATTGAGGTATCTTTTTTAAAATTTGCATAAGATAGACCCCTGTATCCCTGGAGGGAGTAGATTTGTTTCTATATGTGTGTATGTTCTGATTTTCCGGATCTTGGGTGTTTCCAGCTGATCGATGACAAGAAAGGCCTGAGTGAGAAGTGCGAGTCGATGGTGAATGAACTGAAGATTGTGGATCAGAAATACATGGCCAAGATCCAGCAGATTCAGGAACAGCATGGACTGGTGAGAGGGTCAGGCTGTCAGGGGGGGGGATGAGGGAGATATGGAGGGGGGAGATAGTTATGGGGGGAAGGCAACCGGATGTCTGACACATGCGGAAACCCATCACCATGCTTAAGGGTACTCAAACCAAGCTGAGAATTCCACGCGTCCCACCTACACAAGGAAATTCCAGAGATAGATTGGTGGAATGGAATACGCGCTCTCTCCCCAGAAGGACACATCCTGCTCACCTAATTCTGGAAAGTATTGAGTGCAGGTTGGCGAGAGCCAAGGTTTGGGCACCCCAGAATGCGTTGGGGGTAACTACAGGAGTCTAACCAGCTAAAACAGCATAGCTTGGCATTGATATCTCTGTCTGGCAAGCTTTCCCAAAGCTTGGGGGTGGGGAGAGGGGAAGAGAGAGAGTTGGGGGTAGCAGACCATGATACACTACACCTGTATCAAATTAAAGTACTATTATTCTCGTATGTATTGAGTCACTGTTCCAATGATTGAATACTGCAACGCAAAGACTGTTTCTTTACAAGTAAAAATTGATCCCAGAGCAATATACTGCACCTTGCATGAAAGGCTTTCTGTGTGTTGAAGTTTTTTTTTGCTTTTGGTATTTGCATTATGCCTTTTGTTTCAGTTCGTGTCAAAACAATGATGGCTTGTTGATGGAGAAAATGATTGATTGTTTGTGGATTTATTTCTCTCTCTCTTTTAAAACATCACTAGATTAGTGAATCGCTGTTCTTTGCTTCTGTGGCCATTAACTTTTCAACTTTTCTGTTATCTCCTTCGTCTTTTCCTTTCGTGACGAGGTTTGGCACATTCTAACGCCACTCTGTGAGGTAATGCTGTCTCATTATCCTTGTATTCTTAATTTCTCTCAACAACAACAACAAATGACACGTGTATAGCGCCTTTCACGTCGGGAGGACGTCCCAAGGCGCTCAAACTTTTGGCTGGACAGCTGCTCGAGACTGTCTTTATGTACGCTCTCTCTTTTATAAACAAATGTTTTATTTCTTATTCAAGGGTAGATGTGGCGAACAGAAGTCTTGAGTTTCTATTCGCCTTGTGCATGCATGTTGCGTGTGTTTTGCCAGCGGGTCTCCCCTCGTTATTGCTACTAGCCCACACCGCCTACCTGATTTTTTTTCTGTTCACAGGAAATCAAGAAGTTAAAAGAAGTGATGAGCGCCACGGAGAAAGTACGCAGAGAGAAATGGATAGACGAGAAAACAAAGAAAATCAAGGAGATAACTGTGAAAGGTAAAACCGGGGGTCTTAAAAACGGATGTATTGTGTGGCATGTCCGTGCAGGGAGGCGCTGAAACTGCACTCGTCTTTAAATTGGGCAGCTAACGACAACTGGTGGGGTTACACAATCCTCTTTATACTCCTGCGTTTAATGTTAATGGTAATAAACAGTGACTGTTGTGTTTGGGCATTTTGCTGAATCGGATTATTTATTTTAATAGAGTGTAATTGCCCTATAATGAGGATAATATTTGTTCAGGTAGACGTTAATGATCCTACAGGCGATTGGAAAAGAGAAGAGAGTTTCACCCTCCCTGGTGTCCTGGCCAACAATCCTCCAAATAAAATTAGTCACTCAGTTCATGGCTATTCGTGTGGATGTTGCTGTGTGCAGATTGTCTGCCGCATTTTCTAAGAAAATGAAGTCAGTCCACTTCACAGTAAATTCCTGTGAAGCACTTAGCTATCCAAAGCACCATATGAAATGCAAAGATTATGATTACTGATATTATTATTACATGAAGAATGCCATATGTGACATCTCAAAGGCTTTCGGGATTGTACTGTGAAGTGGAGCACGTTCTAAGCAAAAGCGGCATCCAATTTGGCACGTTTAACGTCTCCACCAATAGCCAGGAATGGAACAGAATCAAACGCAGATAAAATGGTCTATTTCCACCCAGGCCTGGAGCCAGAGATCCAGAAGCTGATTGCAAAACAGAAGCAGGAGATCAAGAAGCTGAGAGCGCTGCACGAGGCTGAGCTCCTGCAGTCCGACGAGAGAGCGGCTCAGCGTTACGTGCGACAGACGGAAGAGTTGAGAGAACAGTTGGAGCGAGAGAAGGAGGAACTGTGTCAGAGGGAGCGGGAGTTGGCCAGGCAGAGGTTAGTATAAAAACTGTCGTCGAAGTCGTTGTTTTCGGAGGTTCAGCCGGGTTTCTGACATACGTGGAAACCCATCACCATGCTTAAGAGTATCTGAACCCAACTGAGAATTCCATGCAGCCCACCCACATGTGGAAATTCCAGGGATCGATTGTTGGAATGGAACAGAAATGCAAAGATTATTATAATTATATAATCCTTGGAATTTTGAAGATAAACAAATTTCTGATTTAGTTCAATGCCCAATGCCTGGTTTTGTGGGTTTGAGATGCTGTGAATGCTCTGAAGCCTGGCTCAATATGTAGCATTCTCATTGCCTCAGAGCCAGGCGTAGGCGGGTTGGGCTCAAGCCAGACTCGACTGCAGGACGACGTCTTCTACATATTTGTTCATGGTTTTATGGTTGAGAAAATGGTCTTCAAACACCCGAGGTGATTGCAGATGCTCTTACAAAGTTAGGGAGCGGTGCGTATTAAGCAATATTAAGTGGTCGTTTCAACGGTGGGTGGAACGGAGAGAAGGAATGGGAGGGGGCGGCTCAGTTACTCACCCGGTTGCTGTCCACTCGCCACAGGTACGAGAAGCAGCTGGAACAGGAGGAGCATTCGCTGCAGAAGCAGCGGAGGAGGCTGTATGCTGAGGTGGCGGAAGAGAAGGAACGTCTCAATCAGAACGCAGTTCGGTGAGACCAATATCACAGCCTGCAATTACCTAACGTCCAACAAGTGTGGCATCTCCTCTAAGTAGCCTTTTTGCGCTCAGCAATGACCCAAAATACTACAACAATAATAATAATCCTTGTATTCGTATAGCGCCTTATCATGTTGGAAGACTTCTCAAAGCGCTTTATAGGACTTACTGTTAGATGGAGTGACTGTGTATTTTGTGGGCAAAACGCAGCAGCACAATTGCGTACAGCAGTGTCCCAAAAACAGTCGTGGAGTGAGTAACCAATTTTTGAGGGATTTTTTTTTGGTGGGGGTAATCCCCCCCAGAAAGTGTTCCGCCAGTCGACTAACACCTGGGTTTCTACTTACTGCTGGAGTGTGGAGAGGCATGTGGAATAAAGAAACTTGCCTCAGGTTTCGCCCGATACCGGGTCCCCTCGCTGGTGAGGTGAGCGCGCTAACCACTACGCTAGTTTTAAAGCCGATTTATTTTCTGTATCGAAGCCAAAGGGCAGAACTGGAGGAACTTCGACGGCAGCTGGAGAGTAACTGCTCACTGGCAACCAAAGCCCTGAGAGAGGAGTTTGACAAGACTAAAGAAGAGCAAGAGAGAAGGCATCAGGTAAGATCATTTCCACCCCCACCACCTCCCCATTGTTGGGTCATTATACTTGATCTAAAATGAGCCTTGAATTCAATCCATGCTTAGTAGTGTCGAAGTTCTTTACTAAAAATGTACTGTCAAGTGTAGTGTCTATTTTGTCACACACACACACGCACAGACCCATCCCCAGAGATGTCTTCATCGTGTTGGGTGCTCATTTATACAGGTGGAAAGCCGATCCCTGAAGGAGCGGCTTGACATTGAGAAGCAAGCCTGGGAGGAGAATTTCATGAAGAAACAGGTAATTATTATTGTAGTGCCGCAGAGGGGAACCTGTGGTTTTGTGTGGTTAGCCAAGTTTCGGAGGCTGTAGTTATTAGTTTAAAAAGGAACTGTGCTGGAGAGATGGGAACCCATGTTCGTGACCGCTCATTGCTTGATTTACTCGGTTCAATTGCCTCGTCCAGCTTTTTGTAATCAGGAAGCACTTTTTCACACAATGTGGGTGGAATCCGGAACTCTCTCTCTGCATCGCCCAAAAGGCTATGGATGCTGGATCCATTGAATTTTTCAAGATTGAGGTGAATGGATTTTTTTTGTATCAAGGGATGTGGAGCAAAGGCGGATTATATGGGGTTGAGGTGCAGATCAGCCATGATCGAATAGAATGGCGGAATGGAGACCGAGGGGTTTGCATAATTTTGCCCAATCTTATAACTGAGCCGGGCAGTGGGTGGGGGGGATGGTGGGGAGGCACCTCTCAGCACCACTGCTGACACCTCTTGTCATTTGTTCCCGTTTTCCAGGAGGCTTGGCTGCTCACTCGGGAACGGGAATTAAAAGAGGAGCTTCGCAGGGGTCGGGACAGAGAGATCGAGCTGGTCATCCAGCGGCTGGAGGAAGAGACCAGCACCTCCAAGGATGAATGTGAGAGGGTCGCGGAGAACAGGTGAGAGAGAGCAACGGGGCTTTGTTCAGTTGTTTGATGATTTTCCTTTTTTTTTGTTGGAAGAATTAATCTCTCAAGAAGCACCCACAACATTAGAAAAATCCTCCCACTCCCCCCAAACCCCATTCGCAATTGGGATTCTCTTCAGTGATTCAAGGTAATGTGTCACTGTGATGGGAAATCCCGTTAATAGCCATCTTAAAACCCAGACCATTCCCACACGCACATGTGCACTAAGCCCTGACTGTTTTGCCTGGAGGATTAAACGGGTCCGTGAGAAGTACGAATCGGAATTCCGGGATCTGGAACGCTCGGAGCGGGCCCTGCAGGAACGCTACAACGAGCTCCGGGCACGGCTGATGGAGAGCGAGGGGGAGAACGCGCGCTTCCAGGGATTGTTCCGACAGAAGGAGCAGGAGGTGGAAGATATCAGAAAGGTAACGGTGTGGATGCTGTTGTTTGTCGTCACAACGTCAAACGCTCCGAGATATTGCCCCGGGGTGAAGGGCGCTATATAAATGCAGGTGGTCGTCGTCACCGGGAACGGATTCGGGAAACTGTTTACTTTTTTTTAAGAGGGAAAGAACAACAACCACCACAACAACAACTTGCATTTGTAAAGCACCCCTCACGCAGGGCAGTGTCCCAGAACAGAACAATAAAAAGATTCTTAAATTTGAGAATGAATTTTACGAGCGATCTTAAATTTTAAAGAAGGGCAAAAAAACATGGTCTTGCAGCCTGGAGAGGAATTCCAGGGAGCGGGGAAAAATATTGAAATATTTAGAAATCAACCAAATGAAGATCTGTCTTTGAACTGGATGGTGGGGGGGGTGGGTGGGGGGTGGCAGGCGCAAAGTGGTGGGGGTGGGGGGGGGTTGGAACTAAAGGAAGTGTTACAATTAAGGTTTTTTTTTTGGGGTGGCGGGGGGTAAATGCAGATCAAAGACCGTCTGACGGAAGAGAGGAACAGTCTAGCCGAGGTGATTCGTCAGGAGTTTGCCGACCGGTTGGTGATGACCGAAGAAGAGAACAAGCGGCTGAAGACGGAGATGTCTGAGGGGAGGGCGCGGCATCGACTGGAGGTGGAACGTGTCACGAGAGAGAAGGAAGAGGAGCTGGAGGAGGTCCACAAGAGGTGAGGTGAAGAACCTATTATAAAAACAACAATAATAACAACAAAATGACATTTGTGTGGCGCCTTTCACGTTGGGAGGACGTCCCAAGGCGCTGGACAATCAGTGTTTCGGACTCAAGTTGGGAGACGGGATCAGGGAGGGTGGACGGCAGGGGGTGAAGGAGGGTGATCGAAAGCACGGTCGAAGAGGAGGGCCTTAAGATGGGTCTTGGGAGGGGGCAAGGTAGAGGGACTGTGGGGTGGATTTCCAGAGGGTGGGGGCAGAATTGTTAACATTCTCGAGTCCTGTAGCTCAGTGGTTAGTGCTCTCGCCTCGCAAGCGAGAGAACCTGGGTTTGATTCCCAGCAGGACGAAATATTGGGCACGTTTCCGAACTCCACATACCTCTGTTCACCTAGCAGTCGGTAGAAACCTGGTTGTTAGTCGACTGGCGAATCACTTTTCTGGGAATAATAATTCCTTCAATATAAAGGAGATAAGGAGCAAAGGTGGGTAAATGGAGTGGAGGTTCAGATCAGCCATGAACTAATGGAATGGCAGGACAATCTCGAGGGGCTGAATGAGCTCCTCCTGTCCCTCTGTGCTCTTTGCTCCCACGTGCGTGCATGCTTGTAACTTCTTCTGATTTTAATGCAGGGTCAAAGCTGCTATTGTAAAGAAGGAGGAAGCTGTGAGCAACCTTCGCAAACAACACGAAGTGAGTCTTTGTTAAAAACAGTCTTGTTAATATAAACGAAACCCTCTCGCCGTGGTTTCCAGAGAAAATTATTCCTCAGGAAACCAGAAGCGACATCCTGGTTTCCTACGTTCTTGAGCCAGATTCTCTGTCTGTCACCAAAGAGAGGGAGCTAGAGAGTACGCATTCCATTCCAGCAAGTTATCTCTGGAATTTCCACGCATAAGTCAGATGCATGGAATTCTCAGCTTGGTTTGGATACTCTTAAGCAATGGCGATGGGTTTCCGCAAGTGTCGGGCGTCCGGCTGACCAAAAAANGTCACCAAGGGATGGGAGCTACTAGCATCAACATAAACACCATGGGGATTAGAGGAAAGAGCTCCAATGAAGGAACAGGCATAACGGAGGAAGAATTGGGATAGCGAGCTCCAGTGGGAGCACAGACTCACACACGCATGCACATTCACACACAGACACGCACAATCTTCTTGCATTGCATTGTCCTTCGGCCCCGCCAGTTACTTTGTGGAGTCCGATAGCACAGGGGTTAGCATGCTCGCCTCATGGGCAACAGGATCTGGGTTCCACACCCGGGCAGGGTGAAACCTTAGGCACATTTCCTTATTCCATGCGTGTGTTTTTTATTATTAACATCATTGTTTTGGGGATTTAAGGGGGTTGTGCGTGTGTGTGGGTCTGCATCTCCTTTCATCTTCTGTGTTTCAGGCAGCGCTGAAAAGAGCAGACCACCTTGAAGCACTGCTTGAACAACAGAGGGAACAAATTCTGGGCAAGTGAGAGCAACCATGGCCCAGGTGCTGTGCCGGACAAGTTGCTACTTGCAGTGTTCACGGACGTGATTCCATTCGGCATGTGTATGAACACTAATAGAATAACATTAAATTAATGTTTCATTCTGCTCTGTAACTCACTATGGTTCGACCTGTTCAAATCCAATACTGTATGTTTGTTTACCTACCGAGCAAACTTAAATAATGCTTTTATTTTTCTACATTTAAGTGCTGTAATTTTCCTCAACTTGTGTTTTTTTTGTATCTTATGTTTTTTTTGTAATGTTGTAGTGTGATGGAATTTGTAAAAGACTTTCAACTGGTTTCAGTATTGCACGGTGTTCGTCTCTATTAAATAACTCGGAGATTCTGCGTTGCCCGATTGTCGTGGGCATGCAGACCTCTGAACTTCCCGACGCCTGACAAAGTTTGTTCATTCTAGGTACAGTGTGTCAGGCTGACTCACCTTTGAATCGGAAAGTTGTGAGCTCAAGCCTTACACTCACATAAGACAACACTACAATGCAGGCTGGGGGTGTGTTGCATTGTCGGTCATGCCATCCTTTGGATGAGACGTTAAACTGAGGTCCTGTCTGCCTGTTCAGGTGAACGTTCAAGATCCCATTGTACAATTCGAAAAGAAAAGGGAGTTTCTCTTGGTGTACCCCAGATAAAATTGGTCACTTGTTTCATGGCTGTTTGTCATTGTTGTGCGCAAACTGGCTGCCGCATTCGCCTACAAATACAGTTACTCTGTTTCACAGTTGATCCTGTGAAGTGCTATGGAATGTCCTCCTGATGTGAAAGAAGCTGTATTAATTGCAAGGATTATTGTTATAATTCCAGTATAAATTATTAACTAGTGTTCCAGATAGTGTAGCTTTTGTATTATTATTATTATAGCTTCACAGTGCGGGCTGGAAGGTGGGGGGTGTTCTGTATTTCCCCCTTCCCACTGTGGCGGAGGTCACATCATGACCAGGGAATCTGCAAACTCAATTGAATACTCATTTGAATGGAGACTGACATTAGTTCGAATATTGCCTTTGTTGTTTGCATGGTAGTGTTTAGGTCATTTACATCCCATAGGTAGCAGAAACTGTTAGAGGATGATGTAGTCTGATTGGGGCCTGATTTACATGAAAACTTAGTGTCTGTATGAATGTAAATTGTGTGATAGTCCACTCACAAGGGGATAAAACACTAGGTGTGTGAGCATGCAGCAGAGTTGCATCTTGTAATAAACAAGTGCGTCAGCTTGCTCTGCTCAAACCATAAGTGTCAGCATTTTATGTACTATGACCCTAAAGCCTTAAATTAAGTCGGGAGTCGTAATACATAAAATGTTGGTACTTATGGTTTGCCAGGGGAACAAGTGACAGTAGGGTAATAATCCCTCCATAAAAATAATAATAATGTGGTCATTCAATCCACAACTTTTGAGGGGACACTGCTGTGCGCAATTGGCTGTCGTGTTTTGCCCACAAAGTACAGTCAATTCACTACATTAGATTCTGAAGCGCTTTGAGAAATCTCAACGACATGATTATTATATTACGGTTATGAACTAATTAGGCCAATAACCCCGATAATAGGGTTAGACAAGAGATAATATCTATTTAGTATTGCATAATAAGGGTGTGTCTAATAGTAGGAATTCATACTAAGGAAAATGTAAATGGGTTGCTCTGGCTTACCTGAAGCTTCATATTGTCACAGTGGTTCACAAATGTCTAAGAGATTAGTGCATGGTCTGGGACGCCAATAAATGGGCAAAGCTCCAACAGGGAACTTTTCTGTAGCCCTCCTCACACGCCTCACTGTTCATATGATTTTATAAATTACTTTAAGAAGAAATTGATAACCCTTTAATGCTGCCGACGCAATCGTTGTCGGTGCAGGTGATTTAACATTGACGTAAGCCCCTTTCGGGGAAAGTGGGAACCAGCCAATTAATCAGGTGAGCTGAGAAGCTGTGATGGGAATTTAATGATGGTCGCACAAGGTAATGCACATTGGAACAAGAGAGGGCAGAGGTCCTCAGTAGCTGAGGCGAGGTATGCATTTGGGGCAGATTTGTATTCACTAAAATTATTCCCAAACCACCATGAGGAAAGCGATTCAAAGCCAGACAGAGGTTGCCCCTTGACTATAAAGTGTTGGAAGTTACTCTTGCCTGGCGTGAACAGCTGCCGAAAGCACAATTGGAATATTACGTGCAGTTCAGAACTCTCTGCCTTCCCTGGTCTGCTCCATAACCCCTGCCCTGTCCACCCCCCACCACCTGCTATTCCTCCTCTCCATACCACTATCATTGGTTTCTCCCAACATCTCTGACAATCTCGTGTTTTCCTTCATCACTGCACTGGAGTCCCTGCCTTAAGCTTTCTGGGACACTAGCTGAGCCTACTGGCAAGCTCTCTGGGACGCTACCCCCTGCGTGAGGGGCACTATATAAATGCAAGTTGTTCTTGCATGTGTATACGGGACTGTGCCTTTAAATAGGTTGATCAGTTACTTCCACAGAAATGTTTTGTGAAACATACAATAATGAACAATCTTTTAAGCTATCGTGGGTGTGTCTGACTGCAGCAAGTTTCAACTGCTGTGAAACTGATTTTAGTAGACGTACATGATTTAGTTTGCATATCTCTATGCTTTGCTGACCCACTATCTCCCCAAAAGAGAAGTGGATATGGGTAGAGAAAATGGGACGAAAAAAACAAGCACTCAGTCTTGTGTCTGTGTGAGAGGGGGAGGGTGTGGAAGGAAGTTGAATCAGTTGTTAATCTTGTTTCCTCTGGTCAGTATAGAGTTGTGATCCCTGAGTGAGTGACTCAGTTTCTTTGCTGACTCTGTGTGTAATCACCGACTCACACACACAGGGCAGTTTCAGTTTTCTTTCAAAAGGGAGAATCGGAAAGTTTGTAGTTCCAGCCAGGCAAAAAAAAAGTTAGTTGAAGTTTCCGTTTGCTCAAATTCTTGCTTTGTTCATTCTAATCTGCCTGGCAGCCTGGCCCAGCCTCTCGTTTGATCGCTGAAATGCTGCACTGGCGAGCAGTTTAACACAAATAATAGTGGACAGCCATATTGTGCTATGAGTATGCTTCATGCAGTGTCTTTAACGCTTTCAAAATTTCCCTTTAACTCGCTGTAATCTGACACAGGAAGTTTTAAGAGTTCAGTTGTCAGCGTAGGAGAGCAAATGCACAGACCAGAAGGAAATATCTTCTCAGTGATAGCAGTCCAAATTAACTGCAGGACAGATCGCTTAACATGAGAATTTCGAAAAGAAGGACCTTGCTCAAATACTCTGGGTAAGTTTCTAAAATAACATATTGGTAAAACTGGTTCCGCTAGGCTGCGCTGTGTTTGCGGTGCCTCTCCTTACAATACAACCCTTGGCTCAACCTTATCGATGGGCTGTATACTGTGTTGTCATCAGCAGTGCCCTTATGTACTGCGGTCTTGCCCGCCTCAGGAACTGGACTAGCGAGATCGGCAGAAAAGGATGGTGACATTCCATGCGGAGGCAGTCCAGTTCCAAAGAAATGCTGCTTACCTCTAACCCCTCCTCCCCCGGAGAATATTCACAGGGAATTGACGTTAAGTGCACCGCTTGTGTATTTGTGGGCACTTCAGATCATGAGAAATCATACTCATTAGTAATGCTTAAGGCCGGATTGCCCTGTGTGGTGGGTTGACCAAGTATAACATGACTTTCTTAATCTTAAGCATGTTGACTTTAGCAAACAATTGCCACAACAATGTTTGGATGGATGCCAAATGCCCTTTACCCATCCGCACATTCGTATGTGGATTTATTTTCTCTCTTTTCCACGGTTGTTTCTTTCTGTGACGTCCATAGCTGGAGTGGGTGGAGACCCAACCCCAGAGTGAAGGATGCTATTTGTTGTTGAGAGGCTGGGAGACCAGCCTGAACATTGCTCAGCTTCCCCACCCAAAACGTTTGTACAGGGGAGAGGACAGGTATTTGTTCGGGTGTCTGACATGCTTGGTTGGAGACTTGTACTCCAGGATTTTGCAGAAGACGACTTGAGGGGAGAGGTAGTGGCGGAGGCAGGCAATGTTGAGGAGGTGGGGGAAGGCGGAACTGGTCATGACACAGATATGTGGTTTAAAGGGCAGTTGAAGGTTGAACAAGACACCAAGATTCTGTGCTGGCTTGTTGAGGTGGAATTTGCATCCATCGATAGTGATGCTGTCAGCGCCTGCGGTGTTACGGAGGTGCTGACGGGAGCCAAACAGGAGGACCTCCGTCTTGTCAACGGTCAACTGGAGTGTCTTCCACATACATGTGGAAGTTAGCCCCCTATCTGTGGGTGATGGTGGTGCGTGGGCTGGAGGAGAAGTCATTAGTGGATATAAAGTGTTGAAGGTGGGAAAAGTAAGAGCGCAACCAGGCAAAGGACAGAACCCACTACGGTGGAGCTGAGAGGAGAGATGGTGGAGAAGAATAGTGCAGTGTTGAAGACGGGGTGGGGGAGAGATCGAGAAGGATGAGGAGACGGAGAGAGAGAAATGGAGGTGTAGAAAACAATTATGAGATGTGGGAGGGAATCTTTGATCTGGTGAACACCTGGGTGCCTTTCTTAGTTTCCCAGCAAAGATCAGCAGTGCGGAGGACAGTTCAGACCATTGTTTACAGTGACCCTTTCTTTTCCAATCATTGGAAAAAGTTGACCTTTTTGGTGGAGGGGTTGGGGGGAATTTCAAGCAAGGTGTCAATTATGCTTGCTTTCCCCTATTGTTTTTCTCTCTCTCTCTCTCTCTCTCTCTCTCTCTAACTGCTAAAATTGTAATCATTATGCTTACTTCCGCACTGGAGTGTCAGAGACAGAATAACAAGAGTTTAAGAGGCGGAGAGATAGAGAGAGAGAGGGAAGTGAGTTAGTCAGTTAGTTATTCATGAGGCTATGTGTCAGTCGTTCTTGTGTGTAACCTGACATTTAGTCCACTGCTGCATTCTCTCTGAAATGCAATAACCCGATTAATATTAGAACCCCCAAAGGCTATTTTGTGGACATTTGTGGAGTGGGGAGGAAAGCAAATGGAAGGAGAGCTTTGAAAACCGACAGGACACCAGAGAGAAAGTGCATGATTATTATTTTATCAAATAAATCTTTAGGGGGTGAAAAGAAAAGTTTTCCCCTTTTGTTTTGTTCTCGAAGGTTCGGATCGGTTCGGATCGATAAGGGTCGTTAAGGATTGATCGTTTGGAAAATGGTGAAGTTGGTAGGGATTCGGAAGCTGGGCATCACTCTGCTCATTCTGGCTTTCCTCACTCTCCTGATCCTGAAATTGAACCTCAGTTTCCTGAGCGGGTTGTCTATCTCCTCTCTGCCCATCCACAGGTAATTTACTGCTTATTATTGTCTTCCTGAACTCGCTGGTAAAGATGGGAGTCGAGCCCGAGGCTCTTTTACTGACTCTACTGTAATGTACTGTGCACCTCACACTCACTCTAGTATGTGTTACGTTCTTATATTAACCAAATTGTTTCCTTTTCTCTTCCCTTCTCCCCGCCATCTAGCCTTCTCTCTCTTTCTCTCCTTTTCTCTATTATTTTGTTCACTCACTCAATTGTTTGGCCGCAAAATATACAGTCACTCCACTTTTACAGTATATCCTGTGAAGCGCTTCGAGATGTCTCAACGACGTGATAAGGCATTTTATCAAATGCAAGGATTATTATTGTTAGTCCTTTCTTTCCTCCTTCCCCTCAATTTCAATTAACTCCTGTGCTTGTGCTCCACCAATTCCAACCAATTTAGTCCCTTTGACACTCTCATTCCTTTCTCAAGATTCATTCTCCCACTTTGTTCACTTTAGCAGTGAACTTAAAATTTATTTGTTTTCGCCAAGGGTGTATCTCCTCTTGACATTTTGGGTGGGCCACTTCAATGTCAGCCTCTTTCAATATTTTCCCCAATTGTACAACACTCTTTGTTTCTCCCACAAAATGCACAGTATGTTGTATGAAGCTCCTTGAGGAGTTTCAATGATGTGATAAGGCGCTATATCAAATGCAAGGATTGTTATTATTAACAAATGCAGTATTCAAATGTGAAAGGTTATTTATGGAAATGGGAAAAAAGATTATGCCAGCTGTACCTCAAAACTCAAAATCTGTGTAATCTGTGTAGTATCGGTTGTTTTTATTACCCCTTTGTTTTATTGGTGGAAATGGGTGTTTTTGCACTTTGCAACACTCAGTGAGAAACTTTATTGAGGGTGAATTGATCAAGAGAGAATACGTCACTGCAATAATGTGTTGGTGCAACCCTCAGAGGGCTCTAAAGGTGATTTCTGAATTCCTTAAATAGATTCTCTCTCATCCCTGACACATGCCATGTATAAACCAACTGGTTTTAAAAACTGAAACTGGTGCAAATTATGTATGAACATCCATCTTGTAGGGGCTGGTCTCTTAATCTGAATATTACAAAATAACAACTTCAAACTTAGTCAGTTAATTGAACAGACTCATATTTGGCTGTTGTCTATTCTTTTACCAGGCTTTTTGTCAACGGTAGATTCTACGTGATGGAAAGCAATTTGATCGACTCGCCAACCCGGAAGGTTGAGGAGAGAATGGAAATTAATATTTTGTCTGATTCAGCGCGCAATGTGTCGGTCTTGGTGAAGGCGAGGATTGTCACTCCAAGTATAAAGAGCAAGGCATTCACCTTAAGGAAGACGACAGCCAAACCCAAAATAGAAGAGAGGATTGTGATCTCACCTGAAGCCTCATTCAAGGGAGACCTTTATGCTACAGATGAAACCTACCTTCATTCAGTGAGTTATTTATCTACAAGTGTGGTAGGATGCCTGGAATTCTCAGCTTGGTTTGGATACTGTTAAACATGGTGATGGATTGCTTGAAAGTGATCCGCCAATCGACTAACAACCTGGTTCCTTACTGTTAGGTAAACAGAGGCGTGCGGAGTAAATAAGCTTGTCTAACATTTTTTGTCCTTGCCTGGGAGGTGAGCTCACTGGCCACTATGCTACAAGTAGCGTATCCTGTAAAGAAATCGGAGTCATTGAATGTCTTGTCACCTGAAGCTGGTCCTGTCTCCTGCAAACGAAAGGAATTAAATTTCTTTACAATATTGATGTAGACGTTACCAATTTCCCACTGAATAGTTTACCTTTGTCGAGCTTCAAATCAATACCAACACTTGGAGTCATACAGTGCCCTTCCCTTAGCATAACAGCTCAGAGAACTTAACAAGTTTGGGCACTGAGTAAGGGAGGGGGAGGAATGGAGCAGTGGGGTTGGGGGTGGGGGGGAGAGAGGGAGGTGACCATAGGCACTGTCACAGAGGTAGGTTTTAAAGAACAGTCTTTCCAGCGTCATAACCACTGGGTTGGTCAAAAAGAAATGACAGAGCAAATCCCTCCCAATGCTAGACTGGGGGTGACTATTTGTGAAAGGTGAGCTTTCTTGAGATCTTAAGATTATTTGGCGAATGAATTTGTTGACACATGGTTGAAAGGAGGTGCGTTATTGTCCTTCATGAGGAGTGGTTGAAAGCAAACAAAAAGTGTTTCCCAAGCACTAAACCTCACTGCCTTGGCTTGACTTGAATGTGAATTTCACAAGATTTGTCAGTCCTGCTCAGCCCACGTCAATATAGCATTACATCACTTTGAAGGGTAATTTTAAGAAGCTTTTTGTTGACCTATGGATTTATTTTTAGTAATAATAATAATAATAATAATAATCCTTGCATTTGATATAGCGCTTTTCACGTCAGGAGGACGTCCCAAAGCGCTTCACAGAACACACTGTAAAGTGAATTGACTGTATATTTGTGGGCGAACGCGGCAGCCAATTGCGCACAGTAATGTCCCACAAACAGTCGTAGATTGAAAATGACCAATTTAATTATTGTTTTTGGTTTTTTGGAGGGATTATTATTAGGCGTGTGGAGTAAGGAAACTTGCCCAAGGTTTCGCCCTGCCTGGTAGCGCAATATTTAATGATAGTAATGCTTGCATTTGATACAGTACCTTATCAAGTCTTCGACAAGTGTCCCACAAACAGTCATGGATTGAAGTGACCAATTTATTATTATTATGTTTTTTTAAGGGATCATTACTCCCGGAAAAGCGATCTGCCAGTCGACTAACAACCGGGTTTCTACTTACTGCCAGAAGAGTGCGGAGTAAGGAAACTCGCCCAACATTTCACCTTGCATTTGTTAATGTAATTAACAATGAAAGATTTAAATCGCTCTCTATTTCAGCATTGTATTAAGTGACACCAAATAATTGGTTCTGTATTTTAACATGAAGCTTTCTAGGTGATTTTGAATCCCAGGTTAAGGAAGGGAGAGCTCATTGTGAAATTATTCAAATGAAATAGGTACTTTTTCTCATGTTGAAATGTTCCTACAATGCGGTGACTGTAGTAGGACTGAAGTATTTGGATGTTGGTCTGGCTCTGTGGTTAGAAGTTTGTGGGTTCAAGATAAACTTGCATAATCTTGTCTGATATTCCAGTGTAGTGCCAGATATGTGCCCTGCATTGTTGGACGTGCTGTCCTGCAGATAAACCGATAAACCGAGTTGCTAATCTGCCTGTTCACACGGATGTTTAAGAGCCCATCTCGCTATTTCCTCTGTCCTGGCCAACAGCCTCCCCTCCACAATTGGCAGCCAATTGCGCGCAGCAGTGTCCCACAAACAGCCATGGAGTGAGTCACTGATTTGATGTGGCGGTTTGTTGGTGGCCAGGATACCAACTGGGAGAGAAAAAACTCCCTTCTCTTTTCAAATAGCACCTTGGGATCTTTAACCTGAACAGGCAGACGGGAGCTTGGTTTAGCGTCTCATCCGAAGGAAGACTATTGCTACCCTACAGAGGATAGAACAGGAGGCAGTGTTCCGCATTAAGCAGCAGAACGTTCTGTGCAATACGCCAATAATACTTGAAATGTCTACCGTTCTGTCTCAATTCCCATCATCACCGTTTCTCCCAGAAGCTGCCGACTGACACATGGCAGGCAACCTCTCCTCATCGTTCTTCTCCCTTACCGTAGGAATGTCCCAACAACATCAGGAAGCGAGTGGCAAACATATCCGAGTATAAAAAGATCTTCTTGGAGACTATCCCCGTTCTCCAGTGGAGCAAACATGCTACGGAGACCGAGTACAAGAGGCTGAGGAAATATAACGGCGTTCACGGCTGGAATGTGATCCAATATGACGGTGAGTCTCTATACCCTATTCGTCGCATTCGACTGTTGCGATAAATACAAATGAAACAACAAATAGATTGCATTGATATAACGTTCCATGGCTGTTTGTGGAGACACTGCTGTCCACAATTTGCTGCCATGTTTCGCCCACAAATTACGCAGTCAATCCACTTTACGGTGTATCCTGTGGAGCACTTTGAGACGTCTCGATGATGTGATAAGGCGCTTTATCAAATGCAAGGATTATTATTATTTATTATTATGGGAAGCGAATCAACTGGCAGTCAACTTGCACACAGCAATGTCCCCACAAACGGCCAAGGAGTGAATATAAATGTGTATAATGTGTTGCATTGACTCAGCGCCATGTTCACATTCTCCTCTCCCAGATCTGAAGGATGCTCTGAGTTACCTGAACACCTCCGCAAACACGGTCATGTTCGACGACTGGGAGATGAGGCCAAACAAAAGCTCCAACTGCATCCGCTGTGCTGTGATCGGGAACGGAGGAATCCTGAACAATTCTAACATGGGGGAAGAGATCGATAAACATGACTATGTGTTTCGGTAAGTTTCCTGCTCGCCCAGGCACCGAGCCTCTGGTCACTTGGGAGGTGAATGGGACCTGTGCTCCATTCATGATAAAAGTGCTGTACTGTATACAATCAATATCAATAATAATTACATGTCACCTTATCACATAGTAGAGTGGACATTCATAGTGTTTCAAAGGATTTACTGTAAAGTGTAGTACTGTGTATTTTTGTAGGTGAATGCAGCAGCTAATTTGCAGATTGCAATTCATTGCCACTGAACTGCTGTGTCCCACAAACAGCCGTGAAGTGAATTGCCAATTCTATCTTTAAGGTCGTTAATTCGAAAAGAGAAGGGAGTTTCTCAGTCTCTCCCTGTGCCCTGGCCAACAATCCTCCGAATAAAGTTGGTCGCTCACTCCATGGTTGTTTGTGAGACATTGCTGTGTGCAATCATGTTGCCGCGTTTGCCTACAAAACACTCAGGCACTCCCATTTCACAGTAAATCCTGTGAAGCGCTTTGAGACGTGGGGTTCCGATGCGATAAGGCGATATAACAAATCACTAACAATAATCTCATTACCACTTGCCTCTCTTAGAGTGAACGGAGCCATCGTTAAAGGGTTTGAGAAGGATGTGGGTCGGAGGACCTCCTTTTACACTTTCTCTACGAATACACTGATGAACTCCCTCAGTGCCTATGGTGGTTTGGGGTATACCAGCCTGCCAAAGTCTGAGGTAAGGCAAAGTGCTCATGATAGTACAGAAAAACTCACATAATTCAGATCAATCGTATGCGGGACTTGAACCCACAATTCTCTTAGAAGATGGCTGATCTCTACCTCAACTCCAAATACTTGCCTTTGCCCCATATCCCTTGATACCCTTACTTAAAAATCTATCCACCTCAGTTTGGAAAATGTGAATGGATCCAGCATCCGCAGCCTTTTGAGGGAGGGAGTTCCAGATTAACATTTCATTTCTCTCTCTCTCTCTCTCTCTTTCAAGGAGACCAGATATCTTTTTCTACCGGACCATGACCGGGATTATTACCTGGTGAAAGCTGCCATAACTCACTCGCTGATAACCAAGGGTCGCGACGCATCCAAAAAGTGAGTTTCTTTTCATCAGCTGTTTCTGGCGAGAGACGGAATTCGCTGTGCTGACCTTTCCCTCTCTCTTCACATCGTGACTGTTTGCAGGGATATCACTGCACGCCATGTTTACCTACAAAAATTCGCGACACTTCACGGTTAAAAAAAAACCTACAAGTTTGCTGTCGTGCTTTGAGACGTTTTGTCGACATAAGGCACTGTGGATAATAATATTAATCCTTGCATCTGATCCAGCGGCTTTCACGTTGGGGGCGTCTCGCAGCTCTTCACAGGATTTTCTGTAAAGTGTAGTGACTGTGTATCTTGTAGGCCAATGCAGCAGCCATCTTACACATAGCTGCGTCCCACGAACAGCTGTGAAATGAGTGACCGGTTTTACCTGCGAGGATAATTTGGGCAAAACAAGGTCCGGATATCAAATGCGAGGATTATTATCTTAACAGACTTGCCCAGTAGACTGCAGATGCTCGGGAAGTAAGGGGACTTGAAGGGGCTTGGAGATTAGATGGGGAAATGCAATTTTAAAAACATCTACCTGGATTAGCTCAATGACCTTCCATTCCTATAATAACAAGACTTTTTCTCTCTTTTAAGGCCAGTGAAGTATTTTGGAATTAACGCTAGAGCTGAAAAGTTCAAGATTTACCATCCGGACTTCCTGCGATACATTCGAAACCGGTAAAAGATCTTTTTTTGTCTATTAAAAAGGCATCTCTAATATTGGTCACAAGCTGCAGTGTTGGATGAAGAGATAGTTCCATTTCGGGACTGTTATCATAATGCTAATCCTTCCATTTGAGGTAGTGCCTGATCACGTCGTCGAGATATCTCAAAGGGCTTCACACACTATGCTGTAAAGTGAGATTGATTGTGTATTTTGTGGGTGAGACGTGTCAGGCAGTTTGCGCACAGCAGTGTCCCACAAACAGCTGTGGAGTGAACGACCAATATATTTTTTTATTTGAGGGATTGTTGGCCAGGACAGACGGATATGGTATAATCTTTGAATACGAGCAAAAATTAATCGTTGTTTGGAATCCGCTGATAATGTTTGGAACAAAAAGAACTATCCTTTGAACCAATGTTTAATCTGCTTTATCCCAGTTTTAATACTGACAGATGTAATAGCTAAAAGTTGAAAAAATCTTTGCACTCTAGAGACTGATAACACCGTCTTAATAATAGATTCCAATCGACTGACATCCATGTTCCTACTTTGTGCCAGATAAACTGAGCCGTATGTTTGGAGGAAGGAAACTTGCCTAAGGTTTCACCCTTTCCCGACTGGGAATCAAGCCCAGGTGCTCTCGCTTGTGAGGCGAGTGCTCTAACTAATACACTAGAGATCTTGTTGTGAGGGTTAGAGTTAGGCTGACAACATTTCCTAACTGCGCTGCACCTATTTGGCTATTTGCCTACAAAATACTGTCCTTTGGGACGTCATAGCCGCTTTAACAAAGGCGAGGATTGAGTATATTTTCATAAAGTGTTAATTTCAGTCATTGGTTGTTAGTAAGTTCAACTGAGGATTGACTTTCTTTCTGTAGGTTTCTTTGGTCGGGTCACTTGAAGCCAACAAATTGGAATATCTATCGCTCATCGACTGGCGCAGCTATGCTCTTAGCCGCTATGCACACCTGTGACCAGGTGAGACACATGCTCATACGCTTGCCTGGCCTTACCTGCCCTTTGGTCTACCTCTCCCAGTTGTAGTGGTTGTTTTGGGGGTTGGGTGCTATCAGCAGTGGCAAACTTGGCAGCCAAATTGTGCACATTGGCAGCATCGTGCAAGCAGCCAGATAGTGAGTCACCAATTTTACCTACAACAACTTGCAACAATGATCCCCTCCTTAGCTAAGCCCTCTGGGACGCCGCCCCACGTGATGGCCGAGATAAGTGCAAGTTGTTGTTGTTGTTCGTACGCAAATGGCAAATACAAATTACACAAGTCACCACGTTTCGTCGTGCTTGGAACGAGGTGATGAGGCGCTGTAGGAATCACAAGGATGGCACAGTACTCGGTGTGGTGTTTAATCCATTCCCCTCTCCGCAGGTTAGTGCGTACGGTTTCATGACTCCGGACTATGACAAGTACTCGGATCACTATTATGATCGGACATACCACAAGGTGCATTTCTTCGCGAATCACAACATGAAGTTGGAAATGAAACTGTGGAAAAAGCTTCACGAATGCGGGCTGATCAAGCTCTACACTAGGCCCTGAAGAAGTGGAGTGGGGGTGGGTGCAGAGAGGAGCCATGAGTGGGGTCCCGTCTCATCCCGTTGCGTCCCGCTCGTCATCTTGCACTTTGGTAACGTCAGACAACAGACTGCGTTGGAGGGCGGCTGGGTGTACGGTGTCGAGGCAACCGCTCAGATGTAATCTCCTGCACCTTCACTCGCTCACCCATCAACGAACCACTTCTCAAGGATGTGCCTTATCCCTGTGTTTAATGCAGCCTCGCTGCTGTTAGAAGGAGCTGCCTGTTAACAGTACGGATATTATGGATGGGACAGATACAAGCCCCGAATGGGTAGCAGAATGTTAACGGCTGTGTACACAGGTGTGTTGTGTTCGCGTTTTGTGATCGGATTCTGTCTGTGGGTTTTTTGTCTGTTTTTGTGTTTACGCACTTTCATTTGCAATTTTTTTTTAGTTGGGTGGGCGGAGGGGAGATTTGTGATTGCTGTTGGGTTGAAGAGGGGGCTGCGGATGGCAGGATCGCTTGGTTTCTTTTGCGCTCGGGGGTGGTGGATGAAGGTGTCAGTACCAAGCTACCCCAGGTCAGGTGAACACGACCAGGGCTATTAGTGGCCAATTGAAAAATGTGAGCAGAATTTTTTTTTCTTAATGGGTAGCGAGGGGCATGGGCGAGATTTCTGCACCGATGCCCTCGCCATTCATTCCGAGACGGGCGCCATTCTGAATGCACGTGAGCCACCTGGCCCTGTGACTCTCAACACGTTCCTTCCAATCACCTACGGCAGTGCTCACCTATAAATGATATACAGGTGTGGAGACGGAATCTCGGATGTATTGTTGATCAATAGTCTGCGACATTATCTGATTCGAATCAAATATTGTCAGATATTATAATAATTCTAATAATAATAATAATAATAATCCTTGCGTTGGATATAATGCCTGATATTGATTTCCCAAACATCTTCCTGATGCAGAGTGTCTGCATGCCACAGTACTGTCTACAAAGCCCTGTTACCCCCATGTGTTTTTTTCTCTACAGTGACTGACCAACAACTAAAATGTGTGGGTGTGTGAGTGCGTGCGTGACCGTCTTCATGTCCATTGTCATGTTCATTGGCGGGAGAGCCTTCAGCCACTCTGCCCCCAATCGCTGGAATTCCATCCCCCGATCACTCCACCTCGCCCCCTCCTTAGCCTCCTTCAAGTCCCTCCTTAAAACCCTCCTCTTCGACCATGCCATCGGCCATCCCCCTTCCCCTCCCTTCTCCCCATCCCACCGACCCCAGCTCAGGTCTGAAATGCTGTACACTGTCCAGCACCTTGGGACGTCCTCCCGACGTGAAAGGTGCTATACACATGTAATCTTCTTGTTGTTGCTGTTCATGGTAGATAATGATCCATTGGCATGTTCAATCCCACATATTCCGTATTAGATCAGACACATCTGTAAAGATAAGATACAAATTCAAAATTTAGTTTAGTTTATTATTGATTGCATCCTGTCTACGTGAGGACCGGTGTAGATCCTAGGTATAGGTTGTTATGGTGCAAGCCATCTAACAAATCAAAGTTATGATAATAAAGATAAATCCTTGCCCTTTGATATAACACAGAAACATCTCAAAGGTCCTCACGGTTTCTGTCAAGTGATTGTGTATTCCAGTTTGCACAAAGCAACATCCCAACAAAGAGCCAACAAAGCAAACGACCAATTTTTACCTGAGAGCTTGTCGGCTTGGATTCCTAGGAGAAACTCCCTCTTTTTTGTTTCAAATAGCCCCATGGGATCTTTAACGTCCACCTGAACAGAACAGACCGGCACCGCCAACCATGCCTTAGTTCGAAAGGTCTGAGCTGGAACCGCCAGCCGAGACTGCGAGCTCAAAGTCCTGACGTAGGGCTTGAAGCCACAACCAGCCAGCGATAAGAGCCCTGTTAATATTTGCAAGCCAATATGATCATAGAATAAAGCTTTATTCTCAGCGTTATTTTAATTTCCAATGATTAAGGATGAATGAGCAGTAAATTGGTTACATGGGATTCGTAAGTGCACGGGTTCACTTTGTACTGTGTATCCTTAACAAAACCTGGCCTGCTTCCAAGGTAAGCAACTGAATTAATATTATAAGTCAGAAACAAACTGTACATATTTGTTCTAAGGCACCTTGACAAATGGCCTGTGCAGCACCTTGTGCTGCTTGATTGTGTCATGGTTTCTGATAAGCTCTTGGTTACTTTTATTTATTTATTTTTGCCTTGAAAGTTAGCTGTACAACCCGTGTACTCTTGCGCACCAGGCTCCGTGATTCCATCACTCCCATCCTCGCCCAACTCCACTGGCTCCCCATCCCTCAGACAATCGAATTCAAGATCCTCATCCTCACTTTCAAGGCCATCCATGGCCTTGCCCCCGCCTACCTCTCTGACCTGCTGACTCTCTGCCGTTCAGCGGGCTCTGGTCTGCTCCATGTCTCCCGCCCGACCCGCCCTACCATCGGTGGCCGGGCTTTCAGCCTCTCTGCCTCCACACTCTGGAACTTCATCCCACGGTCCCTTCGCCTCACTCCCTCCCTTGCCTCCTTCAAGGCCAGTCTCAAGACCCTCCTCTTTGATCGTGCTTTTGGTCGCCCTCCCACCTCTCTGCCTTCCCTCACCCCTACCCCACCTCTCCTCCATGCTTGGGTCCTGACCCCTGACTGCCAGCACCTTGGGACGTCCTCACGACGTGAAAGGCGTTCTTTGAATGTAATTTTGCTGTAAAAATGATAGTAAAACATCAGCGAATGCCCGGTTGAGGCCAAGTAGACGTCAACACATCCCTGATTTCTATTTGATAGTTTAGAAATTGATGAGTTACGAAATCAGCTTTCAGTTTTTCCCAAGTGTGCTGTTCCCATTAAGTCAACTCAAAGCTTTTTTGTTGTTTTTTTTAAAAAACAATTATTTTGTATCACAACCAGGGTAGAAGAAGCTGTTGCCATGTGACAGAGACCTCTTGCTTTTGGGAAAGGGGAGACATTATGCTCCTTCTCTCTCCCCCCAGTCCTCTGAAATGATTTGCAGCCAATTTACCCCCAGTGCAACATCCCACAAACAGTCATCGAGTGAACCAGTGATTTTTTGTTATCCGAGGCAGAAACTTTAGAGTAGTCCCATAGAGATCTATAATGTCCACCTGAACAGGGACCTTGGTTTAACGTCTCATCCAAAGGACAACACTTCTGACAATGCTTCTCTCTCCCCCCCCCCCCCCCCCCCCCCCCCCCCCGCCCCCGTGTCAACCTGAACCGTGAACTCAGAGAACATTCATTCACACAGAATACCTTGTGAAGTGCCCATCAATGAGAGATATCCGGACCTCCAAGGTCTGAAAATTCCACATAGTCTCAGGCTGTCCGGCTTTCCTATTTTAATTAACACTGAGCAAAATTACAGAAAATTATTTTAATGATTCGGACGCCTATTTTCTTTTTTAAAAAAGTGCACAACACAATCACATCAAAACCAACATATAACAAAAGACTGGGAAAATGTTTTATTTGCTGATCATCTGAATTGTGCCAACAAGTGCTTTTTGTGCTCATCGTTCATTCCAACTGCAAAGCCAATTATAACCTGCCTCTGTCTTGAGAGATACACAACCCACTGAGGGGTTAAACATGGGTGGACTATGTGTGCAGGACAGAGCAAAACCCACAACCAATGTCTCAAAATTCTAGCCCCCACCACCCCCATAGCGCTGTTACTGCTCCCCACACCCCACCTCCTCTTTAAATGTTCTCAATACTTTAAACACTCTCCACTTGTTAAACAAACAATGTATTGGACCGTGTCTTCAGTCCACACTCTTTATCACCCCTCCCAGCTGTGTGCTTTGTGTTATCTCTATAAAGTGCTTTGAGATGCTCATTCTGCTGTGAAAGGCACCACAAAAATGAACTGTGTTGTTGTTGTAATTCACTTGCAAGTTCTGGCTTTGAAGTAGCATTTGATAATTGCTGCACCATGCTCACTACCCCCATCTCTCCCACCACACACAACCCCACCATCTAACAGTTCAGTTAAAACCGATTCATCCCCATTGCTTATCCCATCTCATCTGTAGGAATTTGATAACTGTGTCCTAAATTACAATGATCATAGAAAGGGTTTGCCCCCAGCTCTCAGAGCAAGCTCATTCCCATTGCCCCTGCTCGATCCCCAGTGTCTCTACAGCTTCTATCCTTCTGTTTACCTGTTTACTTCTCACTTGAAACTCACAGTGGCCTCTGCCTCCACCACCTTACTTGGCAGGATGTTCCACATCCCCAAATGCCACCTGAATTTCGCCCCGGGGATTTCCCCTGGTATGGCCCTCCTTAGCTCGACAGTAACCGTGTCTTGATTAAATACCCCCATTAATAAGTTATCTAATAATAATTCATTATAATCCTTGCATTATCATGTCTCAAAGCTCTTCACAGAATGTACTGTAAAGTGATTTGTTTGAATATATATTTTTCCCATCGAAGTGTGAAACCCGAGCAAAGTGAAGCATTCTGTCACACGTCCGCAGACGGAAGAGGCTTTGATCCCAATGTGTTTGGGATGGATTTAAATCTAGTACCGAGGCGGTGGTGGGGTGGGGATTGGAGGCTGTCAAAGAACAACCTCTCACTGTCACTCAGTTCCCCCCGAGTAGCATATTTTTTGTTCTTTAAATCCCTTCATCCAAAAGCACAAGCCATCGATCCTGCCTCACTTGCTCAGAGGTCAGCCTCTGGTGAACAGACGGATGATCCCATACTTGTGCAGTGTCTCCCAAAGCTCCAGTTCCAGCCTCATGTCGTGGATGAAAAAGAAATGCGGTTTCTTTTTGATGATGTCGTAATAGTGATTGGCGTATTTTGCGTAGTCCTTAGTGATGAATCCGTACGCACTGACCTATGAAAGGGGGAAAAGGGGGCAGAGAACCAAGCTTTGAGAACAAATTGGGAACAGAAATGGAACGGTGTTAATAGTAATAATATTCCTTGCATTTGACACAGCACCTTATCACGTCGTTGAGACGTTTCAAAGCTCTTCACAGAAGATACTGTAAAGTGGATCAACTGTGTATTTTGTGAGTGAAACGCAGCAGCCGATTGCGCACAAACAGTTGTGGATTGAGTGACCTAATTTTTTTTTGGAGGGAGATATTACCACCGGAAAGCACCAATCAACAAACAACTGGAATCCTACTCACTGCGAGTAAACAGAGGCGTGTGGAGTAAGGACACTTGCCTTAGGTTTTGCCCTGCCTGGGAATCGAACCCAGGTCCTCTCGCTTGCGAGGCGAGTGCTCTAACCACTACACTATGGGAGAGAAAAACCAGCCCACACGTGATCGTTCTGAGCCATGACATTATATGATTGTTACCTGGTCACAGGTGTGTATAGCTCCCAGGAGCATCAAAGCTCCAGTGGTTGGGCGATATGTAGGATATTTCTTTGCAATTCTTGAACTAAGAAACCTATAGAGGAGGGAAAAAGTACACTTTAAGTTATAACCGTACATCTAGCTCACCACCAGGTTTACTGCTGTAATTGTTGGTTGGTTTTGAACATGATGCCCCCCACCACACAACAACAACAACAACTTAAATCAGAATCCTTGTGTTTGATCCGGCATCTTTCACGTTGGGAGGAACGTATCAAAGCACTTCACAGGATTCACTGTCAAGTAGAGTGACTGTGTTTTCTTTGGCGAATGGGGCAGCGAATGTCCGGAGAGTGATGTGCCGTAAACAGCCCTGAAGTGGAAACAAATATTTTTTATCGGGGTGGGAGGGGGAGAGAGAATCCCCTTTCTCTTTTTATTTCGAAATTGCAGTGGGAATGTCAGAGCGAGAATCTTGAAATCCACCCACCAACAACAAACTCAATTGAGCTCAGAACCTGGTGTTGAAATGGAACACTCTATTAGCCATGTGTCACAACTTGCAAACCATGATGTTATGTGATAAAGACATTTTTTTTCAAAAAAAACTCATGGATTTTTACCGATTGCGAAGGTAACGCATGAAGTCCGCATGGTACATCTTCAGTTTCTCGGGCCCAATGTGAGGTCCGAAATACACGTGCGGGCTACAGGGGAGGAGAGAGAGAGAGAGAGAAACTTGGGTTAATTCTGGTTGACGATCGAGATGAGTGTCTGTTACTGTAAGTGACGCACATGTCTCGATATTGCGCAGGAGGGGGCTAACTAGGAATTTGAAAGCAGAGGGACAGAGGGGTGAAGGCAAGACCCAGTTATCCTCTGGGGACGGGGTGGGGAGAGGGGGGGGTTGGTAAGCTTGATCTCCTTGGAGCTGTACTGGCTACCAAGGTGACATATCCGGCAACGGAATATCGGAATCAAGCCTGTCCTCTGTGGTGGTCTTGATAGCCCTGTTCCTGAGCCAGGCAGGTCCACAGTACTCCAGGGCACATCTGTTCACAGCACAGCCCAGCCTGGCTCATTGGCGGGTCTTGGAAGGGTAGTCCTGTCAGTGGGGACAGGGAATTGAGAGAGTCGAGGGACATAGGGGCTGGAAGCTTACCCGTTGATCATGGAGTGGAAGAGGTGGGGGGGAACATGAAGAGGGACCGAACCAGTGAAGCAGAGAGAATGGGAGAAACCCCTCACCCCTCTCCTCCCCCAAACCCGCCTGTGCACCATTTCTGATCGTCAGCACCGACGAGTGAAGTATATTTATTTGCTTACATTCATTGCTTTCCCCCTGTCACTGGACACCTGGGTTACTCAGGTTAGGTTAGGTTATTGCTTGTGAGGAAACTTACTCCCTGGATCTCTCTGGCCCCTTGGCCACTCGATGCTCGGTTGCCGCAGCCTTCACCATGTAATAATCTCTGGCGTGGACCGGTACAAAGATGTATCGCGTCTCCTTTGAAAGAAAAATGTGGCTGCGTTCAGAATAAAAATAAATAACCCTTGCCGTTGATATCGCGCCTTATCAGGTCGGAAGAACGTCTCAAAGTGCATCACAGGATATACTGTGAAGTGGAGTGACCGGGTATTTTGTGGGTGAAATGCAGCAGCCCAATTGCACACAGTAGTGTCCCATAAAACAGACAGTTTTAATTTGGCAGCTTGTTGGCCGGGACGCTGGGAGAGAGAAGCTTCCTTCTCTTTAGCGCCATGGGATCTTTAATGGCCACTTGAAACAGGGTTTAGAGTATTGCCTGGACATTTGCTCTGACTCCTTGCATATAGCCTTATACCTCTGATTTCGGGACACTGGTGTACCCCAAGCGTCGGTAGTTACGGAGAGAATTGAGCATCGTGTTTGTAGCAAAATTGTAAAATGAAGTCCTTTTGCCGACATCTTTTTCATATCCTTTAATGATGGCTCCATTCACCCTGTGAAAGGAAACAATAAGTAGTGGAAGGATGCAGGAACCTATAATAATAATTATAGATAACATAGGGCTTTATCATGTCGTTGAGATGTCTCAAAGGTCTTCACAGAATACTCTGTAAAGTGAATTGACTGTACTTGGGGATGAAGCGCGGCAGCCAATTGCGGACAACAGTGTTCCATAAACATTTTTTTTGGAGGGACTATTCACCCCGGAAAGCGATCTGGGTTCCGACTTACCGCTAGGTAAATAGAGGAGTGTGGAGTAAGGAAACTTGCCTAAGGTTTCACCCCGCCCGGGAATTGAACCCGGGTGCTCTAGCTTGTGAGGTGAGCGTGCTAACCACTACTCCATGGGACTCCACAAGATGGGTTGGCCACAAGTGAGGTCCAGTCTCCATTGTCGGATACTGACACCCCCACCAAGTAGGTGCGGCACCTGTTGTGACCAGAGGCTCGGTGCCTGGGCGAGCAGGAAACCTACCGAAACACATAGTCATGTTTATCGATCTCTTCCCCCATGTTAGAATTGTTCAGGATTCCTCCGTTCCCGATCACAGCACAGCGGATGCAGTTGGAGCTTTTGTTTGGCCTCATCTCCCAGTCGTCGAACATGACCGTGTTTGCGGAGGTGTTCAGGTAACTCAGAGCATCCTTCAGATCTGGGAGAGGAGAATGTGAACATGGCGCTGAGTCAATGTAAGTGAAGTCAGTGGGGAGGGGAGGTGTCAACACATTTAACATCTAAAGATGTCTAACGACATTTAATGTCTAACGTCTAAAGACATCAAACTGAGCTCCCTGACTATGCCCTGTTCAGTTGGACCCTAAAGATTCCCTGGCGCTATTCAACCAGAGAATTGGAGTTTCTCTCTCCTGGCTTTCAAGCTCCCACTTTAAAGCTGTTACTTCCACACTTTGGAACTCCATCCCATATTCTCAAGACTCCCCTCTTCAACCTTACCTTTCGGCCACCCTCCCTGCCCTCCACACTTCCTGATCCCAGCCCCGCCTGCTCGGGTCTAAATCCTTGACTGCCCAGCGCCTTGGGACGCGATCTCCCAATCGACTAACATCCGGGTTCCTACTTACTGCGAGGTGAACCGAGGCGCGGGGAGTAGGGAAACTTGCCGAAGGTTTCGCCCTGCCCGGGAATCGAACCCGCTCGCGAGGCAAACGCTCCATCTACGAGGCTACGGGACTCCACAACATTATAAACACCGCCACAGACTGGGTGGGCCGAGTGGCCTGTACAGTCTATGTAAGTATACGTAGATTGGTAGGCAGAACGGTTGAACCTTACCATCAAAGCCAATCACCTTCCACCCGTATAAGCCCGGGTGTTTGCTCAGCCTCTTGTACTCAGCCTCCGTAGCGTGTTTGCTCCACTGGAGGACGGGAATTGTCTCCAGGAAGATATCTTTATACTCGGATATGTTTGCCACTCGCTTCCTGATGCTGTCGGGACATTCCTGGTAGAGGCAACAACAACGATGAGGAGAGGTTAACTACCAGGTGTTAGCCTGGCTCAGTTGGTTGGCACTCTCGCCTCTGAGCGAGAAGGGTACAGGATACAAGTCCCACCTCGGGATTTGAACTTCTAATAATAATAATAATCCTTGCATTTGATATAGCGCTTTTCACGTCTTCTCGACGTCTCAAAGCACTTCACAGAATATATTGTAAAGTGAATTGACTGCATATTATTTTTTTCTTGAGGGATTAGTATTAGGCGTGTGGAGTAAGGAACTTGCCCTGCTGGAAATCGAACCCAAGTCTTTCGCTTGCAAGGAAAGTGTTCTAACCACTGAGCTACAGGACTCCACAAATATAAGCGCAAGTCATCGCTGTACGCATTGTTCCTGAAAGAAAGGGATTGTTTTAATCACTGACATAAAGAGTATTGGCAAGATAGAATGTATTTATCTTGTCTGATTGCCATTGAATTTCGATTTCTGTTAGTTATTTTTAGACCAGCCATTTTAAATCAACATCAGTCTAATAAATCACACTCCTATTGTTAAGCTGTCCAAAAACTTTTACTAATTGCGAGTTAAAAGAACTTGTTCCACTGGGTGAGTACATCTGTCTCTGGAAAACAATATAAATTATGCCAGTCCTTTCATACAACCGCTCGGGGAACTCAACCGCAAAAGATTCCCTTGAAAATAAAGCATTTTTTTTTGACTTAAGATGTGCTCCCAGAAATTCAATTTTTAAAAAAAAAAGAAAATCTATATTTTGTTCAAACAGCATTGTGATGACGTTTACAAACAGCACCTACAATTTGCTCAGAAGTTAACATTCACAGATCCTATTAGCAGCCTGGCTCAATTGGCAGCATTCTCACCTCTGAATTCGAAAGTACTGAGTTCAAGCCCACGTCACGACTTCAGGATCACAGTCGAGGCTGACGCTCCGAATGCAGCACTAAATTATCAAAGGTGCTGCTTGGGTGAAATCCTAAATTGAGGTTCGGTCTGCCTGTTAGGTGGATGTTGAAGATCTCATGGCACGATTTGGAAAGCGAAGGGAGTTTTTCATGGTGTCTTGACTAACAATCTCTCACTTCCTTTACCGTTACGATTTTGAACTTGTATAATTTAAGATGGCAAAGTGAGCCAGACTGAAATGTACTTACTGAATTGAGATAGGTGTTATCTGTGGGGTAAACATCTCCTGCGAACGGTGACTCTTTGACCACAGTTGCTGGGCGCGATGTTTTACTAATTCTCTTTCTTTTGCGTGCTGGCTTGGCTACCTTCCGCCTTTGGGGTGGCGCGGTTTGATTGAACACTGCGCCCGTTACCGGCTTCTTTATAATCTCCTGAGAGGCTAAGGTAGTGTTTCCCAGGGTCGGCGAGACCGTCCTGCCCCCAGGTCCCGTTCCCGTTTTCTTTACGGGTTTCACTTGGAATTTCTCGACGAAAGTTTCGTTCTTCTTTGGATCGATATCTTCCAAGGATTTTGTTACGTTCCTCCCCCCGAACTTGCCCAGCATACTGTAGCTTAATCTAGGAAAATAAATAACCGATAATAAAACCCTCGCACTTAACATACAGAGTGTTTCAGCCCCAAAACACACAGCCAGTCCACTTTACACTATGGGCTTTGAGACTGTGGGCTTTGGCAATTCAATCTGGACCTGATTATTCTCACATCCACCACCCGCCCTCCATTTGTCTGGCTCCGGCCTCTTGCTTGTCCCTCGTCCCCTCCACTCCACCATCGGTCACCGTGCTTCCAGCCATTACTCCCCGAAACTTTGGAACTCTCTCCCTCTATCCCTCCGCCTTGCTCCCACCTTCCCCTTTTTCAGATTGTGCCTGAAGATCTTCCTTTTTTCACTGTGCTAGCCTCCTAGCCTGTGAAACTTTCTTTTTCTTAAAATCTTAAGACCCTTCCCTGAAAAAAAGGGTTTCCAAATTACCAGTAATAATCCTTGCATTTGATATAGCGCCTTGTCACGTCTTCGAGACAACTCAAAGCACTTCACAGTGTACAATTATATTTGTGATGTTTAATGTTTTTTAAGGCTTTTAATTAATCTTTATATACATTTAGAATGGAATCTACCCATAATCCTTTAATAAGGATTATGATATACTAGTTTTATAGTAGTAGGACACCAAAAGTAATGACTAAATTAGTTGTTTGTTTGAGATTGAAAGAACAAGGTCCGGTACTCAAATGCATCAGCCAGTTTAAAGGATTTAAATTTGTTTGATTTAATGACTAAGCAGAGGTTAAAAGTAGCTTTGCAGGCAATGGTTGAGGTGAGCTTCCGGATGATTGTGGAGTCCTGTAGCTCAGTAGTTAGAGCACTCGCTTTGCAAGTGAGAGACCTGAGTTCAATTCCAGGCAGAGGGCGAAACCTTGGGCAAGTTTCCTTACTCCACACGCCTAATAATAATCCCTCCCAAACTAAAAACAATAATAAATTGGTCATTTTCAATCTACGACTGTTTGTGGGACATCGCTGTGCGCAATTGGCTGCCGCGTTCGCCCACAAATATACAGTCAATTCACTTTACAGTGTGTTCTGTGAAGCGCTTTGGGACGTCCTCCCGACGTGAAAAGCGCTATATCAAATGCAAGGATTATTATTATTATTATTATTATCTGCAGCCTATGGAGGGAGAAGTTGGGGAGGCCGACAAGCTGAAATAGTTGAAGCCGTCGTAGAGGGTCAGTGCACTTCCCAGTGGAACCAAAATCGATTTTTCTGTATCTGTGGTCTCAGTTTTCAGACTAAGTCAGGCTGTTTGCTTAATACACTTTGGATTATTGCACCACCATGTCAGTTGTCTCCATCCGACTCTCTTACAACAGAATGTACTGTAAAGTAAATTGACTGTATATTTTGTGAGCTGGGTTTAAGAAATTTCCACCATTGCGCATAGCCTTAAATATTAACGCACAACAAACTGGGTGGAATCGTCAGCTCCAGGCAATATACCTGACTAAATGCCTTGGCTCAGGCAGAGAACACTGCTTTCCTGTTCGTATAAAAGGAATTGGTGACATTGAGAGGAATTGGGGAAGCAAGAAAAGAACGAAACAAACAGCGAGGTAATAAAGAGAGTGGTAACAGGAAATGGGGATGTGGAGGAGAGAGAAAGCGATTTGGTGAATAGGATTCTAACAGACACAACTAGAGGGTCCTGACAGCTCCTGTGTATAGCTGACTTCAGAACATCAATAAGGATAAAGTTACCTGTGGTACAAAGCGTTGGTCGAGAAATCCAGAAGGTTATTGCTGTATGTAACAAACACCAGAGAAACTCCAACCACAAACAATAATGTCCTCATTTTCCACGTAGCTGGGACTAGCTTCATTTTTTAGTCCTTATGTCAGACGTTTTACTTATATATAATAAAAATTTTAAGAAATATTTAAAAAAAGGTATTAAAAATGCAGCTGGTAAAATTGCTCTGTCTCTATCTCTCACAACCACACACACAACAGCGACTGAAGTGCGACTAAAAAAAGGGTTTTGAGTTGGTGAAAGGAAACTGAATAATGGTAATCTCCACGGAACTGTAAAGCTGGTGACGTTGATCCAATAAGCTGTGACATATTTTAAAAAAGGATGTCTCAACGCCAATAAATTACGATTTTCTTTGCATTGAGAAGAGAATGACATTTACTGTACAGCTACAAGATCTTATCAAATATTGGTTTATGGTCTATTTCACTCACACACGCACACACATATTGTTCACTGTGTGTCAAACCCTCCACGTAAATCAGCTTGGACTATAAACTCAAAATATTGATCTGTGAGTTTTTTCATCGATATCTTAATTTCTTTTTTTCTTTCTCGTGGCTTTCTTGATGCCTCGAGACTACAGTTCGTACAACAGGCTGTCCACAAAGTCCTGTTGCCAAATACAATTAAGAATGAATTAATACAAAATACACAGTCACTACACTTTACGAGGTATCGGCCTGGCTTGGTGGAAGCACTTTGGCCTCTGAGTCAAAAGATTGTGGGTTCGAGCTCCACGTCAGGACACAGTCTGAGATGGCACTCCAACACAGTGCTGGGGAGGTGTTGCGTTGTCGGAGGCGCTGTTCTTCAGACAAGACATTAAACTGAGGTCCCGTCTGCCTGTTCAGGTGGATGTTAAAGGTCCTGTGGCGCTATTCAAAAAGAGAAGGGAGTTTGTTCTGACCAACAAATCCCCCAGATAAAAAAAATTGGTCACTCAATGTACGTCCTGTAGTGTAGTGGTTTGCATGCTTGTCTCGCAAGCGAGAGGATCCGGGTTCAATTCCTGGGCAGGGCGAAACCATAGGCAAATTTCCCGAGCAGTAAGTAGGTACCTGATTGTTAGTTGATTGACAGATCCCTTTCCTGGGCTAATAATCTGTCCCCCAAAACAATTTGGCCACTCAATCCATGACTGCTTGTGAGACATTGCTGTTCGCAATTGGCTGCTGCGTTTCATCCACAATTACACAGTCAATCTACTTTACAATATATTCTGTGAAGTGCTTTGAGACGCCTCAACAATGTGAAAAGGCGCCTTATCGAAATGCAAGGATTATTATTATGTTGAACTCTGCAACGGGTTTTGCAATCGGCTGGTGGGTTGGCAGAATACCGAAATAGTGGGAATCCTCCCGCTCAGCCCTGCAAGCTAAAAGCCCTAACGGGTAGGGTGGTTCTAGCTGGACAAGCAAAGGGAAGCTTTCCATACTGACTCAGCTCACTATGTGCTATTGTGTTGTGGTATAACTGTTGGGAGTCTGTATTTTGAGACACCAAGTCCAAACAATGTAATGTAAGAACCTGGAGTTGGTGAAACCCATGTGAATGGACAGTGCCATCAACAGCGAACAAAGAGAAATATGGAAGTAGGTTTACAGAAAGTCTGGAGATTGCAAGGCCACAATATCAAACACAACACTCAAGGGAATGATGTGCCTATCAGCTTTATGCAAACTTATCTAGACATGTTCAAAGAACACTATAAGCACCTATAATCCATTTGACAATTAAATCGACAAAGAGCAGTTTCATTGATACCAAATTGCTTTTTGCTTTACAATGTTAAGTAATAAGCTGACCTGATCATTGTACTTTGTTCCTTCTGCTCCCTCCCCAAGCAAGCCAGCCCGAATTAATGTCTACTATTTGTGTGTGTGTGTGTGTGTGTGCTTTTTCGCCCACAAAATATATAGTCTATTCACTTTACAATATTCTGTGAAGTTCTTTGAGAAGTCTCAATGACGTGATAAGGCGCTGTATCAAATGCAAGGTGGATGATTTTTATTTTAAAACTACCCCATTTTATTCAATGTACTCCTGGCGTGTAAGTGTTCACGTGTGTGCTTGCGTGCGCGTGCGTACCTGCGTGCGTGCGTGCATTCGGGTCTGCGCCTGCCGACATGAGTGTGGGTGCGTGGGTGCATTTGTGCGTGACATTGGCGCAGGGGGACTGGTCACCAGGAGTCTGGCTTCAACCCGGTCGGTCTCCATTCGTGTCAACAGGTTCGCAATGAAAGGATCTGGTCAGCTTAGCTGTTGCCATGGCTATGCGGCTCTCGAATTTGAAAGAGGTTGGCAAGAAACGCAGAAGCACAAAGACAGACGTCCCAGGAAGCGCAAAGCCTCTTTGCTCTCAGAGCCACTGCTCTGCACTTCCTGCCAGACTCTCATGGCTGCTTCTGGTCTCACTTCTTCTTTGGCAGCTTCTCTTCTTTGACCATCGCCTCAAACTCTGAAAGAATCAACGAAGAAATGAACGCCAGGATTTTCCACCGCCTCCCCACCCCCTCTCCTTTCTCACCATTGGTATAAATCGCTCCGCTACCTCCCCTCTCCCCCTCCTCCTCCCTGCGACTCTCCCCCTCCCCGAGAAGATAGGAGTTCGTCCCCCGCTACCTCCACCACCCCACCCCTAAGCTCCCATCTTTGCAATCAATGCTGTGGTCTCGTCAAAGACAGTTCAAGATGACAAAATACTTTATGATACAATCCTGCCAAGGACTATGCAGGGTCCTCCTGTACTGAAAGGCGCAATATCAAATGCAAGGATTATTATTATTATTTTATATCTTAGCTGGTGCCCAAAACTGAACGCTATATTTACTTCTCGTGTGGCCTCACCAGTGTCTTGAAATGTGCAATTATGTGCCTCTGATTCTGTATCTCTATGGGTCTGGCAATCATTTATCGGCCAGGTTGATACTCACTGAACTTTCAAATAGGATTTGAGTTACTTAATACTTGCACAGAAGTTCCTTCTGTTCACTCTCCCACCTTTACAATGTCCCCACGTAACTGGAAATTCCATTTCAAACCTTTATCTTTATGGCCAAAAACCTACGTGTAACTGCATCTGCTTCACTTCTGCCAACTTGCTCAATCTCTCAATAGTCGCTTGCTAACTTCTGCAAGGTGTCAAGGGGCAATAAGTTCAGTACCTGCAAAAGACACCTGCAAACTTTGTGCTAAAATTCTTTCAGTGCCCTGGGAAGTCATTGTGACACAAAAGGTGTTGCGTAAATGTAATTTGTTGATATTGCAAAATAACTATCTACCTCCAATGAACAATCTGTCTCCCTGGTACATCTACGTTTAAAGAATTGGCATTCCTGTGAAGAAATCAAAACTTAACTTGAACTTTTTATGGCTTAGTTAACTGGAAATCAACCGAGGAGTGGAGGGTGTAGTCCTGAGAACCATTGAATTGAACAAAGGATAAGGTGGGCGGTAGGGAGGATGAATTTTAACCGTAAGGATTAGCATTGGGTGATATTTGGATTATCATTGGATCGTTGGAATAACACGGTAAACCATACCTTGAAAATCAATTCTTCCATCTCCATCTACGTCAGCTGCTTGGATGATGGCATCAGCCTCTTCGTCTGATAGAGGCGCGAAGGGCGCAGAGCTGGGAATCGCGGAAAGGATGTACCTGCAAGGCAACATAGGCCAGGTAACCCAAGTGAAGGTACGTAGATAGTTCGGGACATATGTGCATGCGACCGCCAGGAAGGTGGAAGGCAAACTAGATGAACCTCGGTCTTTTTTCATCTGACATTTCTTATGTCCTTATATAATGTCATCTTGGCATTGTATAATCATACATAATTTTATATAGTATTGTATTGTACCCCACACCTCAAAGGATTGGATGACCAGGCTTTTTCTGATTGATGGACATTGGAATTTCATGCATTACGCTTAATATTAGCTAACAATAGTTCTTACTTAATCTCATTCCATTCAATGTAGCCACTCTTGTCTTTATCCAGGGTTTTGAATGCATTGAGGATTGCTTCATCACAGCGCTCTGATTTCTTGACGTTACGCATGTACTCAAAAAATTTCTGGTAGTCAAACACACCTGAAAAAACAAAGAAAGAGCCACAAATGACTCAAAAGAAAGTTAAGATCCTAACTTTGGTGAAAGACATGTGCACAATGATGTATTGTACGTCCACACCCTGTTGTTTCTACATATTATAATAATAATAATAATCCTTGCATTTGATATAGCGCTTTTCACGTCGGGAGGACGTCTCAAAGCGCTTCACAGAACACACTGTAAAGTGAATTGACTGTATATTTATGGGCGAACGCGGCAGCCAATTGCGCACAGCAATGTCCCACAAACAGTCGTAGATTGAAAATGACCAATTTATTATTGTTTTTGGTTTTTGGAGGGATTATTATTAGGCTGTGTGTGGAGTAAGGAAACTTGCCCAAGGTTTCGCCCTGACCTGCCTGGAATTGAACTCAGGTCTCTCACTTGCAAAGCGAGTGCTCTAACCACTGAGCTACAGGTCTCCACAATTGTGTGTATAAATTGTTTTTTTTCTAATATTCTCCCCCAATGGCACCTGCCTTGTGCTGCTAGTCTGACCGACTGTCTGCTTCATATGATAATCAATTCGCTGATTGCCTTTGTGGAAGCCTTTGTTCATAGTGAACCTTGACGGTGAATGTCAGAAAGCCACCAGACTGTAGATGCAACCGAGCCTGACCTCTTCCCGTATCACTGTCCCACACACACACACACACAGAACCAGGAGCAGGAAACCATGGCTGATTTTCCGCTCCCTAACCCTGGAAGGCTCGGGCTAATTTAGCTTCCCACGCAATCCTTACTGAGACCAGCAAACTCAGCACTGACTGGGATTTGAACCAGTGAGCTGCTGGTCTGTAAGCTACAACTCTGTCCCCTAAACAACCAGATAATGTCTCTTCCACCTTCCTTAACAGCTCACCTTGAATTGTTGGTCCATTGATTTCAGTGCACTTTAAATTGACCTCTTGGTTTCTTTATGCACATTGTTGTGATCAGAAGTGAATTACTATTTAAATTATTGTTTTGTTCTTATGAAGTTACTGTTTTCGTTAAGTTAGGTTTGCTTGTGTCTGATAGCTGGTGTCAAACTGAGCTGTAGAACTGTAGGATGTTCACAAAGTCCTGTTACACCACCCACCACCACCACACCACACACCCCCCACTTTTTTTTCTTCCAATAAATTTTTATTTTCAGTTGCAGGTGAGTCAAGTGTAACAATATATGATCTCGGTAACTTCCTCGTCACTCCATCCATCAAATTTTCGAAAGATGTTGGCAACGGATCATTATCTGCCATGAAAATGATGACGATCACAAAGACATCGATCCTCTGGACGTCTAAATACAGTTAAATACAGTGAATACAATTGAATATATCTAAATACAATTATCATCATTCTTCCACGTTTCAGTTGTTGGTCAGTGCACTCTAGGAAAAAAATGGGACTGTGAACTTCCTGTACAATCCTAATTAAGTTAAGATGAGTTACAAAATCACTATCTAACTGTGACAGATGTTACAAGTGTAGCTGGTGTAAAATTATATGAAAAAAGTCAGTATTTTGGGCTTTGCTTGTCGGCCGCCACCAACTCCTCCCTCCATAGGCTTCAGATCATCCAGAACTCTGCAGCTCGTGTCCTCTCCCGCACCAGGCTCCGTGACCCTATCAGCCCCATCCTCGCCCGACTCCACTGGCTTCCCATCACACAGAGGATGACAGCATCACCATCCACGGATGCACACTCCACCTTACTAAGCCAGTCTGGAATCTTGGCGTCTTGTTTGATCCTCAACTATCCTCTCTCGTGACCATACCATCAACCATTTATATAGTGCCTTTCAGGACGTCCCAAGATGCTGCGGAAATCTTTGATAAAATGTTGGGTGTTTTAAGAGTTAAGGATTTTTTTGGGTGTACAGTCGTAAGAATTATCAAAGCCCAGCTCATTGATTAAAGTAAGTTTGGTCTGATTCAGCCATTTGCTGCCGCTTACTGGCTGGTCCAGATAAGTGCAGCTTCAGAGTCTTTAAACTCAACTGTTTTTGGATCAAACATCTGGAGGCTCGAACAAAATGCCACACTGCGGTTTGCCCAACGGATTTTTNCCGGCCCGACTTTCACACCCACGCACCAGAGTTCCTACGCTGGCAAAATGAGCCCTTTCACTGGGCTGCACGCTCAAGGAGGATGGATGCTGTTCAGTTTTACACGACTGTGAAGATAGTAACGGCAGCAGAGTTGATGTTGCTTTTCGGTAGCATTTGGATTGGAATACACTGTCATACGCATTGTGTACATAAGCTTTTATTGCTACTGTATTGTGCGGTAACTATTACTTTGCATGGCAACCTAAGGGCCTTTAGACCGAGGACAATCAACTGCTGGAAGGGTGTTGGGACCAGGACACTGGACTCAGTTCATAATAACAACAACAACTTGCACTTATATAGCGTCCTCCACACAAGGGAGCGTCTCAGAGTGCCTAACAGTGGCGGAGCCTGACTCCAACCGAGGGGGAGGGGCGAGGTGGCTGCAAGCACGGTCGAAGAGGAAAGTCTTCAGGCGGGACTTGAAAGAAGGGAGAGAGGGATCAAGGCAGAGGAATTGAGGGAGGGTGTTCCACAGTTTTGGGGTGCAGTTGCTGAAAGCACGACCTCCAATGGTGGGGCGGAGGGTGCGAGAGATGAGCAGGAGGCTGGTGCAGGTCGAGCAGAGGCACCGGGTGGTGGATTGGGGAATGAGGAGGATGAAGAGGTAGAGAGGTGCCAGGGAGAGCTAGTGGACCCTGGGCCAGAACTGGTGAGATGTGGGTACAGAGTTTGGTCCGGGTCAGTATGCGGGCGGCAGAGTTTTGAATGATAATGATAACGATAATAAGAAGGTGCTATATCTATATCATAATAATGATAATAATAATAATAATCCTTGCATTTGATGTAGCACCTTGTCACATCATTGAGATGTCTCAAAGCACTTCAAAGAATATACTTCAAGTGGAATGACTTGTGAGCAGAATGCGGCAGCTAATTGCGCACAGCAGCGTCCCACCAACAGTCATGGATTGAGTAACCGTGAAAGTTATTTTTTGATTTCTTTTGAAGGGATTACAGGTAATACCCCCGGAAAACGGTCTGCCAATCAACCAACAAGAGGGTTCCTACTTACTGCTGGGTAAACAGAGGCGTGTGGAGTAAGGAAAGTTGCCTAAGGTTTCACCCTGCCCGGGGAATCGAAACAGCTTGCGAGGTGAGTGCTCGTACTCCTATGCTACAGGACTCCATTGCTTGATGTTGTGATGGGAAAACATTGAGGTTGGCATTTTGAAAGGATGAGATCAAGTGGGCCAGAGAGCGTTCTCCCTCTGAGCTTCTCACCTGATTTGACTTGTTGTTCACTTGTTAAAGTCCAGAGCATGAATGAAACCTTACCTTTAAGTCTCAGTTCAGAGGGCATGAGGGATATGTCGTGGTCTGTCAAACTGGTGCCCAATGCATGGGCGACCTTCTTCACGTTGGTACTAAAATCTGCAGTAGCCATTGTCGCCGATTATCCGAGTGTCTGAAACGTTAAAAACAAGGCGCGGAAACAATGAATAAGATATAAGTGAGTTAGCGGCATAGGTGGGTGGCAGGTATTATTATTAAGTACATATCTGGAAGGAAGGAGGAGATCAGATGGATCGAAGGATCTTCTTTGTCCGAACCAATCTTGTGACGTGTCACCCTTGCAACCTTGTGTCTCATCAGAAATAAATGAGGTGGTGGGTGGTGGTGGGGGATGGTGGGTGTTGGGAATCAAAGCGTTGACTCTGAGTTGGAACAATATCAGCAGAAGTGGGAGGCAATGTTGCCAGAGAGAGAGAGAGAGAGAGGTCTCCTGGTGCAATGTAGAATTTGCAACCCAATAACACTGGGGTAGCGTTTCCTAGCTTATCGTTGGTCATTAGTCTTGTTATAAATACACCTCAGCTGCTATGGTCTCCATCATCTGCTTACATTATTGTGAGCTAACATCACTGTTAGCCAGCGTTTAGCGAAGGGATCAGTTTGGTTTGGCTTCTGCGCTAATCGTTAGGCATTGTGAAATAGCATCGTATTATCTTATCAAAGCTCAGTTGGTAATGGGATCTTGCTTTTAACACCTAACAGCATTGCAGCTCTCAACCACCACCATCCTTCTCCTTTTTGCTCACAAAATATACAGTCCATTCACTTTACAGTATGTTCTGTGACACGCTTCGAGACGTCTCGAAGACGTGATAAGGTGCTACATTCCCACGCAAGGATTATTATTATCATTTACTCTCCCTTATGAGGCACTTCAGAGTGTTCAGAATTTGGCAAATTCTTAAAGCAGTTTCGTCTTTGGGTGAGAAGGTTGGCGGATTCATTTTACAGAATGTTCTGTGAAGCGCTTTGAGACGTCTCAATGATGTGATAAGGCAGTATTCTGTTACAGAACGGAAAACGTAAAATGATGTTTCTTCGAAAAAGACCCAGAAATGAAAAAAACTTAATGCTCTCTGGAAAAAAGATCGAGAGATCTGGGATAAAATGACCTCAGTGGCTCGTTGAACCCACTTGTATTTTGCAACCAAATCTGTTTGGGGACTTATTCTTAGTCTTATTCTGGGACTGATCCCCTTGTCTGTTGCCTCAATATTGATGCACCTGCTTGGCTTTCCTGATATTCGTCTTCTGGGGCAATCAGATATAGCCAAACTGTCTCAGTGATGCAAGCCGTGTGATAGACTGGCACACGGACAAAATACTTAAATGCTCCCAGAAGGAATAATCGCTCAAACATCACTGACCACTAGGTTTCTGTTTATAAACAGGGGATCATGCACCTCGTGGTTTTAAATTGCACCGCTTAAATCGGTAGGAATGCATAATATCTTAATTGTTTTCGTAGCCTTTGCAAGCAAAGTAATTGGCTCGTTTAATGGTTTGTTAAGATTTTTATTTGCCAAGTAGATAGATGGATCGAGAAATGAGACAAACCAAACTTTGCAAAGCAAAAACAACACGAACAACAACAACAGCAAAATTAGTTCTGAAATTGAGCGAAAATATGAAATCGGTTCGTCCAAAAATATGATTTTTGGGGGGGAAATCAAGTCTAAAATTAAATACAAAATTGAATACTATAATATAAAATAATATAAAATGAAATACGTCAACCCACTTTACAATTTATTCTGTGAAGCACTTTGAGATGTTTCAACGATGTCATAAGGCGCTATGTCAAATGCAAGAATTATTATTATTAAAATCTTTCCAAGTGAGTTACATATTTCACAAACAGCTTTCTATATCAATCCATTCAGACCTTTTTAAATCTGGACTTACCAATGGGAAGAGTTTCTAAGTCCGTGTGTTCCAAGAGTCTCTCCAACGGTCTGAAGGTCTTGCCTGTTCTTTGGGTTTATATACTGGGATGACTGTCTATTTAAAGCAATCTGCATCTGTCACGTGTAGATTTGCTTTTACTCTTCGGAGATTTGCTAAATGTCACTAATATGGAGGTCTGCGCATTCTGGCATCGCTTCCAATGCAAAACTTTCCTCTCGTAGACCAGTACAGACTTGAATTCCACTCAGTCTCAGTCTGTCAGACCATTTTCTTTTAGGATTTAATGCGCTGTAGAGTCTGGCCTCGATGGACCCTGTATAACTTGAAAGGAAACTAATCAGCTTTGTATCATCCCATGCAATGAATTGTTGAATCAGACACACCAGGGTTTAAAAGCCGCCCTCCAGTTAACTGCCCAGGTTAGGAAACGTAGGAAAGTAGGAGCAAGAGGACGCCATTCAGCCCATCGAGTCTGTTTCACCACTTTATTAGATCTTGGCAGATCTTTTAATCCTAATATCTTTCCTTTCGCCATGCCCATTAATACGTCCACTGCCCAACTTTCTGTCAATCTCTCTGTTAGCTTTGGCAGACAGGACATGACTAATAATAACCATAATCCCTGCACTTGATATAGCACCTTATCACGTCGTTAAAATGTCTCAAAGTGCTTCACAGAATATATTGTAAATTTTTTAACATTTTTATTTAAGGGATTTTTACCCCCGGAAAGTGATCCACTGATCGACTAACAACCAGGTTCCTATTTACTGCTAAGTAGACAGAGACAAGGCAAAGATTGGCGAGGGGTAGTGGAGAAAATAACTTGCAAATGAAATGGATGTGATCACGGATAATAGCACGTTGTATGTCAGATTTGCTAGTGGCAACTTGTCTCAGTTGGTACTGTAGCACTCACACATGAGTCAGATGGTGGGCTGGGCAAGTTATTCTTGGATTCCAGAATTGCTTATTTCCCCCCCAAATCCCTTTAAATAAAACTCAAAATCTGAAGCTTGACAACGTTCCTTTGTTGCATACAAGACTCCCATAGCATAGTGATTAAGGCACTCGCCTCGCAAGCGATAAGACCTGGGTTCGATTCCCAGGCAGCGTTAAACCTTAAGCAAGTTTCCTTGCTCCACATGCCTCTGTTTACCCAGCAGTAATTAGGTGCTATGTCAAATACAAGAATTATTAATATTAAGGCTCTGGTCTCTATCTTTTGGTCAGAAGGTCATGGGTTCAAGTCCCACTTTGGGACTTTGAGCCAGTTTTCATTGGGTTTCCCTGCAAAACGTCCCCATTGTTTGAAAGCCAAAGGAGAGTCCACTGAGCAAGTTATTTATAGAGCGGGCTGCAATAATTTTCCATCTCTTTTATGGAGAAAGAGAAACACGAAACCGCTAAATACTGACTGTAAATAATTTAGTTGCCAAATGCAATGCATTTTAAATGTTTCATCTGAAACTCTTTCCCTAGATATTTGAATCACTTTACTTCCCTCAATCGCGCTGATGGAGAGAGATGACTGTTTGAAAAAGGAGTATCGCTTTGAGAAAAACTGTGACCTAATTTATAATTTGATCCAGCTCTTCCTTCGAAATGTGAAGTGTAGTGACTGTGTATTTTGCAATTTGTGCACAGCGATGTCCCAAACAGCTGTGAAGTGAAACACCAATTTTATCTGGGGGATTGTCAGTCAGGACCCTGGGAGAAACTCTTCTCTTTTTGAATGGTTCCTTTTCAAATAGCGCCATTGAAAGGCACACTCATTAAACAAAAAAGGGACAGGGATGGTTTATATTAGGGAAAATACTCAAACAAGGTTCCCCCACCTCCCACCTCAAACAGGACTATGACTGTAGTTAAGTGTGGCTTAGCAATCAAGAAAGGTTACAGTCAAACCCCACTGAAAGATAAATAATAACCCTTGCATTTGATATAGTAATAATCCTTGCATTTGATATAGAGTCTTATCATAAGAATGTAAGAAATGCTAGACGAAAGAAAGACCAAGGTCTATCTAGTTCACCTGCCATCTTCCTGGCAGTCTCGTGCACATATGTCCCGAACTACCTATGTACTATACTCCACAATGTTATTTCATAAAAGAAAACTATCTAAATTGTGTTTGAAAGAATCAACGCTTCCTATTTCAACTCAACTGTCTATCAAGGAACCTGTTCCACAAGTTCTCAGAAACAAACAAGAAAGAAAATGATTTGTTTGTCCTCAGGACATAAGTACTAGAATGAAAGACTTAAGCAGCTCTCAAGCTGACAGGTTTAATGTACTTTGAATTGTGCGGCTGTGCTGAGCCTTGGAATTCAATGAGCGACAGGTGAGAATGTGTGTCATTCCCCTTTCAGTGTCAACATCAAGGACTAATAATAATCCTTGCATTTGATATAGCGCCTCATCAGGTTGTTGAGACGTCTCAAAGCACTTCACAGATTATACTGTAAAGTAGAATGACTGTGCATTTTGTGGGTGAAATGCGGCAGCCAATTGGCACAGCAGCATCCCACAAATAGTTGTGGATTCATTGACCACATTTTTTTTCTTTTGGAGGAATTATTACCCCCGGAAAGCAATCCATCAATCGACCAACAACCAGGCTCCTACTTACTGTTGGTAAACTAAGACGTGTGGGGTAAGGAAACCTGCCTAAGGTTTTGCCCCACCTGGTAATCGAATGGGTCCTTTCGCTTGCGAGGCGAGCATGCTAACCACTACCCTACGGGACTCCACTTATTTGCAAGAGCAGTGGAACAATCTATGTTGACATGGCACCTTTCAACTAATCAGCTATTCTGTGCTGAGTCTCTACCCCTCCTGTTCCCCTCTCCTAGATCTCTCTATTCCTTTCTCCCCCACGCAGGCATTCATTATGAAGTCTGCATGAATGACAGTTTATAACAGTACCCGTGTGTCACTTAGTGAAACTGGAACCAGTTGATCAGAGTGAAATTCACTCTTACAAAGATTAATTAGATCACCCATCAGTGTAATTGGCACAATAATCTCAATCCAATAAAAATTTAGCAGAGTGGATAATACACTCTTGTTGAGAGCACTGCTGGAGTTTGACACAGGTTGTCATTTTGCTAAGTGTTTGAAACGTAGAGGTTTAGAGGGGCCTGCGTGTGCAGGAAGATGTTGTAGGTTCCCGTGATGCTATTCGAAAAGAGAAGGGAATTTCTCCTGGTGTCCTGGTCAAAGCATCTCCACATAAATTGATCGTTCAAACTGACGGCTGGTTGTGGGACGTTGCTGTGCGCAAATTGCCTTCTGCGCTTTGACTACAAAATACACAGTCAGTGCACTTGACAGCAATTCTCCAGTGGAGCACTTGGTGTGGTGTCAATGTTATGAGATGACAATGTTATTTCAATGTTATCCAACATGAGGATTATTTATTAATAATTTCCCCCCCTCATCCCAATGATTAACTCTGCCTTGTAAATTCTAACAGTGGCACGAAACACACCGTTCTAAATAGCCAAGACATTGAGATAGCATGGATTAAGATCTCAGTGTGTCATCTCATACCCCTGATGCCCCCTTATATCAGGCAATGGTGAGGAGACACAGCAGAGGAAGCTGTACATGGGATACGTTTAGCTCTGATCCTCTGTGCTTGCCAGGAGATCTCCCACCACCAATCGCATCATTAAATGTTGTTGTACCTATCCAACTGACCCATATGTCACATCTGTGCTCCTGTGGTCACTGGACAGGTACAAAAACAACAACAACTTGTATTTATACAGTGCCCTTCAAGCAGGACTGCATCTCGAAGCGCTACATGATGGTTGGGTTGGCTGCCAAACAAAGTTGAAGGGCTAGGGCCAGGCGACCATAGGGTGGAGGGGTTGAAGAGGTAGATCTTGAAGTGGGATTAATAGATAGATACAGAGGGTGTAAGGTGGCGGGATTGAGGCAGGGAGTTCCAGAGCTTCGGGGCTTAATGGCTGATGTAGTAGATCTTGTAATGCTGAGTTGTCAGTGATTGCTCACTAAACACGCGGAAATTAGACACAATCAGAAATCTTCTTAATGAAGGTTTGCCTAGCATAGCTGAGCATCACCAGCTGCCACATGAGCTGTTGCCATTGAATATAAAAGGCCCCTAACCGAATTAAATTGCCTCCGTGGCCTTTATCACAGCGTTCAGACCATCAGCGATACCCGGCTTGAGTTTCTCTCTCGGGGTTTAAGAGGTGACTTGTGTCCCTTGGTTGGATCGTTGGCTTGTAAACAATCCATTATTCTCAGTGTGGTGACACGTTGCCATTTACATTTTCACCAAGGTAAAATATTGCAGTGTATATCAAGACATTTAATCTGTCCGAGCAAACATTCATTTACTGGCAATGGTGAACTGGGATCCGTGCGTAGAAATTCACTGTCGAAGATCACAAGATCATAGGACAAGTTCAGAAGAAGAAGACCTTTCAGCCCATTTGATCCCACACTAGAATACGGTTCATACAGATTTATGTCAACCCTTTCAAGTTGGAAGAACGTCCTATCAAAAACAAGAACTCGCTTTTATAGAGCGCGGGACGTCCTCCCGACGTGAAAGGCGCTCTATAAATGAAATCTTGTTGTTGTTGTTGTTGTTGTTCATGCAGGATAGTGTATCACATTGCTTAACAGTGGCGGAGCTGGGGAGAGATGACCATAGACAAGGTCAAAGAGGAAGGTCTTGAGGTGTGAGCTGAAAATGGGGAAGGAGGGGGTAAGGCGGAGGGATTGAGGGAGAGAGTTCTAGAGTTTTGGGGTGCAGTGGCTGAAAGCATGAGCGCGTTCTGAAAAGATGGTTTGTGTGGAAAATGAAAATGGCAGATACCAAGATAGAGGGGAGATGGTCTTCTGAGGCTGATGACTAAGGCACATCCTGGGGAAAGTGAAGAGGAACCTTGACTCAGGCCAACTTGGAGTCCTGTAGTGTAATGGTTAGAGCATTCACCTTGTAAGAGAGGAACCACGTTCGATTTCTGGGCTGGGTGAAATCTTAGGCTAAGATTCCTTACTCCACTCGCCTCTGTTTACCTAGCGGTAAGTAGGAACCC